GGTCACACACACAACACCTACACACACACACACACACACACACACACACACACACACACACACACACACACACACACACACACGCACACATGCTGAGTCGGGAAACGGCCAGGGAAACACAGGTTTTGAACTCATCTGGATTCTTCTGGCTCAGACAGGTGATGAGAGAGATGGCTGCTGTCACCACACCCTAAAACCGCAAGAGGAGAGAACACACACAATATTATTTTACAGATTTAACCATTTCATCTCTTTATAATAAATTCATTTAACATTCACACACATAACATGAACAAAGCTGCATAATGGTACAGGACCAATTCTGGACATGTGACATGTTGGTGCTCGAGACATTTAAATCGAATTTCATTCAACTTCTGATTAGTATCATGTTATCAACATCATCTGTACATTATAAGACTGCTGTTTCCACACACTCTGTGGATCAATGGGTCACTCCCTCACAGCGTGTGGGGTGGGGGTGGGGGGGGTCTCTCTCACCATGTGTTGGTCGTTGAGCAGGTGCACCACGCGTGATGTCCACTCCCCCATCAGCACCAGGTCAGGAGAAGTCTTGTAGAGGCGCAGCAGACACAGAGCAGCTGACTGTTTCACACTGTCCATCGTATCACTGCGGTGCATCAGTCACATGACCGGAGGTTAAATCACAGTTAACTATTTGGCTCCATCACTCACAGCAACACATTAGAACAGAGGTCACACTCACCCAGCAACCAGGATCCGAGGGATCTCACTTGCAAAGGCCTCGGCCATCTCACGGCTCCCTACGTTAGCGATGCAGTGAAGAGCCAGGCACATGAAGGTGGGGTTACGGCTGGACAGGTCGTTCTTGATGGCGTTGTTGATCAGACGGATTAGCTCACTGTTGCTGTTGACCAGCACTGAGATGAACAGGTAACCCTAGAGTAACAGAGGAGACCAGTTTTCAGTGGGTGACCCATGATAACATAGCTCATGAAAACACCTGAACAGTCATAGTCCAGAGTATAAGGTCAAACTTATTAACTCTGATCCAACAGTCCTGTAAACACATCCTCCCTTCATGAAGCTCCAAATGTTCAGCTCCGAGTGAAGCTATGCTAGCTATGGCTGTTGGACTGTGCTTACACTGACAGGTTCACTCTAACTCATTAATAGAACAGGCTAACCACACCTGGAACACTACAGCCTAAGTATGAGGCTAATCCCACATTAACCAGCAGGTGGCACCGTCACAGAACAGCTTTGTCAAGTATTGAGTGTGTTGGTGAAAATGAAAAGTAGAAGACTTTTAATACTCAAAGTGTCACGGTCAACATGCTTCACATCTGTGGTAAATAATCAAAAATAATTCAAACATCATGACAGGAGGAGGTAGGAGTTGTGCCAGTGACAGCCTGCCTCATTCACTGACTGCATGGCTTAATATGAAAGAGGTGAAGACCATCATTGACTCCAATGTTTTTACTGGGTCAATTATTAATAACCACTACATTACATTTGGTTAACAGTCTCAGATGGTGTCCACACTCGGAGGCACGGACTCTGGAGGAACTGGTTTCAGGGCTACTTCTGCTGGTACAGCAGTCAGCTCTCAAACCACTTGGATCCTGACTCAACATTATTCTGCAAACTCAACATTTCCTGTTCCTGAGAAAACAGTCCATCAGACGGAGTCAGGAAACAGCCACAGGGCCGAGGTAGTTCTGCTTTAGCATCTACAGCAGTTAACTGTGTCCATCTTTTACATTTCAAAAGAAGAACACTGTCATGTCAGCATCATATTAAACTTCAAATGCAGCCCAATAAAAAGCATCATGTTTGTAGTTTGACTATCTGTTCATGACTCATAGGACATTCTTTTAAATCACTTTAAAATCACTCATACGAGCCACTGAGGAAAAAATCTATTTGTACTAGTTCTCACATGAAGCCTGCTGCACTTTCACTAAATTTCAAATTTACCTTAAAGCTTATTACCTACACCTAGGAGGTTGTGGTTTAACCCCGTCTGTTTTTTTTTCAGCAGGATTACAGAAAAACTACTGAACCAGACTTGGTGGAGGGATGGGTCATGGACCAGGGAAGAATCCTTTAAATGTTGGTGCTTATCTGGTTAAAGATGTGGATCCAGGAAGTTTCATTACTTTCCTCAACACTAGGATAGAACATTTTTCTACATTTCCATCAGTTTCTCAGGGAACATTGGGCCTCATTCACCAACATCTTCTTAAGTATTTTCTTAAATTCTTTCTTAAGTTGTTCTTAAGAAAACTCTACATCAGATTCATGGACGTGTTCTTAAACCACAGAATTGTGCACACCTGTGTTCCTAGATTCATGAATCCTAATCTCCTCGAAAATTGAAAGCGTGTGCCAGTTGGCCCTAATTAGCATAGGTAACGCCCAGAAATGAGACTGAAGGGTCATGTGCAGACACAGGTAGAAGTCACAAAGAGATTAGGGATGGGTAAAATTACTCGGGTATTCGTTGTTGACGTCATTATTCAAGTAGCGTTTCACTACTTGCACGTGTTGCTTTTGGCTACAATAGTTCAACTCGGTTGGCGTTACGTGCACCATGGCAGTCGTGACCAGGAAAAGTGATGTCTGGAAATACATTGATAAAAAAAGACAACAATAACGTGCAGTGCAAGATATGTGGTGTTAAACTTATTATCATGTTCTCTGACAGCCAATCAGTTGGCTTGGTCGGAGAGGTCCGTGTCCGACTGGAAACACAAGCTTAACATTGATCTGATTGATTATTGATTGTGATGATTATTTGGCCATGGCAGAGGTCTACAATCTGGTAGTGGTCTATCTGTGCTGCCATTTACAGACTCAAAACTCACAGTAAGTGAACCTGACCATGAACCAATAGTTTAGACCTGAAACCCAGTCTGGGTCAGGTAGGGTACAAGATCACTGTATGTATTAGAACAACACTGTCTAGTAGCTGATATCTAGCATGATACTTTGTAACTGAGGCCAGTGTGCGGCTGATGACACACAGGTCATTGATTTCTAGTTGTGTCAACACTGAGTCAGAAACCTTAGTTCTGATGTGGATCAACAGAGGGTCTGATATACTGGTCTGTCTAAAGTCCTGGATCAGATTCTTCAGCCCCCCAGACATGAACTCCAATATTCTTTAACACCTCATCTACTTGATAAAGTAATCCCTTCAAGCATCTCTGGTTAGTGACTGGTCAGGTGTCTGAGGTTTGTTGCTTCATTTTTTTCTTTAATTTTTTTTTATACACATTCGAGATTAACTGTAGTCACATCTTGTTATAATAACAATTTATTGACAAAGAGGAGAAACACATCATTCACAAAATCAAATGTGTTGGAGTGAACTGGAACTGGAAAACTCAGGCACAGCTACAAACTCCATCAAAGCTTTAAACACACAGCACAGCCAGTGGAAGACTTACGATCTGTTTCTCTGTGTACTTGTTGGAGCTCAGCAGGTTGACTGCCTCCATGTGTCCAAAGTCAATGTCATGGCCGAGCAGGAAGATGAAGAGCAGCTTGCAAACATACTTCTTCTTGCTGTAGCCGTCCAGAGCCTTGTCCCCTTTAAACTTGGAGCGGATGTTAGCAAGCTCTTTGTTGATCCGTTTGATCTCAGCTTCCTTGCTCTTACCTGACGAGGGAAAGGAAGCAGTTCAGTGTCAGCATTTAAAACATGAACAGGCTGGACCTGGCTGTAAACAGTGTTCAGGTTTTTAAGGTCGCCATCTCTTTGATCATCTTCTAGATGTTGTGGGACAATATACGGTGCATTTGTCTGACTGATTTTATTGTAGCTCCACAGCTGTGCTACAAAACCCCCAGATCTTCTCACAGCTTCATCCAGTGTGTGTTAGTAAATTAGTTAAGTCAACCAGTGTGAGTGTCTGAGTTCTGACACCCAGGTTGGATAAAGACAAGGATTCAGTAACTCCAGGGCCAACAAATCTGCTACATCTTTTCCCTGGCCCCACCACTTCTGACCAGTAACGAGCAGTTGACAGTGAAAACAAGTTTCCACTGCCAGCACAGTGATTCAATAAAGGAAGCATGGTGCATTTATTTCTTAACTCAGGGGCACAGCAGCTCCTTAGTGTGATGTATGGGTTAGGGTTAGCACCTTATTGTCCTGTCGGATTAAAGCATCTCAACTGCATCAATATTTAAACTGCAAACACTCATTTGTGTTTCTATACCCAGCAACATACATGTCTCAGATGCTCTTTACAGCAACAAGCACCAACACATATCTGAAATCTGTGTCTGCATCTGTAATTTGGATTTGTATCTGTTTCTGAGATTTCTATCTCTATCTGTACCTTTAATCTGTACCTGTAATCTCTATCTGTACTGCAATCTCTACCTATAATCTGTATCTGTAATCTCCCTCATTATCAGTATTAGTAATCTCTCTCTGTATATGTATTTTATTTACAGTACTTCAACCATATTAAAGACACCATACAGTCTCAGTGTGGGGTTTTTCGCTCTCAAAGCTAATGTGTAATTAAAGGTTTGAGTATAAGACGTCAGTGATCATTAGTTTAATTGATGAGAGTGAGGAGAGAAGAACTCCACTACCACCAGATAGGCGGCCATTTTAATCAGGCTCACAACAGACAGTCCACTTCTGTCAGTCAGACAGCAGGTGAAGGCTTAGCGCACTCACAGTAGAAAGGCGAAGACTACGTCTTATGAGCTTCCATCTGAAGAGGCTAGCTCACTAGAAGATGTACAACTGTCAGGGATTGATGCTACACCTGTGCAGGTGTGTATTTTGTTTTGACATAGGACATAGTACCACAGACCTGAGTTCCACTGTTTTGTTTTTTTAGACATCCCTATAAGAGTATTACGACAGAGGAAATACAACCTCAAATACAGAACATAGAGCAGGTAACAGCAGTGTTTCCGCTAGTTAACACCTCTGCATGGCGACATGCCACGCAAAAATCTTTGCCGCTGTGGCAAACAAACAAACATATAAATAAATAAATAAATAAATAAATAAAAAATCTAACAAAAACGCCTTGGGCCTCCCCCGTGCACGTACTACGGAATTCAGACGCATCTCTCTCCTCGTGCTCTTAAAAGGCTGGGTTAGCTTTCCTTTCGGTAGCTAGCATACTATACTTTGTTAGCTACACCCTTTATGGCTGACTAAAGTAACTTGACTACCTGCACACACTTACTGCGCTAACACACTAGTAGGCTACTTCTCTTACACCCCAGGAGAGACTCACCTCCCACAACAAACCCGCTACTTAAACTGAGTCATATTCCACAGGTGCAGTTAGGCTGTTACGTTGTTGAGTGAAGCACTGAAGACAGACTGCTTAAGACTTATTATAGCAACCGCTAGAAAAAAAAACGTAGTTGTAACTGTCACTGAAAAATAACTACCCTATATTTAAGCAATATGACACAAGTTACAGTGAAGTTGGTAGAGGATGTAACCACAGCTGTGATTCAGCCATAGGCGCGACTTGAGGATATTTGTGCACATTCATTTTTACCATCACCTGTCACATTATTTTGATAATCAGATTTTTCTTTAAATCTTACAATATGGAACTGTGACAGTCTCACGTTAAGCTATAGCTAATGTCGAAATAGAGAATCTACCCCTACCTTCAGATGCTTATTATGCTTTTATCCATGTTGAAAGTGAATGACAGACACTGTCAGTCACATCAGGTGTTAGGCCTGGTTCTACAATATTACTCCGTCATGGCAGCAACAGTTAATTTTTGTCAACAAAATAAAGACGCAAGAAAGTTTGTTTTTTCCTGCAATGCTTTAGTTCAAACGATTGTGAGCTTTTATTATGAAGAGTTCTGAGGGGATGTTGTTTAAAAAAACAAAAACATGTAGGCTACAAATTAACAATGGTCTGATGTCTTTTTTTCTCCTCCCAAGGCAATAACACCCGTGCGCCGCCCACCAACAACCCCTGTCATGCCCCACGCTAAACCTCTTGATCCACAGGAAACACTGAGTATGTGTCACACAACCACAGCAAACCTGGCTGAAAGAAAATTGTTAAAAAACTAAACTGAGGGTTGTCTGTATGAACCCTGACTGTTCAGCCCCCACTCCCAGATCAGCCCCTCTTCCTTACTCCAGCATCACCAGTGAGTCCACACCAAGGGGCAACCTCCGAGGCTGGAAATGAGGCCAATACTGCAGTAACAAAACCTACAGTTCCTCTTATGACCACTAGAGTCTGGCTCCAACAGTGACAGTTTGAGTGACAGGAGTCTATGCTTTCCACAAACAGGCATGCACCAAAGTCTCAGCTCCACACATGCCCCACCTCTTTGTCCATTTTTGGATTAGCTGGGAGTTAGGGGCGGAGTCAGGCTCTGCCAAAATGGCAACAGTGGAAGAGCTCACTCTGAGCTTCGAAACTGCTCTTCAGAAACGTATGGGTGATGTCACAGAGGCTACGTCCATCTTTATTTACAGTCTACACCAGCACACCAGCAGAAACACGGACGACAGAGAATGGGATGAATGACAGTGAATCTATGTTCCTACTTTAAACCTCACTGTTGCTTCAATGTCAAGACTGTCATTTATTTTATTATTTATTATTAGTGGAGCACCCTGGTGGGTGAATAGTTACAGCAAACAACCACAAAGTCCATGGTTCAAGTCCAGCTGGGACCTTTGTTGTATTTTCACATCCCTCTCTCTCTTTCTTTCCTTGTTTCCTGTTTGCTCAATGTGTTGGGGGGGGGGGGGGGGGGGGGGTGGCTGAGTGAATCAATGCTGCACACAGCTCTACAATGAAATATTATAATTAATCTGTGGCGGTCAGTGTCGATATTGTGCTGCGCCATTACTCATGAATCAATGTATGGGAGACAGTGAGAAGGTGTGTTCACAGCTGACCTGGTGGATCACTCACTCACTGCTGGTGTTAGACCTGTCCTTCATCAGTCAACCCTGTCAAACATTTCTCAGACTGATGATACTAGTTGGTCCAGTAAAACTAACTCCACACTGGTCAAGACAAACGCAATCCAAGACGACTAGTGGAAAGACACTTACCTGCAGGTGGTTCTACACAGATTTGAATTTCAAGACAAATACACTGACCTGACAGTTTGTTTTGTGAACCAATGTGAACCAATGAAAACCCATGAAATAAGTGTAATGGCCGACCCTGTGGAACAATTACAGACACTGCCCACTGGGCAGTAGTATCCCACTGAGATATGTCTCATTCTTGCATACTGTTTCTAGTACATCCACTTTACTTCTAAGTTTTAGTGCTTCAGCTTTGTATATTTTATTAATTATTATTGCTGCTGCTGCAATGTCATGAAGCTACATGACTCAGTGGAGGGCTTTTAATTTGAAACTACATATACAGGAAGTGGCTAAAGATGCTGACACCCAGCCAAGGAGAGAGGGAGAGAGAAAGGTAAATTTAATGAACTAACATGAAGCTAGATTTTATTAAATTTTGATATTCACTCTGAGTTGAAGCTTTAAACCCTGAAAATGCAGTTTTATCTGTCAGTGTGTGTTTTCTGGTAACATCTGAGGGGACAACAATATTTAACAAGAAAAAAAAAAAACACACACACACAAACACTTTCATTGAAGGATATACCAGTTAAATTCAATGTTGTCACAACACTAAAGTGACCACTAAGGTACATTTAAAACTAGTTATATTGAGTTGGTCAGTTGTAAACAGATTAACTAATAACTACGATTTTATGACACCTGTCATATCTCAGCTGACTCCAAACATCATATCTACTGCTGCTCCTATGCTGTTGTAAATAATTACTAGGTGCATTGTTATCACTGTTGTCAGAAGTAATATGGCAGGTAGCTACAGTCAAAGCTGTGTATAGATAAACAAGCGGATGAATGGTTGGGTTCCCACAGCTGGATCCATTTTAGATCTGATTCCAGGTCAGAGAAAAACCTAAACTGGCCGACTCTGATGATCACTTATGATTTCTCCTCTCTATTTGGTGCAGGGTGGGTGAATATGACCAAACATAACCTGTAAGACTACAGGACAGTTATCAACACTCTTCCTCCAACATCAATGTCATCTGACAACTACTAATTACAACTTTTGCCACATTTGGTTGTAATTTTCCTGTTTTTTTAGTTCATACAATGTATTTCTTATGAAATAGAGACAAGGGCTTCTTTTATTTGTCTGATATTAGAGACAGAGTTTTGTTTCAAAATTTAAACTGGTACAGGTCCTCCTTCTACAGCAGTTCGCTCTGGCTAATGTAGTTGATATCAGTATCACATTATCAACATTTTTCCATAAAAAGAGAAATTCTTACATTTACACCTCCTCCTTGATTGAAAAATTCTGAATTAATGAATATGCAAATATTTTTCATCTCAGTGAAGGTCAAACATCCAAGAGAAGTGACACTGACAAAAACACATTTCTGAGTGGAGGGGGACTTTAAATACTGGTGCATAGATCCAACCTGCAAGTGCCCATAAGGCGATAATGTAGAAGCTGTTCAGTCACAACGAAACCTGTAGCATCACAGATTAGACCAAGAGGTGGCCATTACAGCCTATCACCTAATGCAAACCCAACTGTAACCATTTACCTACTTTAAACACATCACACATTACAACAGCCAATCACTCCAAACTAGATGGCAGTATTCTGCAAAGTCACTGCCATCACCCCATGATAATAACAAGAGAGAACTGGAATAAAGTCACATCACAGGAGAAAATATTATCATTAAATATAAAGTAGAGGTAATTAGAAAGAGACTTCTAATATTACAGAACACTTTCCTTGAATGAGTTAGAATTCATTAGTTCACTTCCAAATCTTACTTTATCCAGCTATTACTAATTTGATGATGCCATGTTCATTTAACATCGGTCAATGGATTGTGACAGGGGTCCGGTATGATATTTATTCGGGGGGGGTCTCCTGGTTTTATTCTGCTGACAGAGCGCCGCCTTCCTTCCAGTCGGACTTATTACTGTTAGCCCTGTCATAGCGGCAGTTTACAATGATATAACACTGTTTCTCGGCTGTGAAGTGAACCTCCAGTCCCCAGATTAGTTTCGACATCTGGATCACTAATGTCGTACAGATGTTTGTGATCTCAGTCTGACCTAAGCCACAGCCAGCCAGGATCCGTTTTCTGCATCTAACCATCAGACCCTCGGTTCTGCTGCAGCAAGTCTAGTCGTGGTACACGATGGTAACACACTGATTGTATTAATTGTGACATTATAGAGTAAATAGCAGTTGATAAAAAAATAGACCCCCCCCCCTCCTCCTCGCCCTCCCTCCTCATTTCACTACAGCATGTAAAACGGCACAGTGTCACCTGATACTACTGCCGTTAAATGGCACAAAGTAATTATAATGAAAGACAATGTCACTTACAGTTTCTAATGTCGGAAATGAAGACTGCTAATCCTCGCATTCCATCTCCTTTCGACACAGCCGGCATGTTTGCAGGTTTCTGTCCTCACTCCGGCCTTATCCGTAAAAACGACCTGGCGCTGGTCAGCCTTTCACACTGGACTCTAGCGGAAGATGGCCAACTTGACGTTTGGTACGAGTTAGCTACCTCGCAGGTCCAGTCGTTAGCTTCAACTTTATGGCTGGCGGTGACCTACCGGGCGGACTGTGTGCCTGTGGGTGGCTAGCTCAGATAGCATGTGCTAGATTAGCTGGATGACGGTGGATCAGCCAGCAGCAGGATAAGTTAACGTTATCCCTGTTAACTGGCTCGTTTCCGCTGCCTGTGGCAAGCTAACGTTATTTCATTCAATCCTTATCTGGCTAGGACACAAGCGACGCGCACGACAGCTACAGCACCAACCGACTGAAGTTAAAATCACCCGCTGTTTGGATGTCTCTCAGGTGAACGCAGTCAGGTGTGTTAATAAAAAATAACGGCCGAGAATTTAACGTTAACTTACTCCGAGTCACGCACCGTACAGCTAGCTCAACAGCTAGCTAGCTAGCTGGCTAGCAGTATCATTCAAATGCAGGAATACATCACGGGTTGACCGGAATCGCTCGGTCTCAGTCTCTCGGCAGAGAGTCTTAACGGCCGGGCAGCGGTATTAAGTGCTAGCCCTGCTCTCGTTATCACGCACTAAACGCGGTAAATAAGATGTCCTGTATAATTGATGTCCGCTCTAATTCTCCAGCCTCCTCTCCGCGGCTCGCACTAGGCTCGTGACAGCACAACCAGCTGCGTGATCGCGCCATGCAGCCGTGAACGCGCACGCTCGTTCCCTCCGATCGAGCGCAGGGCGTTGCTGATTGGTCCGGCGGGCAGCGCTGCTGCCATGTTAGCGCCCCAGACTCACTGCGCCCTGAGCTGCCTGCTCACCCCGGTAGTCAAGACATCGGTGTCCTCACGACAAACTGCTGAGCAGCGGGAAGACAAGCCTAGAAGAGATGAACAGTACTTACAACAAGACAGCGAGTGAGGGCACAAGCTCCGCCAGCTTTGGCTCTGACCTGCGTTTGTTGGTCATTTCCTGTTGACCAGCAGCATCCTTACCAGTATCAGACTGCTCTCCCCAGTACAACCTGGATAACACAACACACTCCTAGTACAAACCTAATCACATACAACACACTTCTAGTACAGCCTGGATCACACACAACACACTCTTAGTTCAATCACACAACACACTGCTAATACAACCTGGATCACACACAACACACTCCCAGTACAACCTGGATCTCACAACATGCTCCTGCTTTACATTCACCCGTTCACACTATTATGACAGTGCAGAGGATACCAGTTCTGGGATTCGGGTTCAACAGTTCTGCTCAAGGACACTTTGACTTTAGTGACTATGGTAGGATTCAAACCACCAGCTGACACACTGATGTCCCGGTAGAACCATTTTAACTTTATTTGTCTTTTTCTGGACTATTTGTTGCTTCGTATTTAAATGTAGTGTGTGATAGTATCTGTGCAGTCATAAACATTTGTACAATTAAAGTGAAGTATAACTTTGTGTTGTTTTTTTTTTATAAAGACTATATTATTTGTGCATTTCAGATCCTGCAGTGCTTACCATAGGCTAGAAAGAGTCTGTGCATGATATGACAGCATGACTAAATGAATCCATGAAACAGTCAAAGGGCAGAATAGGGATGTCAGTTATTCCGTGGTTACCTGAATGCAGCAGTAGCAGCAGTTCACCAGTCCTTCGGATGTGCGGTGCCATTACGCTTCGGGTCACTGTTTCTTTTTCGTGGTTCAAGCATAGACTCTATATAAAAATGGTTCAAGCTGAATATTTATATTAATATATATATTTAATGACCAAAATTTCAATAATTCAGGTAAAATAGCAGCATATATACCTGAACTTAAGTACAAAAGGAGAGCATAATGTGAATGTCTATTTAAAAAAAAAAGCACAGGAGGATATATATATATATATATATATATATAGTATATATATATATATATAGACATATATTAACATATCCAGTCAGATATGACAGAGAAAAAAAAACTACTAACATTTTTTTTTTTTTACAAGAGATTATTACTCTTTTTGTTGTTTAATAAATCGAGTGACTTGAGTACAGATTTCAATTCTAGGAGAAAACGAAGCCGAATATTCCGACTCTGTGAAAAAAGGAACGCGTCAGTAGAATGTAGGCGCGTCCAGAGCCCTGGCCCAATCAGAAATAAAAGCTGCTTGTCGTGGGCGGGACCAAGGAAGACTCCTGGAAGCTCACGCAGCCAGGCAGAAGATCGAAATGGCGGCGCCAGCAGAGAGGATGGAGGTAAGATGTTACTGTAGGAAATATTGTAGATTCCTCTACTCTGACTTTGTCTCGGGTATCACGGTCTCATTGTTCCTGGAGACACGTTGTTATGTGTCCTTCAGTCTCAGCGTCTGTGTCTCCGTCATTACATACGCAGCAGGTACTGAGGGATGCATCCATTTTAACTTGGCTAACGTGACTCGGTGAAGCATCTGCCGTTGCCGCTCATTCATTTAGCAGACAGAGCCGGGATCTGATCCAAATACTTGAACCAGTATTTATTAGGCAGCCTGAGCAGATGGGTAACATCGAGAGCTGAAGTGAGTGGTGTGAGCAGAAGAAACGTCGTTGGCCGGCAGCGTCTGACGAATCTGCGGGACCGCATGGGGACAAACGTGTTAGCTCCAGAGCTAGTTAGCCGGCCGCTCTCCAGGCGTGGAAGCTGCCTCATTCTCCCGCTGGTTTTACTGCGGTCAGCGGTTAGTTTGCTGCGGGCATATACTACACCTGGGCCACGGTGGTTTCCCTCTCTGACCTGGTTTATTAACAGCATCCCTATGAATTTCTTACTTGGTACCGGTGTGGTTCCTCGTTGGCCGACTAACGCGAATTAGTCTCGCAACATGTTGACCCATCCAGCCGGTTAACAGCTGCCTGTTAGTCGGCTTTGCTGGGACCACAGGTAAGCCAGGTAACACCACACCATTATCTAACTGTGGGGCTTTAGATGAGTCGCTGGTGGACATAATGCGGGTTTAGACTTGGTCTGTGGCGGTCCTCAAGGAAGGCCAGGACCACTAACATGTGCTCCCATCCTTTGTGCTCATCCGACTCTCTGTAGACTGGAACCTGAAGCGGTCTCAGACCCGGCTCATGAACAGTTATTGAACTGAACTGTACAGAACTGACCTTGTTCAACTCACTCCAGACCTTAGACTATTTTTACTCTTAAACAGCGCCTGGTGTCATGGAGTTAAATTTTTTTTTTAGGTAACACACTGTTTCTGTTTTTAGTAAATTTGTAAAAGCAATTACTTGTCTACTTAATTTTATTAAAGCAGATTTATTTCTTAATTTAGTGATTTAGGAGAATTGGTTCATATTAGGGCCACGCTGTTAACGCCACTACAAAAAGTCACAGCATCCATGAGTTGTGGTGTTAGAAACCATGCTTACATTACCACACACTGTTAATGTATTTCTACAACTGTCCAGAGTAAACCCTGTCTGTGATAATACACAGATTTGAAATGATTGATATGAATCATGTTTGAAAACTTGTGTGAGGGTCATTGTTTCCTCAGATCTTCACAGTGAAGGTGGTGAATGAAAAGTTAACTAGAGCCCTTAAGTCACAACAGCCACATTTATGCAGAAAGCAGCAGGTTGAAGTATGTGAGAATGTTCCCCTGTGTGAAAGACATGAGAGGTTCAGTTTTTGGTTGCATCCACAGGTCTCACTGTCGACATGTCTTTAATTTCAAAATGGCTCCAGTCTGTGGAATCTCCTCAGCATGATACCTTTGTTCTTTTCAGTGCTTTCACAGAACTGCCTGTGGTACCATGAGAGGCCTTTATCCCACAGAGAGGTTGTTGTCCACAGCTGGACGTCTGTCAACACATTGTTGATATAGTCTGATCCAGAATGTGTGGTTAGCTACTGTGTGTTAGTTAAGAACGGCTCAGATCAGGACCCTGTGTGAGCCACGGTGATGGTTTCAGCAGCTGTTGTTTCAGTTCTTTACACCACGTCTGACTTAGCTGAGATTTCTAATAAGACCTCTAAACCAGAACACAAGTGCTAAACCCAGGGCCACTAACTGTGTATGTCTTTTGTTGAGGTTTCTCAGGGGGAGAGCTCAGCCAAGCCTGCAGCTGAGGATATGACGTCAAAGGACTACTACTTTGACTCATACGCCCACTTCGGCATCCACGAGGTAATTTTGTTCTGAGCTACAGAAACTGCAGTGCTTTCACATTCAAACACCAAAAAGTGTAGAGTTTTGTCTCCTAACCCTCATTGTTCTTCTTCTTTACTACTGCTGTAGGAGATGCTGAAAGACGAGGTTCGCACTCTGACATACCGCAACTCCATGTTCCACAACAAGCACCTGTTTAAGGACAAGGTGGTGCTGGACGTGGGCAGTGGGACGGGTATCCTCTGCATGTTCGCAGCCAAAGCCGGGGCCAAGAAGGTTATAGGGGTATGTGTTAAATCAGAATCTGTTAGTGTTTTTTTTTTTTTTTTTAGATTGACTTTAGTGTTTGACCGGTGGTAACAGCCTTATTACATCAGCAGCGTCAGTGTGACTTCACTGTCGTTTGATTTGTCTGAACAGATCGAGTGCAGCAGCATCTCAGACTACGCTGTGAAGATCGTCAAGGCCAACAAGCTGGATGACGGTGAGTGAATGATCCAGTCCACTAGTGACACATGGAGGGTCTGTGGGTCAGGTGGGGGTCTGTGGGTGGATGTTGTTGTGCCTCCTGACCTGCTCTTGTGTTTCCAGTGGTGACCATTATCAAGGGGAAGGTGGAGGAGGTGGAGCTGCCTGTGGAAGGAGTAGACATCATCATATCAGAGTGGATGGGTTACTGCCTCTTCTATGAGTCCATGCTCAACACAGTCATTTATGCCAGGGATAAATGGCTGGTATGTGTGTATATATATATATATATATACGTTCCCATTTCAGAGTTTTCCTCTAATGATCTCTTCAGTGTTCCATAGTACATAAGCACACAAATATCCTGGTTAATTTGACTCCACTATTTGGCTTGTTTCACCTTTTGTTACTGTAACACGTGGCTGAAATACTTCAGTGCACTGATGTGGAGAAGCAGCCAATCAGTGGAGTGACTCGAAGTTTGATCCTGCAGGCTGAAGTGATTTTAAACAGCTGAGCTTCAGTTTGACTTTAGGGAAATTTGAGGCTGACTGTTCCTTAGGGCCTCACTTTTGGAGTCCATGTATTAAAGGGATAGTTGAGGTTATTTGACGTGGGGTAGCGTGAGGTCCTTTATTGGTTTAGAGAAGCAGCAGCAGCATGGGGGCAGAAACTGAGTGATGAGCTGCTGTGGACCGGGTCAGCAGAAAGAACTGTTTTAGCCACTTTAAATAAAAATTAAAAATAAAAAAAAAAAACCAACAGGAAAAAGCTAATATCACTCAGCTTCTGTGTTGCTGCTTCTTAAAACTGAGAGCTCATCTGAATCTACTGCAGGTAATACAGTGCCTACACATAAGTACCTCACAGAACCCAACGTCAAATAACCTGAAGTATCACTTAAATAACTAATATTTAATCCATTATCTAGACTAAGTATTTAATAGGAAACCATCATGAAGTGGTCAGTGCTCACATGATACAGTGCATCACAAACTGTTTGTAACTGACTTTACTGTTGAAGTTCTGCTGAGTCTTTCCCTCTCACCCTCTGACAGAAACCAGATGGACTCATCTTCCCAGACAGGGCGACGCTCTATGTCACTGCCATCGAGGACAGGCAGTACAAGGACTACAAAATCCACTGTGAGTAGTCTAAGAGCAGTCCCCTAGAAGCTAGAGGTGGTTTGTGTTACTGGAGTGTGATGAGCACAGGGGAGGGTTTCTGTTCCTAGCATGTTCAGAGGGGTGAATAGATAGTAACTGTAAGAAGCGGAAAAATGAAGAGCACTGACTGGAACCCACATGTGATGATTCCAGTGAACTGAACTGTGTGTTTGTGTCTGTGCCAGGGTGGGAGAACGTGTATGGGTTTGACATGTCGTGCATCAAGGAGGTGGCAATAAAGGAGCCCCTGGTTGATGTGGTGGACCCGAAGCAGCTGGTCAGCAGCGCCTGTCTCATCAAGGTGGGAGGACGGATGACTGGTTCATTACTGTTGTGTGTCTGTCCTCTGCTGCAGAGGTGTTGACCCTGGTTGCTTCTGTTTTAGGAGGTGGATATCTACACAGTGAAGGCGGAGGACCTGACCTTCACCTCCCCGTTCTGCCTGCAGGTGAAGAGGAACGACTACATCCACGCTCTGGTCACCTACTTCAACATCGAGTTCACCCGCTGTCACAAGAGGACCGGCTTCTCCACCAGTCAGTATCTCTCTCTCTCACTCTCACACACACACACACACACACTTGTAGTGAGGCTGAAGAAAATCAGTGGACCTGAGTATTATGTTTTGTGATAATGTATGAATTCTCTGCATTACTGCATCTGTTCTTGATGAATAGTTTACATAGAAAGATCAGTGATCCATTCTGTGTTGTTAAATCTCATGACCACTGGATGGCAGTGTTGTAATCCATCTCCCATCATTTGACTCTTCCGCTGCAATATAAACTGAGACAGGAAGTGCACTGCAAACGTTAGCACTAGTAAATCTACTTGACCAGCAACATTATTTGTGACGGTGAGCTCCTGGTTACAGAGCTGGAGTCTGGGCTCATTCTTGTTTCACAGTGAAGAAAAATATGGAGATCGACAAGAGCCATGACGTTTGTAAAATGTGTCAAAATCACACACTCAATTAATCTGAGAGCAGACTCAGCACCACACTGTTTTGCAGGACAGCTAACAGGGGAAGCTAACGTTAAACAAGTGAATCCCTCTCTGCTCAGTCTGGAACAAGTTCACACACTGAAGTCACCACTGACCCTGACTAATGACTTCAGAATAACTCGGTCAACACAGGCTCTACCTGGTAGATTAAGACCTGCTCAGGTAGATGGAATCAGTTTCATCTTGGTTGAATCTGAAATTAGAAACGTATTACACTTTTTTCAAACTGACTCCTATCTGACCACACACCTGCAGTGACTCATTGGTCTCCATAGTAGTCACTACAGGCTTATCTATGTGAGGCGTTTAGGGGACATCAGTAAATTGTAGCTACAGACAATAACCTGGTTACACTGTCGCCCTCTAAACTGCATGAGTCTTATCAGTCACACACTGCACCTCCATCACAGGTAAATACTCAGGCTGTAGAAACACTGACTGATCTGATCCTCAGTGTGGTAGAGAAATATGAATACAGTGAAGCCTTGGTACACCATGGAATCCTTCAACAACTTTTAAACCAACATTAATTTGCTCAGACTGCAGAGTTGTGATGTTGGATGTTACAGACTGTGATAAATAAACTCTGCTCTGATTGGATAAAAGAAGTCGACTGTCTTTTACTTAGACTTTATGCAGATGCTGGTGTGCTCTTCATGCTATGATGATTTTCCTAAAATTTTGATTTAATCAGTCGCAGTATATATAAGCCTAACTCCTGTATCTTCTCAGGATCGTATCTACACACAGTCCTACTACAAACAGTGAAGGTTAATTGTGACTTCGACTTGTGACTACGATGGGGTTTGGCTTTGAACCTTAACTTGGTTCAAATGATCAGATCCAGATTTTGAGCTGTGGGTCAGCGACAGACTGTTCATGCAGACTTTTGTCTCTCTCAGGCCCAGAGTCTCCCTACACCCACTGGAAGCAGACTGTGTTCTACCTGGATGATTACCTGACTGTGAAGACTGGAGAGGAGATCTTCGGCACCATCAGCATGAAGCCAAACGTCAAGAACAATGTAAGTTAAGAGGTTTTTAAAGACTGTGTGTGTGTGTGTGTCTGTACTGCTGCATCTCTCCTGACTCAACGCTGTGTTGGTTTGCAGAGGGACCTGGACTTCACCGTAGACATCGACTTCAAGGGTCAGCTGTGTGAGATGTCGAAGACGTCAGAGTACAGGATGCGTTAGTGTCTCCTCCTTGTTAGTGTGTCTGTAGTAGAGGACAGGTGACGTGTGACTGGGAGTCTGTTCTATAGTTTGACGCTCCCCTGCAGCAACATTTTAAAGACTGTCGTTTTTTTTGTTTCCTTTCATGTTCTTGTATCAACAGTAACAGTATTTAAAAGTTTTCACATTCTTGGGGTCAAAGTGTGTTGCCGTGGTGATTTCATTGTGCAGTAGTCACTCAACAAAATGTATGTTTGACATGTGCCTGGTGTTTGTGTCCAACATCTTCCTGGGTTTTTCTTCTGTCCTTCTGCATGTGTGAGATCCATCCAGATATGAGCTCACGGCCCCCACTCACATGTCTGTGTGTGTGTGGTGTTACTGTCCATTCACTTTGGCCCTTAGTGTGGTCCCTACGGGGCCCAGCCACCAGTCTGCCTCCTCCTCGTGTTAATACAAACTGTATGTAAGTGACAGAAGCTGTCGCCAGACACCTTCAGCCCTGTTCAGACCAAAAATAGCCATGTATTAAAGTGATGATACAGAGGGTCTGTGTCGGTGTGAATGTGGTGCTCCAGGATCCAGAGTACAGACCAGGAAGTTAGTCCTGATATAGAGTTAGTACACACAGCCTTGTCTGACCCCAGTAGTGTGTTTACTAACATTTAATCAGCACAGTATTGCTGAAGAACAAGACTGTGTTAACTGGCTCTAACCCAAACTAATAAGAAAAAAAAAAAACAGCAGTCAGGCCCAGAACATAAAGACTAGGTCTTCATCATTGATCCTAACTCGCATCTGTATGTTTGTTAGTTTGTTTCTGCAGCCTATCAGGGTCTGAGACTGGGACTGAGGGGAGCTGCAGGAGCTCAAAGCCACCCAGCTTCATTTAACCAGTCTGTGCAGCACAAACCTCCTGTCTGTTCACACAGCTTCAACATTAAATCCAACACACAGTTCATCTGGATGTTTACCAGATGTGAGCAGCTCCTCCATTTCCTGTGTGCAGTGCATTGTGGGAGAACAGTGTGTTAACAGCGCAGTTTAGAGTATTGTCCTGGCTGCTGTGAGTAAACTTAATGTTGTACTAACAACCTGCTTACATCCAGGATGTAGGACGCATTTAGGACACAGCATTCAGTAGGACCTGAACCAGAACCTGAAGGGGGGGGGGGGCTGCTGCAGACCTGCACCTCTTTGTTGTTGGGCCATCATCATCATGTGTAACAGCTAGATTGCAGCATCTGTACTGCACCAGCTACCTTCCTCATTTGGCTTAGATCAGACCACACACCTGAGCATGAAAACTAATTTACTGCTGGACCTGAACAGAGAGAGGGCCTGGTGGGTCCAGATCCTGAGGCCTGGTTCCAGCTGGCTTCACAGCTCTGTCAGGTGTCCTGGAGCCTGTGTGTGTCTGTGGCTGCTGAGTGTGAACCATGGTCACCATGTTGACACTCTGCAGATAGCTCTGACTCAACACTTTGATTTTCTCTTTTTGTATTTTATTTTTTTGTCTGCTGCTTTTTTTTTTGTTTTTTGTTTTTTTTTTAAATAAAACTAATAAACTGTAACTGTAACTTTCCTTTCATCTGCTACAGAGTGTGACCTGTGTGGTTCTCACTGTACACTCGTTATAGACACTACATTCAACACCACACGGAGTTTAACATATGAACCAAGAGTCGACAGAACCCCTCACCTCGAGGGTTTAAATCCACAGTGGGTCTGTGACACTGATGTGAACACAATAAATTAATTGGCTGAAGCAGTAAAAGATTCAAGGGTTGAACAGTCAGTGTAACACAGTGTAATGACTACAGTTAGTGTGTGTGGAGGGGTGCTCAGGAGGAGAAGTTAATGATCAATAATCAAAAGAAGGAAAACATTTCAGATTAAATATATATACACATAAGAGCTACTCAAGGATTACTTACTAGTTTTTTTTGGGGGGGGGGTTTCTTCATCTGTTTGATCAATGGATTGACTGATGTAGACACAGGCCTGTTGAACAGCTGTGAGATGTTTCAGTGGAGTCACTGATGATGGTTTGAAGCTGCCTGACCACAGGAAGTCATCATGTCACTCTGCTGACACTTCCACCAGTAGGTGGCAGCAGCAGTGGGTTTTTATGTGTTTATCAGTGACTGACGCCAAGTCACAGCTCCTGGTACCAAACGTGCAGAGAGGACGAGTAATCAAACCTGCAACCCGCTGTCACAGGTGTTAGTGTTAGCACGTGTTGATGGCACCATATAGTATTAAAAGAACGAATGATGATGACAACGATGAAAAAATATGAGTCATTTGTAGAAAAACTCATCAGTATCCATATTCAATACTCATACCGTGAATATTCAGATAAAGAGAAAATTGTTTTACTTAACAAAGTATTTTTTAATCTCATGTAATAACCTGGTTTCTTCCAGGTGTAGCTCAGACCACCTCATCCGCCCTCAACTCTCTGCTCCTGTGTGTGGCACAAGCAAATTAAGAAACCTTACCTTCAAAGTTTGTGAATTAGATTGTGCCAAGTATTTACAGATGAACGCTAATGTTAGTTACAGTTTAGCTAACTAATGTTAGCTAGCTGATAGTGTGCTCTCTCAGTTCCAGTGTTAGCTTGTTATTTCATTACCAATATAAAATGTCATATATGATCTAATATTAGTACTGGTGCTCAGTCATGAGGGGTGAGACAATGGAGGATTAGTTGGATTAATAGAGATACGTTTTGACATCATTATATAGTTTATTATTTCATTTGGTGTGGTAGTTTGTTAGTCTTTAATCTTTAACATTAGTTTTTATAATACACACCCTCTTTGTTTATACTCAGGAATTCAGGTTTTTTACCTGTTCGCTTTATTAAACAATATTAAAATTCATGTGTGCCCAACACCTCAGTTCACGGAAGCACATGCCTGCTCTGTACTGGGTTTCCTTTCACCCTGGAGAAATAGTTGACCCCCCTGATTGTCATTGTATTAATCACACTTCGACCAGAACTGTTTACCTCTGAGCTGCTATGATCAGCACCATCTCCTGACTGAAAGGTGTATTACCTCAATATAATGAAAGTGTGGAAAAAAGTTAGTACAGTTCATGATTACTAACATGAAAACAACAGGTGGGTGTTTGTTTCAATAAAACGGAACATGTACCTTTGTCCTTACCTACAACACTAACACCAGACTGAGATGAATAATAACCGCAGTACAAACTGAAGACATGTGGACACTTGAATTATAAGAAGAGACAGACTATGATTACCCGATGATCCTGGATCCAGCAGTCTAATGGACCCTGAATCTGAAAACATCACTACAAACTGACTGAGGATCAGGAGCTTGTATAAAGGTGTGTATGTACTATATGTGCTACTATAGACTGTAAGTTATTTTTTTATCTCTGCTGACTTAAACTCTTTATTAGTACAAACCCATCTTTTAATCTTCTACACTCAGGTTTCATGATTTTCAGGTCTTATATCTTCATTATTCATTTTATTCTCACCTTTGATTTTCCACCATGTTCATGAAAACTCAGGTTTGTAATTGATTGGACTGAAAACAGAGGTGGCTCGTTACTGCTATTTCTCAGACGGGAGTCACAGTCACATGACCTGCAACTGCATCCATGGTTACTGCAGTTAGAAAAAGCCGGAAGCAGGTTTCCTGAGCTGTCCAGCTTCTGTTTCCTGTGCTGTCTCCTTAATCTCCCATTGTGGCCTCCACAGTCTCTCTCACACACGCACACCCGCATGCGCACACACGCGCACACACGCACACCCGCATGCGCACACACGCGCACACACGCGCACACACACACACACACACACATACACAGGCAGTTGTAAACATCAGTACAGCAGAGTTACCTCCCAGAGAGTGTCTTCTAAGGATTCATGAAAATCCCAGATCACATCTGTAACCTCTGCTTGGGGGGCCAGACATCAGAACTGATGTTGAGCCACTCTGTAAGACCGGACCACATATGCTTGCATTTTGTAATGACACCTGAGCAGGATCAGTTTGCTGAATGAAGACTGTGAAATGTGTTTGAATGCTCTGACAAACTGTTAAATATATCACACATTTATATTACAAGAAAGTAAAGCTTGTTTCATTCCCACCTCAAAACAACAACATTCCTGTGTGTGTGTGTGTGTGTGTGTGTGTGTGTGTGTGTGTGTGTGTGTGTGTGTTTCCTTGACCCAGGTATTCACTGGTGGAAACCTGTGAGACCCAAGGGTTGCACAGGAGGAAGACTGTGTTTTATTTGTGACTTCCTTGTGTTGAGGAAATGAGTGAAGTATCCCCAGGAGAGGACTGTTCGGCTCCAAGCCCAGATTTTAATCTTCTCCATGAAGCACATTCAGCTCTCAGGCTGCAGTGAACTCCTGTATCTGTGTTTTCTAAAAAACACTATTAGAAGAAAGTGTTGCAGTTAGAATCATTTACATTGTGAGGATCATCTTCATGTGAAAGGAAAAGGCTGAGCTCTGCCTGTCATCAGGACAATGAGTACTTTTCTATACGGTACATGACAACATATTATTCAGCCTATAAAAACTTTTATTACTTACACAGTCGGACCGGTTTCAAAGCAGAGCGGGAGACCGGTTGCATTTACATTGACTCATTCAGTCAGACACTTTTATCCAAAGTAACTTACAAGTGAGGGACATCACTAAAGCTTCAATTTTAAGAAACAGAGTGAGAGACTGGTTTAACACTTACAGTTAGAGTTTGATTTAGATTTAGATTTAAAATTTACTTTTTAAATGAAATATTTAGATTTAACATTTAGTATAGGCACAAGTCCTCAAAAGGGCTTTAGTTTTTCAGATACCCTTACTTAAAGTAGCCTACAACAAAACACAACCATGTTTTGTCATAAGGTATGTCCCCTTTCATAAGATATGTCCCCTTCATGAAATGGATTGTCATATAACAGAAATATTTTTTACCGCAAAATACATCAAAAAGTGATGAAATTGATGAATATATTGACTCAGATCAGACTCAAGTGCAGAATAAAACCACTCTGGAGAGGGATGAGATGCACTAACAGTGCAATGATATCTGTCCTACACCTCCAAGCAATATGAATATCAAAATATATATTTATTATAAAGCCAGAGCTAAGAGGTTTTTCAATAACACAAAAACACTTTCAGGGTTTATATTTCTCATTAATTGATGAATGGTTACATTTTAAGCAGTGTAGCAGTGCATGTCACCTCCATAACAGGAAAGTCAGTGGGAGAGGGAGAAAGAGATATAAGCCCTGGGTCTTACTGCCTATGAGTGTGACAGCTGGCTCGCTAAACTGCTCAAAACTGCCCTCATTGCTCAGGTTGCGAACTATCAACTGGATTTGTTACTTTCAATCTTATCTAAGTGTATGGACAGGGCAGTTTTCAAGCAGGTCTCAGAATTCCTCTTATGGAATTACCTCCTTGATCCAGATCAGGCTTTAAGAGCGACCACTGCACTGAAACAGCCCTGTTGTCTGCAACAGAAACCCTAAGGGCAGCTAGAGCTGCAGCTCAGTCCTCAACCCACTGTCCGTACTCTTCAACATGGGCAGCTCTAGAAAAGCCCTTTCCTGGTTTGAATCCTGTCTCACAGGCTGCTCCATATGTCATTCACGGCAAAGACAAACATCCTTATCCCATCCCCTCCCAATGGATTGCCCCAAGAATCGGTACTAGGAACCCTCCTCTTTACAATATACACCACCTCTGTTGGTCCAACTATCCACTGACATGACTTCATCAGGGGGGTCAACTATTTCTCCAGGGTGAAAGGGGCCCCAGTACAGCACAGGCACATGCCTCAGTGAATTGAGGTGTTGGGCACACATATATTTTAATAATGTTTAATTGCCCAATAGTGTTTGTTAAAATTAGATAATATATGACATTTTATATTGCTAATGAAATGACAAACTAATATTGGAAATGAAAGGGTTAGCTTTATATAGCTAAACTATAACTTAAGGCTAAAGTTAGAAACTGGCTAACATTAGTTAGCTAAGCTTGAACTTAAGTCTAGAGTTAGAAACTAGCTAACATTAGTTAACTAAACTGTAACTTAAGGCTAAAGTTAGAAACTGGCTAACATTAGCTAGCTAAACAGTAACTTAAAGTTAAAGTAAGAAACTAGCTAACATTGGCGTTCATCTGTAGATACTTGACACAATTTAATTCAGAAACTCTGAAGGTAAGAAAGTAAAATGTATTAAACAAGCTAGATATTTAGCTATGGCTACTTACATTTACCTACAGTGTCTGTGCAACACACAGAGATGCAGCCTACTGATGGAATAAAGGAGCTATTTGTAAGTTTTGCTATTGCTACATAGCTAACATTAGCATTAGCAGCTGTTTACTTACCAGTTTACAGGACACGTTGCATTTTCAGCATCAAACTTCATTCCTTTACACACCAACAGCTGTCTTCAGAGGTGGAAAGAAACACCAGTTTTAATTCTTGTCTCTATCACGTCTTTTCTTCTACTGAAGTTAGCACGCTAACCAACTACCCCCTGGCCCATCTAGTCACTAGCGACTCACTGTAGCCTCCAACCTGCCCTGGAGAAGTAGCTGCTCAGAGGACGTAGCCTATAACTCCTGCATTATAAAGACTTTGATGGCTGAAGCTCTTGTCAAGCGACAATCACCACCACCTGCTACCAGCAAGAAACCACATTTGATGGTTGAGAAAACTTGATACTAGCTCCTTTAACCTGTTAAAAAAAAAATGTCAGCAGCTATGCCCATTCTCGCGGCTTCCATATTATTTGAACTGCAACATCTGATCTTTTTGACTGTGAACATTGTACTGATATGATCAGTATCAACATATTTGTGACTTTCAAAACAGCATTAACAGCATATTATGTTAATGGTGACGTGATAAGTGCTAAGTAAAGAGACAAATTTGTTTAATGTTCTCCTAAAAATTTGTTTCCAAAAAACTAAACTACAAGAAAAACGACAACGTTTGCTAGGCAACTTACATGAACAAGAAGTTCACAGATACACAAAAGTTAATGTAGTAAGAACTTGGCTCCCTCCTGCAGCATGATTGGTGCCATATGTGGCTACATGGAGCTGTGGAGCACGCGCCGCTGTGTGCAGTGGGCGGAGCTTCAGGACGCACAACTGATTTGGAGCTCTGTAACCAGTCTTCGAGGATGCAGCGCAGGATGAAGGAGCTGGAGAGAGACGGAGGAGGAGGAAAGGCTGGAAGTACGAAAGAGAGGGACCAGGTAAGAGTCTGTAGAAAACAGAGACACAAATACACACCATACAGACACTGGGTTTCAATATCAGAGGAATGAGAAGGTATCACCTAGACTGAACTTAGACCAGGCGTGTACAGTTTACTACAGATATGATGAAGAGGAGATAACACTGTGTGTTTAGGTGTGTTATTGTAGTTGTGTCCTTAATTCTACACTGTGCTGAGTTTCACTGAGTTTTACTGTTGATGAGCTCATGGAGCAGGGGAATGGGAGGTCTTGTATTTACTTAAACACAGATGTTGTTATACCAGCTTAGACTTGTAAAATGCCTCAGGCCAGCAGTGTGGTATGAAGTCTGAGGAGTCCAGCCTGACTGAAGGATCTGATGGTATCTGACTGTTTGTTCCTCTGCATGTTGACTGAAATAAAAACTACAGAAATAAAGGCACAGTCCGTGGTTATATTGAATACTGGAGCATGTCATTATTCTCAGACTGTCAGGTCTAAACTGATAATGACTGAATCCACATTATCAGCTGATGAGGACTTGTTTATGTTGACATCAGTGGTGTTTGGTGTTTGACTTGATCATAGTTTGGGGACAACATGTTGGATGTTTAAGCTGCTTCTCTTGTTGTGGAAACAGCAGCTACAGGACCAATGCACACAACAACCCTCAGGCTGGTTACATGGCTGCTCTACAGTTCAGGCAACATGTCAGATAACACAACTTAATTCATAAGCTACACACTAACAGAGGTACCACAAGTACACAGACTATAGTACACTCACTGTATACATCTACAGACAATTTAAACTTTATTCAAATTGATTAAACAAACAAACAGGTTGGTAAGAAATAACTTAATAAAAACATAAATAATGATAAACTAGAAACTGAACTGGACCAAACAAGGAGCTCACTATCATGCTGCTGGTCTGGAGTATCATGTACTGCTGTATGATCACTGAGGATAACTACAACAGAAAGGAATGTGTCTGGATATGAGGCACAGTGATAACATGTTGTCTCTGCAGGAAGCAGTTAGTCCTGGTGTGTATGTAATATTCAATATTGGTTTGGACAGAAAAACACAACAGGGCTTTGAAATGCTTTCCAGACCACCTGTGTATGGACTGTGTGCAGGGATTGTTTGTCTCAGCTTTAAACTGATGTTTTCCTAAGAAGAGATGGAAGAGAACGAACAGGAACAGTGAGACATGGTGTTTAGATGAGGACACCCCCCACTTCCTCATCACTTATTACAAACTAGTCTTAGAGAGCATGACTGTTTCCCTTTGTGGTCCTGTTCAGACTTGGTAACATGTGTCTCAGCTGATCGGATCACAGGTGGACAGCTCATCAATTCACATGTAGTAGTAACATGTGTCTCTAGTGACCACTTGTTGTTGTTTTTAAGTCTGACTGTGACAGATGGGTCTGTTGTCTGTTGTCAGTATGGTTGTGAGGATGCATCTGTGTTCACACTTCTAAAAGAATGTGGACACATGTGGTGCAGATCAATTCCAAACATGGCTGGATCTCAGATGCCTCTTGGGTGTGTTCACACCTGAATTTAGAGCTGTCCACTTGTGATCGGATCACCTGAGACAGATGTTAAAGCTCCCATATAGTACAAAGGTCTCTTTCCATGTGTTGTTTGATTATAAAGCAGGTCTAGGTTCTATATTAATACTGTGAAAGTATCAAAGCGCTCAGTTCACAGAGAAATGCACACAGCCTGTATTCAGAAACTGAGCCTTAAAACCAGCCGTCAGGACTTCTGGAACTTTGTGATGTCACAACAAAGCAGTCACCACTCTCAGCCATGCCCAAAGCCCAGCCATTCAGAAGAGATTGTGACTCTTCTGACTCTTCTGACTCTTCCAGCTCTTACTGGTGATCAGTTCCAGTTAGAGAGGAGGTATATGTCGAACTGCAGAGGTGAAGCGTGAGGTTGAACATTTAAATCAGACTTCTTTCTACAGTGAAGACATCTGACAACAGCCTGATGCTGGGCATTTTTTTCAACGGCTGTCAGCTGGTGCAGATACAGACAGCCAGGAAGCTGAATGCACTTTAGTTATTTAACCTGAGGTGGTTGTTGAGGAGGATCATGGGGGCAGAAGGTGGTTTACAGTCACAGATCCAGACTCTACAGGTCCAGTGGCAGAAAGACCTGCAGAGAGGAAGAGCAAGTGGAGGGGAGAGAGAGATTGTGACTCTTCTGATTGCCTCACCGACCTGTTGTTACTAGAGCTCCAGAGAAAAGCCTGAGAGAGGAGATGTAAAACTACATTGAGATGGCTTTTTGTTCTTAAAACCACAAATATATCTTCTTATGGATCAAAACAAATAAAACACAGGAGAAGAGGAAAATGTGGGACCTGAACTGGGGTCTGAACAGGTCTGAACAGGTCTCACAGCTCAGTCTCTCCAGAAGCTCAGTGAGTTTTTTTGATTATTGTGTTTAAAAATGTTATGGTGAAACTTCATTTGTAAACTGCAAGTCTGCACTTTTATAGAGTGTGTGTACTTTTCTCCTTATACGTTTATAAATAAGGTGAATTGTTACAACCTGCAGTAGTTTTCAGCTCTTACTGGTGATCAGTTCCAGTGAGAGAGGAAGTATATGTTGAACTGCAGAGGTGAAACGTCAGGCTGAAACATTTAAATCAGACTTCTTTCTACAGTGAAGACATCTGACAACAGCCTGATGCTGGGCATTTTTTCAACAGCTGTCAGCTTGTGCAGATACAACAGACAGCCAGGAAGCTGAATGCACTTCAGTTTTTTAACCTGAGGTGGTTGTTGAGAAGGATCATGGGGGCAGTAGGTGGTTTAGTAGGAGGGGAGAGAAAGAGAGAGAGATAGAGCGAGAGAAAGAGAAAGACGAGGAAGAACAATCTACAGAGAGAAGAAGTTGAGGTAGTAACATGTGTTAATGGGAGATGAATGAGAACAGATGGAGGGGGAGAGGGTGGAGCTGGTTCAGGACTTACCTGAGTCCGCTCTTACTATAAGCTTTATCAAAGAGGACAGTTTGAAGCCTGATCTTGAATGTAGAGAAGGAGTTTGCATCCTGAACCCAGACTGGGAGCTGGATCCACAGGAGAGGAGCCTGATAGCTGAAGGCTCTGCCTCCCATGCTAGTCTTCCACAAGTAGACCTGCATTTAGAGAGCGGGGTGTTCTGTTGGGATGATAGGGAACTATGAGCTCTTTAAGATATGATGGTCTCTGACTGTTAAAGGCTTTGTAGGTGAGGAGGAGGATTTTAAATTCTGTTCTGGATTTAATAGAGAGTCATTGAAGCTAACATAGGAGAAATGTGATGTCTTCTCCTAGTTCCCGTCAGTTCTGAAGCTGCAGCATTTTGAATCAGCTGGAGAGTCTTTAGAGACATATTGGAGCAGCCTGGTAATAAGGAAATAATCCAGCATTGGCGTAACAGAATTGTCTTTTAAAGACAGGATGTGTCTGATTTTCACAATGTGACGTAGGTGAAAAAAGTCAGTCTTGGAGTTGGTTTTCTGTCGGATAACAAGAGTGCTTATGCTTGTGCTGGAGGCCGGGGCATCCAGAGTACCTGTAACACTAGATCATATGTTCATGTGTTTCTGAGGTGTTTGGGGTCAGGAACAGTAATTTTGTATGAGTTTAATGACAGAACATTTCTGCTCATTCAGGTCTTTATGTCTTTAAAGTTTAAATAACTGACTGGTTTTATCTGACTTCATTGATATGTATAATTAGGTATCATCTGAATAACAATAGAAGTTTATGTGTGTGTGTCCTGATAATATTGGCTGAAAGAAGCAGATATGAGATGAATAGAAGTGGTGCAAGCACTAAACCCTGTGGAAGTCCATGTCTGAAGTTTTCTTACATGGAGGATTTGTTGTTAACATGAACTGAACTTGATCTGATAAAGAAGACCTGAACCAGCTTAGTGTAGTTTCTTTAATGGTAATTCATTCTCATGAACACGATATCTCAGTAACACTTGGAGGGAATTTCTTTAGATTTGGCACAAATATTCACTAGGACTCAAGGATGAACTGATTAGATTTTGGTGGTCAGAGGTCAAAGATTAAGGTCACTGTGACCTCACAAAACATGTTTTTGGTCATAACGCATGAATTAATACGCTAATTATGACACAATTTATCTCAAATGTTTAACAGGATAAAATTATGTAAATATTTCCATATATTTCTAGTTCTAGTTGGTTTAGTTTGGTTTCAGTACACATCATCCCTCTCACTTTCCAGACTAAAGAAACTTCTCCTAAAACATCCTCAGTGTTAACAGCAGTAACCTACATCTATCTGACTCTCTTCTCTTAGTTATTAGTTTTGTGGTGAAATTTTTCTTCATTTTTGATGATTCATGATATCAGTCTGATAGGAACCAGACTGCTGCTGTTGTTCCAGGCAGTGACACGGCATCAGGGACTCGTCATAACGTACGAACCATAATACTGGTCCATCAGCAGGTTCTTCTTTTTCTTGTCTACTTTAATAAGTTGTAGGATGTGTTTGGTGACACTGACCAATAGGAACACAGAGACCGCTCATGGATTAACCTGGAACCATGTGACTGAGCACTGAGGTCCCTCCATGGTAGCCATCTTACCTATCACCTCATCACCACATCACAAACGTAGCCCAAGACAGCAGCTGTGACAGCTGGCTGCTAACAACATGGAGTCACACATGTCTGTGGGTTCACACATGTATTCACAAATGTGATATGATATGTGGATTGGCAAGAAATAGTGTGGACCCTCTGAATAAACTGTTTCTGCAGTAACTGGTGATAAAATGTGTTGACAAACACAATGTGCTTCAGCTAATATCACACAGACAGTTATAATCTTTGTGTCTTCATTGAACAAACACAGTCATTAAACATTCACAGCTCTGGTGGAAACAGTCAGTGGACCTTGGATTTAATAATTGGTTGAACCTCTTCTGAAACCTGCTCTTCAGTAGCTGCTGATCAGAGCTGCTCAGTGTTCAGGAGGAAGTTTGGACCATTCTTCCTATAGAGACCTGGTTCACATCAGCTGATGTTTCTGACAGGACCTGAGACAACCACGTTCCTGCTCAGGACCACCAAGGCTTTGACCCTCTTTCAACTTGTCATAATGAGGTGCTGCCAGCTGTTTAGTGACCAACCATGACAGGCTTTCTGTTTTTGTTCTGGTGAGTCCAACAAAGCTTTGACTCAGTCCCTGGACTAGTTTACATGAGCAAACTGAAATCAAGGTGGAATAAAGCTGTTTTCAGACTTGCTGTCTTTTCCAGTGCTGGGTTCCTCTATCTGTTAAAGCGCTTGTTGTGATTCAGACTGAGGGGTCTATTTCTTGAATGTTCATTTTGAAGGAGTCAGCTGTTGTGTCTTTTCTGAGAATGAGATGTTTCCAATGCAGACACAGTTGGCTTGGATCAGTCACTTGGGAGAAACCCAGTTCCTGGTCTAACGGCTGCCCCTTTGGACCATTATGCAGTGCAGGTCCCACTGGACAGGATGAGAAAAAGTCCTGTAATCTAACACTAGCTGTGTGAATGAGGAGGGTGGTGAGCAATGAGAAGATGAAGTGAAGCCTGTGGAGAACAAACAACAGACAGGTTGAACCAGTCCTCTGTCAGTGAAGCTGTAAGATTGTGTTTCAATTTAATCTGCACACACACACACACACACACACACACACACACACACACACACACACACACAAAGTGTGTGACTGACAGTTTCCCTGTTCAGACCTGGTAATGTGTCTCAGGTGGAAGCAATCAGATTTCTTTGGCAGCATATGTGTAACATGGTTTCACGGGAGGGAATAAAAAAAAAGTGATTTACAGAGAGCCAGACTGTTCAGAGTGTGCTCACCTGTACCCACCTGTACGCACCTCCTGCTCTGTGTCATCTGGATGAATGGCTGGCTGGGTGGATGGATGAATGGATGGATGGACAGATGATGGATGGATGGACAATGGATGATGGATGGATGGATGGATGAATGGATGGATGATTTATGGATGAGTGGATGGATGGATGGATGATGGACAGTGGGTAGATAGATGAATGGATGATGGATGGATGATGGACGATGGATAGATGGATGAATGCATGAATGGATGATGGATGGATGATGGACAATGGATAGATGGACAGATGGATGGATGAATGTCTGAGCTAACATTGATCTAGGGTATAGATCTAGGTAGAGATCTTATTAATGACCTTCATGTCTAAGTGGATCAGGGGATTGTGCAGTAATCAGGTTACTACAGGTTGTTTAAATTAACTGATCCTGTCTAACCTGATTTTCCCAGTAACCTGGTTTCTGGTGTGCATGTGAACGTTCTCATCTTCTCTTTACAAGACACCAACAAAACACAATGTGGGAAGTAGGACATCTAGAGAAAGACCCAGGTAGAGTGTCATTAACAATACAGTTGAGCAGAAACAGAAGGTCTAGATTGTTGTTTTGAAACAGAAACAAACCAGGTTATGGAGTTTTTTGTGCAGTGTCATAAATATATCATAATATCAGTAAGTAAAAATAAAAAAATAAAAAAATTAAAACAAATTTAATTCAATTTATGTCTGGTTCTGCTTCTTAAATAGATTTTCTTTATATTGATAGGAGATCTACAGAACAGGTGACTGTACAGAACTGTATTGTTCAGTCATTTAGAGTTCAGAGGTCAGGGTCTGGGAGGAGGACTTTTCACCTCCATGTGAAATACAATACAAAGCTTTTTCTCTGATTTTAGTTTAGGCGGCAGACGAGAGCCCTGTTGACATCACTCTGGTTGTAGATGTACACGATGTTCAACATGTTGTTACCAACCTGTCCCTGCAGCCTCTTTAGTCTTTTCTGTTGTTGTTTGTGTGTCCTCATGGTGCTAACAAACTGTCCTCTCGCTCACAGAGCTGGATTCCCAAGATCATCAAGAAGAGACTGTGCACCACTTTTGTTGAAGACTCTTTCAGGTAATCTCTCCTCCTCTGTCACCAGGACTCAGTATTTTAATGTCAGTATTCTGTTTTTCTGGTCATAACTTTCTTTTTACTGAGCATCAGCTCTGCAGTTGATTCTGTAGATCATGATATCTGAATGCTCTCAGGTGGTTCATCTCTTGCCTCTCAGACAGTTTACCATGGCTTTTGATAATCTCACATCGTCTTCTTCCCCTTTGAAATCTGGAGTACCTCAAGGCTTGGTCGTAGGTCGCCTTCTGGTCTAATAATACACAATTTTAAGATTTCTGTTTGTTGTTTTGCTGATGATAGACAACTTAATGTCTCTGTAAAATCAGGGTCAATTAGCTGTTTGACTCTATGATTGACAGCAGAAACAAACAAACACAAACATTCACTAGGACTCAAAGGTGAACTGATTAGATTTTGGTGGTCAAAGGTCAAGGATGAGTTTTGGCCTTTTGAACACAATATCTTGGGAACTCTTCAAGGGAATCCCTTTAAAATTGGACTCAAGGATGAACTGATTATGATTTTGGTGTTCAAAGGTCAAAGGTTAAGGTCAGTGTGACATCATAAACCACTTTTTAGCCAGAAATCAAAACGTGCAATAACAGCAATTATGACTCTGGATAAAAAGCGATGTAATCTGAAACTAATCTGAGTGGCGGAGACATACAACCACGAGGCAGTTATTCTATTTCTAAGTGATTTTTTGGGCATGTTAAAAACATGATCAGGGCAGCACTGTGTGTCTGTCAGAGTGTTTGATGTTTCCACAGTAGATAAACATTATATTGACAGACAGGGTTGTACCAACTATGAACTTTATCATTGTAAAAACCTCAAATGACTTTGAAATGTCGAGATACTTTCAACTACAGAATAATAGATTTGTGTGGGTGTATATTTGTGTGTGTTGTGTGTTAGTAATGGAGCATTGTGTCAGTGTGGTGGTGTGCGGGAGGTCCATGACTCCGTGGCAACAGGGGACTATTTTGGAGCAGCTATCGTCACCCAGTGGGACAGCCGACAGCACTCCTCAGAGTGTCCCACTGACGCCTTCGGAGAGCTGGAGTTTGCTGGCGCTGGACGCAGACACAGTCATGTGAGTTGCACACACGCACACACACACACACACACACACACACACACACACACACACACACACACACACACACACACACAAACACAAACACAAACACACACACAAACACACTGACTCAGTTAACTCTGGGTTTACCTGTCCAGGTATGAGCATGTTCAACTGAAAGAGGAAGAGTTGTTAATTATAACAGCATCGTCAGAACCATGAATATATTAATATGATATGAGAAGAAACACTGATACCTGCAGGTAAATTCAGGTGTTGAACATTTTCTCTAAAGTTAAGTGTCAGGATGAATGTATCACGCTGAATGATGTGGATGTAATGTATCAGTCAGACTCAGTAGTCCTCTCTTCCTGTCTAGTTTCTGCGGCTGTCATGTGACACGTCTCCTCAGATCATCTACACCCTGATGACGGCTCACTGGGGTCTGCCCTCACCCAACCTGGTGGTGTCAGTGGTGGGGGGAGAGGGCCATGGGAAGATCAAGACGTGGGTGAGAGATGTCCTGAGAAACGGGCTAGTCAGGGCCGCACAGAGCACAGGTAAGAACCCAGAGAGACCAGTAGAAACCAGTGAGGACACAACATGGAGACAGTTTATATGAAGACTTCATTAATTATAAAAAACTGTTAGTTACTATAAATAATGACTGCTTTAATGATATTTAAATATATGAGTTTACTAAAGGTTTCCATATAGATACTATAATATACACTGTGACTATTTCTACCCCTCCCCTCTGTTGTCCAGGGGCCTGGATCTTGACGGGGGGTCTGAGGGAGGGTGTGTCCTGCTGTGTGGGTGAGGCCGTGAGGGACCACGCTGCTGCAGCTCCAGCTCTCTCCCAGAAGAAAGTGATTGCTGTGGGACTGGCTCCCTGGGGCCTGGTGCACAACAGGCAGCAGCTCGTCAACGCCCAGGTACCATCACACAGCATGTGGTCCATCGGACCCACCCAGTAACAAGATAGTCCTAGTAACACACCCCAGTACACCTGCACAACAGGATGGAAATCATCAGTGACTATTTTTATATTTTATCTTGCTCTAGTTTGATGATGAAGAGTCACTTCACAAGGTGAATTACACCTCTGTAAATTATCTACTGACATGAACACATCTGATTTGACACCTGTCACAAACAGAGTGAGAGTAGATGTGAGACATAACCAATCCAGTAACAGCTATTACAGCTGTGGACTGGCTCCTCAACGCTGTGTTGGTGGGAGACATGAAGCTCTGGCTGACACATGATTTACCTGGACCCATGAAGCTGTGACTGATGGTTTTACACCTTCATCAAAGTAAAGATTCATGAACCGACTCAAAATCTTTGAAATGACGTAAACAGGAGAAACAGAAACATGGACGGAGTCTAAACACAGACAGACAAAAGGAGGCGGAGCCCGTGACAGAGAGATGGACAGGGACGTCACACAGGTTTATTACAGGAGAACAGCTGCACTGACAGAACCATTCACAGAGTCACGTCATTCCTACAGGAACCCGTCAAGGACTCCTGTCAGAGTGCACAATAAATGACATGGCCCAATTCCAATCAGATTAAGATGGCAAATGGAAAGTGTTCTTTGTCAATGCTTCTATATAAATATCGATTTAATGTTCTTCCTGAAACATTTTGGGTAACAATGAATTTCCTGTTTCCGTCAGAAAGGTGAGGGCGTCCAAGCACTTCACGGTTTGTTTATTACCCTCCCACTTCATGAAGAGACCTTCCACAGAATTACACTCAGACACAGAATATGTGGAGGTTGATAAGGGGCAATTAATTCAGAGATACAATCTGGCCATGAAGTACTTTAAAAGTCAGAAGTGGAATCTTAAAATTTATTCCATAACGTACTGGTAGCCAGGGTAGAGACCTTCAGAGGGGGGTGATATGATCTCTGTTCTTAGTTTTTGTTTGTAGTCTGGCTGCTGCATTTTGTGCTATGTGAAGTTTATGAATTGTTTATATGAGTTGACTGACTCTGGTTCCTCTGTGTGTTTAAGGGCAGTTTTCCTGCTCGCTACTATGTCCAGAACACTGTTGATAAATGTAGCTCATGACTTAGTTAAGGACATAGACCACCAGGGTTTGACAGTGCTGTGAAGTGGTTAGAGATGTGGTCCTGCTAGCCTCAGTCACGTAAAGAAAGACAAAAAGAAGAGTTCTGAAATTTCAAGAAAACAGTCATAATATTACAAGAAAACAGTCATAATATTACGAGAAATAAACATGTTAAATTTGGAGAGAAAAAACATAATTTTTAGGAATATTACATCAACCCATCAAACAGGTGAAAGGACAGTCAGTGGCAGCCTGAGCTGCTTCTGGCAGCTGCTGTTTGTCTGTCTAACAGTAGAATAGACTCAGTTTCTTCACAATCTTTTTAATGTCCTGATGATGATGATGATGATGATGATGATGATGATGATGATGAGTCAAAAAATGAAGTAGTTTAGTTTTTGTTTGTAGTCTGGCTGCTGCATTTTGTGCTATGTGAAGTTTATGAATTGTTTATATGAGTTGACTGACTCTGGTTCCTCTGTGTGTTTAAGGGCAGTTTTCCTGCTCGCTACTATGTCCAGAACACGTCACGTGACTCCTTCTGCCTGGACAATAACTGCCAGGCTTTCCTCCTGGTGGATGATGGGAGTCTTGGTCGCCGGGGTGGAGAGGCCGCCTTTCGTGCTAATCTGGAGGACTACATTTCCCATCAGCGCACTGGCATCTGGGGTGAGACAGAAACAACATCAAACTCTAGGTCACAGGATCTGACACATGGTTCATTACTGTAGTTACCTGCACATGTGGACTGTGTGTGGGCCGCACCTGCCTGCCCTCTAGTGGTGAAGGTCAGCGCTGTACAGCACATCACACTGTGTGTATGATGTATGTGTAGATGATTGTTAGGTTAGGTTAGATATGCTGGATGTGTTAGATTCAGCTCATGTTCAGACATATAGTACATGTTGTGTGATGTAATGAGAAGCGTCTCTGTTCTCATTTCCTGTCTTGGATCAACAACAGGAAGTGGCAGTATTGAGATCCCAGTCCTGTGCATGCTCATCTCAGGAGACGCCAATATGCTGGAGGTGAGGAGCCTGTCACATAGGTTCACACTCTGTACACACACCACAGTGGATTTACAGTGTCAGAGCTCAGGTAGCACAGGTTCATTAGCTTAGACCACAACATGTGTTGAATGAAGGGGAGATACAGGTCTTACTTGACTGGGTGGTTGACCCCTCCTCCCCCAGCTGATGTTCATTGAGGTTAACAAACAGATGCAAATAGAAACTGAACTTCTTCAGGGACGGTGGCTTTGGTTCCTGGATGTCAGCAGCGCTCTGCTATCAGTAAAAGTGAGACAAGTCTGATATTAACATGTTTGCAGTGTGAAGGTAGTTGTGTTTGTTTCTGCCAGTGTTTCAGTGTGTGTGAGTGAATGTGTGATAGAAAAGTGTTGCAGCCACTAATCACATTGTACTCAGGATGAACATATTTTAAAGAAAGAGGGTGGTTTTATTGAAAAGGAATAAAAGAAACAAACAATAACTTGGTTGGTCTTCAGTGGCTTTACTGATTTTCAGGGTGTAACTGCCAACTCATCTGGCTCAGAACAAATATATCAAAATCACAGTATCCAAAAATAATAAAACATTCTCTAAATAACTCCATTTAAGATTATTAAACTATAAGAATTAAAAAGGAAACACAAAATCAGCTTTGGTGTGAGGAATTATTAGCCCAATCCTAAATATCAAAAAGTCTTAAAACACATTCTTATAACAAGTATATTTTTTATAGAAAATAATAAGTTAACCCAAAGATTCCAATATATAATAATTACACGTTAAAATAATTATGTTCTATAGATTTTCTAACGAATAGATTCATGCATCCTTATCCATATTTACAGTGTAGCTTGATCCTGAAGAATTAAAAGAAACAAACAATAACTTGGCTGGTCTTCAGTGGCTTCACTGATGCTCAGGGTATAACTGCCAACAGAAGAACACAGCGTAAGCCCATGGCTTATACACACAGCTGCTCTGTGCGTGTTCCTGAATCAAAAAATGCATTGAATTGAATGGGGCTATCTGTAATGATACAAAATAAAGTGCCTACTATTTATAAAATAATACAGCTGCAAGTGAGTGGACAAATACACGCAAATACCCTATACGCCACAAAAGCACAATGAATGTGTGAGTGAATGGGTGAATGTGGCTGCAGTGGTTGAGACGGTAGAAGAGCTGATTATAACTCAGTGCCTGATACATCACAGATATATAATATATGCCCTTGCCTAAAATTAAACACCCGCTGGAGTTTGACACTTGTCAGCTCACATCTCTGTAGAGGACAGATGTCTGTGAGTCTCTCTGACTGAACACTGATGAATGAAAATGTTGTTAACTGTGTCCACTTGTCCTCTGGCTCAGAGACTAGATGCCTCTCTGAAGAAAGCTACACCCTGGCTGGTTCTGGCTGGTTCTGGACCAGCTGCAGACCTTATCAGTGAGCTGCTGTGCAACCTGTCCTCTGTCCCCCTCAGTCCCACCTCTCCCTCTGCAGAGGGGGAGGCCGCTCAGGGCCTCAGCGCAGAGCTTCGCGACAGGGTTCGTGACAAGGTCCGGAAACACTTCCCATCTGAAGCAGAGCTGGAGAGACTGGTGGACAGTGTGAGTCAAACAGCTCATATACAGACATAATAACTTCAATCAGTCACTTTCTGGACACGTAGCTGAACCTGTCATCCAGTCTGACATGTTACCTGTCTCAGCAAACGTTACTGTGATGAGCAGGAGGCAGGAGGGTCTCATGTATGATGATATGAAACCGGATGTAAATCAGTCCTGTTCTCTTTGTCTGTGTGTGTCCAGGCTCTGAGCATCCATCAGAACAGAGAGCTCATCACTGTGTTCCACGGAGAACAGGAGGGTTCTGATGAGTTTGATACAGTTCTCCTCAAAGCCCTTGTTAGAGGTGAGTCAAGTTAATTAGTCAGTTATATTGTAGTGTCACACAGAGAGACTCACAATACAAAATAAGGCAACAGACATAAAATATAGACTGAAGACAAGTGAAGTAGTAAAATAGGGAAGAACGGTCTCAGCTGTAGGACCATAAGAACCTGTACCAGAGTGACTCCAGGTTTAACAGAGGAGCAGGTGTTTCTGTTGCCATGGAAAACCAGACTGACACTTGTCAAGAATAATGTGCTCATGTAAGAGAGTGGTAAACTGCTTAGCAACCACTTACTCTGAGGCACAACTAGATGTCAGACAGAGAGCACACCAGGACCAGGAGATGTAGATGTAGATGTAAGATGACCTCTGATGAGGGGATACAGAGAGGGAACATGTGGAGGAGGATCCAGGACTCAGAGGACTCAGCTTCTCATACATCTTATTACTGGTTCACCAGCTTAGTACAAATCCACCTTCATCATAAGAAACCGCAATAATCCATGATGAAGGGTGGAGGAGGGACAAAGTGTCAGACCTCTGTTTATTTAGTAAAACAGTAGAATGTGTTCATGTTGTTTTCTCTGTGACTAATGTCACTGTTACATTCATGTTAGGGTTAACAGCCAGTTTAAGAACCAGACAGCAGTTCATGTAGATCCTCCACTCATCACACTGTCATTGTTAGTATTAACCCTCAGTAACTGAAGACATGCCCACACCCCTGAGTTTCATCATCCTTCACATTCACCTCTCCACAGGATTCTTCATTTCATGACCTCCACATATTTCCCATCAGCCTTGTCATGGCCCTTCTTGGAGATCAGTCACAGTTATACAGTCTCTCTCTCTCTGTCTCTGTATGTGTGTGTGTGAAGCTAGTAAACGTGTGTGCAGTGCAGCCAGTGAGTGCACAGAGGAGTTGAAACTGGCTGTGGCCTGGAACAGAGTGGACATCGCCAAAGCTGAGCTCTTCAATGGCGACATACAGTGGAAGGTCAGAGTCACACTGAACAACATAGTACCATCTGTTCACCTGTTCACCTGTTCACCTTCACTAAGAGCTTCTCCTTCTGTTTCATGTCAAGTGTTTCTTTACTTTAAAATGTTCTGAAACAGTTCAGAGTTCCACTTCTGTAAGGTTTGAAGACTGAATAGAGGAAGACCCTGACTGTCTGGGAACCACCACATTTCTAAAGGACTGATACTGAATATAACCAGTTCTGCTTTCTCTCTGCTCCTGTGTTGGTGGGAGACATGAAGCTCTGGCTGACACATGATTTACCTGGACCCATGAAGCTGTGACTGATGGTTTTACACCTTCATCAAAGTAAAGATTCATGAACCGACTCAAAATCTTTGAAATGACGTAAACAGGAGAAACAGAAACATGGACGGAGTCTAAACACAGACAGAAGAAAGGAGGCGGAGCCCCGTGACAGAGAGATGGACAGGGACGTCACACAGGTTTATTACAGGAGAACAGCTGCACTGACAGAACCGTTCACAGAGTCACGTCATTCCTACAGGAACCCGTCAAGGACTCCTGTCAGAGTGCACAATAAATGACATGGCCCAATTCCAATCAGATTAAGATGGCAAATGGAAAGTGTTCTTTGTCAATGCTTCTATATAAATATCGATTTAATGTTCTTCCTGAAACATTTTGGGTAACAATGAATTTCCTGTTTCCGTCAGAAAGGTGAGGGCGTCCAAGCACTTCACGGTTTGTTTATTACCCTCCCACTTCATGAAGAGACCTTCCACAGAATTACACTCAGACACAGAATACGTGGAGGTTGATAAGGGGCAATTGATTCAGAGATACAATCTGGCCGTGAAGTGCTTTGTTCTTAGTTTTTGTTTGTAGTCTGGCTGCTGCATTTTGTGCTATGTGAAGTTTATGAATTGTTTATATGAGTTGACTGACTCTGGTTCCTCTGTGTGTTTAAGGGCAGTTTTCCTGCTCGCTACTATGTCCAGAACACTGTTGATAAGTGTAGCTCATGACTTAGTTAAGGACATAGACCACCAGGGTTTGAGAGATGTGGTCCTGCTAGCCTCAGTCACGTAAAGAAAGACAAAAAGAAGAGTTCTGAAATTTCAAGAAAACAGTCATAATATTACAAGAAAACAGTCATAATATTACGAGAAATAAACATGTTAAATTTGGAGAGAAAAAAAATAATTTTTAGGAATATTACATCAACCCATCAAACAGGTGAAAGGACAGTCAGTGGCAGCCTGAGCTGCTTGTGGCAGCTGCTGTTTGTCTGTCTAACAGTAGAATAGACTCAGTTTCTTCACAATCTTTTTAATGTCCTGATGATGATGATGATGATGATGATGATGATGATGATGATGATGATGATGAGCATGAGCCAAAAAATGAAGTTTCTCCTTATTTTTAAAACCTGCTAAAGTAGAACTTCACAGGATGCTCCACATTCCTAATTTTAAAGCTTTTGATATTTTCCCTCTAAAACAACATGGAACCTAAAAATTACTTAACTTTTTCGTGTAAAATTAGAACTTAATTCTCATAATATTATGACTTTAGATTTTTTTTCCTCAATATGGCCCTATAACACTCCATCATAGTTACATGATGCTGATGAGATGATTGTATTTTCAGTATGAGGACCTGGAGGACTCCATGACAGATGCACTGATCAATGACAAGCCTCAGTTTGTGCGTCTGTTTTGTGAGAACGGTCTGAACATCCTGGACTACCTGACGTACCGGCGTCTGGAGAGTCTGTACCGCTCTCTGTCAGACAGCTATCTGGTCTACACGCTGCTGCAGAGGCGTCTGAGTGAGAGACAGGCCCTGGCTGGGTCCCTGCCCAGCCTGGACAGGTCTGTGACGTCCCCCCTGAAGAGTCCTCAGAGTGCTCTCACTGGACCGGCCTCTGCAATGGAGCTGAGCCTGTATGAGGTGAGGAGGAAGAGGAGGAGGGAGGAACTGTAGGATGGATTAATCAAATTGTCATGATGATGAAGCTGATGACAGTAATTACTTTTATATGGAGCTTGTTAGTGCCACGGGTGCTCATCTCCGAGGCACTCCTCTACAGCTAGAATAGCTGAGAGGAGTGCCTCGGGGCGGCATCTATTAATATTCCTTCGGGCTTATTATTATTCTTCCGCCAAATTTTGGCGCGTAACTCGTCCCGCAGCTTTGAGAAAACCCCGGTAATATATACATCAAAACGTGCGTCTTGATCCCGAAAGAGGTGCTATGACTTTTGGTGTTAAAATTCCAATTATTCCCAAAGTTATTCCCAAAATACTGGGAATAAATAATGCATTAGGAATGCATTGGAATTTTCTTTAAAAACCCACAAAATTTCACCTTTTTTCTACAAAATTTCACCTTTTTTCTGAGTCACCCAGCTCCCTCATACCTGCACGTAGAAATGTGATTCAAACTATAAAACGGAGGAAAACTTCTGCTCTCTCCAAAACACAGCAACTGTTTTTACATAACATGTAAACTTTTCAAACTATGAGCACTCAAAGGAGGAGTGCAAATCACTTTTTCTTCAAAGTTAGAGTGACAGCGTCAGTTGGCTAGAGTGTGTGAGGCAGTAAAAAATAACCTTTATTTTTATTTTTAACTCGAGCTCTCGGCCAAACCGTAAAAAGGAGACAAATAATTCTTTCTGAAAATGTAGACATAGTTGTTGGGATTCATAAAATGTAACTTTGACAGGCAGGGTCTGCACAAAATTTAAATGGGGGTACCCATTATACCTGTCTCACTCTCATTGACACCTAATGTAATCGTCTTTTTTTTTTTCAAAAGAATCTCACTCTGTCTTCGCACTGAGCTTACTCACTCATTTTAAGGAATATCTGAATAAAATGGAGACTGTAATAAACTTCTGGCTTCAGTGTCAGTCACGGTGTTTTCGGTTTTTGAAAAGAAGTAACGGTTTTCTCATAATTTGGCAGCTCCTGACCTGACCTCTGACAGCCAAGGGCTGTGTGATGTCATCGCTACAGTGACACAGAGAAGATTTTTTACCCTAACCCTAACCCTATCCCGGCAGTAGCCCCCGTGGCACTCAAAATTTCCCTGGAATTTTCTAGTTTTCTTTAATCACATGTTATGTTGCAAGCTACAATAGGTGTAGTTCAGTAACCATAGAAACAAGCTGTTTACAGGACGAGGGTTGTCTCATAACAGCCTCCTCGCTCTCTGTGTGTGCAGTAGTAGTGAAATGTGTGCCGATGCTGCAGGTTTCCCGTCTGCTGTGGGACCTGCTGGGTGACGTCTGTCAGCCTTTCTACTACGGACCTCTAGGCCTGGACCCCAGCTCCAGCTTCAGGAGGACTCTCAAGGTCAGTAAGCTGAGACCTGCACATCAGGTCCTGAGTCTGACAGTGTTAAAGGACTGATGTGATGAATCAAATGAAGTCATGACACTGATCTGAAGACATAAACAGAATGTGCTTAATGATGATGATGTGTTTTCACAACAGACACAGCTGCTGCCTCAGTATAAACTAAATAGTCTGACTCCTGCTCTGTCTTTACCTGCAGCAAGTCAATAAGCTGCTGCTAGGAGAATGTCTGTACCGAGACCAGCGCTGCCTCTCACCCTGGGCGGCCCTCTTCGTCTGGGCCGTCCTGCAGAACCGCAGGGAGATGGCTGTTTACTTCTGGGAGATGGTGAGACTCACCTGTAACCCTCAGATCTAGTTTCATGTGAACTGGTCTTTACTGGCAGCCTGTCCCTGTCCCTGTGTTTCAGGCGGGGGAGTCAGTGTTGAGCGCTCTGGGGGGCTGTAAGGTGCTGAGGGAGCTCTCTAAGCTGGAGAGTGAGACTGAAAACAAGCTGGCCATGAAGGAGCTGGCTCAGACGTTTGAGGACCTGGCACATGGTGAGTCTCTGTTCTCTACTCCTCCTCCGACTAAGTCCTCTGACAAACTCCTCCTCCTCTAACTAACTCCTCCTCCTCTGACTAACGTCTCTGACAAACTCCTCCTCCTCTAACTAACGCCTCTGACAAACTCCTCCTCCTCTACCTAACTCCTCCTCCTCTGACTAACGCCTCTAACAAACTCCTCCTCCTCTAACTAACTCCTCCTCCTCTGACTAACGCCTCTGACAACCTCCTCCTCCTCTAACTAACTCCTCCTCCTCTAACTAACTCCTCTGACAAACTCCTCCTCCTCTAACTAACTCCTCCTCCTTTGACTAACTCCTCTGACAAACTCCTCCTCCTCTAACTAACTCCTCCTCCTTTGACTAACTCCTCTGACAAACTCCTCCTCCTCTAACTAACTCCTCCTCCTTTGACTAACTCCTCTGACAAACTCCTCCTCCTCTAACTAACTCCTCCTCCTTTGACTAACTCCTCTGACAAACTCCTCCTCCTCTAACTAACTCCTCCTCCTTTGACTAACTCCTCTGACAAACTCCTCCTCCTCTAACTAACTCCTCCTCCTTTGACTAACTCCTCTGACAAACTCCTCCTCCTCTAACTAACTCCTCCTCCTTTGACTAACTCCTCTGACAAACTCCTCCTCCTCTAACTAACTCCTCTGACTAACTCCTCCTCTAACTTACTCATCTGTCAAACTCCTCCTCCTTTAACTTACTGATCTGACAAACTCCTCCTCCTCTAAGTATCTCCTCCTCCTCTAACTAACACCTCTGACAAACTCCTCCTCTAACTAACTCCTCTGACAAACTGCTCCTCCTCTAACTAACTCCTCCTCCTCTGACTAACATCTCTGACAAACCCCTCCTCTAACTTACTCCTCTGATAACTCCTCCTCCTCTTACTAACTCCTCCTCTTTTTGACTTTTTGACTGCAGCCATAAAGTGAAACCCTGTTGCCTAGCAACCCAGAGAAGCCATGTTTATGCGAGTGTTGTTTGTGTGTTCAGACGTGTTTGGAGAGTGTTACCAGAACAGCGAGAGCCGCGCCTTCACTCTCCTTATAAGGAAGTCTCCAGTGTGGGCCGGGGCTACATGTCTGCAGATGGCCACTGCAGCTGACGCCCGCCTGTTCTTCAGCCATGATGGTGTTCAGGTAGAGACGCTGTCCTCCTGTCAACAGGAGCTTTAACACATGTTTGAATTCAGGTCCAACATTGTTCTCCACAGATCCAGATGTTTAATGAATCACATGATCAAATCCAGATTTTACTAATGACTGATATTGTTGCTGACGGTATAACTGAATGACAGCAGCTGTTGATGACTGATGATGATGACTGATGATGACTGATGATGATGATGATGATGATGATGATGATGATGATGAAGATGATGCTCTCTGCTTTAGTCTCTGCTGTCTCAGATCTGGTGGGGTGATATGGAGAGGAACACTGAGGTCTGGAAACTGGTTCTCACCTTCTTCCTGCCCCCCCTCCTCTACACAGACCTCATCAGCTTCAGGTCAGTGTTCTGAGTCTATCCAGGTTTCAGGTCTCATGTGTCCTGGTTCAGCAGAATCTGTCCATAAACTGAAATCATCAAAAGTTTAAAATCAAGCCTGCAGACTGTAGATTCTCCTCACAGGGATCCTACAGTCTGGACCACACATGACCCGGTTTGTGTGTTCCTGTCACAGGGAACAAGAGGAGGAGGTGAAGTCCGTGGAGCTGTACCAGGGCAGAGACACCGACAGTCTGGATGGGAATGATGCCACCGTCTTCTCTCTTGCTGACATCATACAAAAGTACACACGTATTCAAACTTAGATAAATACAAACACAGATCAGATGATGTTATTTTCTGGTTTTGCTTCAGGTTTGATAAAGTTCCTGAATCTCTGTTGTTACAGTGAGGAAGACGCTGAAGAGTTGCGGGCTCTAAAAGAAAAACTCAGAGGTGAGTCACTCTCCTGTTCAAGGTATTTACACCAGCCCCCGCTTCACTATGTCCACAAGGAGGATGGCTTTAATCACTTTAGTCAATATTGGACCTTAGAGAACATGGATATGGCTAGTTCCTGGAGGAATAATATACCAATTTAACATAATCATTTTGGACCAGCACTGTTTTATAGTCTGAAGTCAGAGCTGAAATAAAAATAAGTGGAGAAGAAATTCTGTTGCACCACTTGTATAAATGCAGACAGTCCAGCAGAGGGCAGCAGGAGACCAAGTACCTGTCAACCAGGAGGCATCAATACACCTACACCTGCAGATACAGGTTGATTCCAGTGGATCTTTCAGTAAATAATAATAGTTTGACATATGAAGAGCTCAGGCCATGGTTCTCTAACAGGTTGAGAATGAGTTTCTGCCTCAGGTAAAGGAGATGAACAAAGTGGTGCAGGTTGAAGAAGGAGCTGAGTTTCAGTTTACCTGTCAATCAGGTTCCGGCTCTCATCTATGGAGATGAGCTGTGGGTCATTACTGATAGAATGAGACCACAGATATCAGTGGACAGTCAGAGTGTCTGAGCTCACCCTCGGGACAGATTACAGAGCTGGACATGTAGAAGATCTAGTCCAGACACTGCTCCAGTTTATGTGGTTTCAGCAGCTGATTGGGATGCCTCCTTGGTTTCCCAACACACCTGATAGATAAGTGGTGATGGATGGATGGTATATTCAATAAGATGTTTTGTCTTACAGGTTGTTGAATCTTTCCTGTTTCCTCTTTTCTTCAGACTCTATGTCATCCAACTCTAAGAGACCGTTCATTGTGTCCCGGTGGAGACAGTTCTGGTTCGCCCCCGTCACCTCGTTCCTTGGTAACGTTCTGATGTACTTCTTGTTCCTCTGCCTGTTTGCCTACGTTCTGCTGGTGGACTTCAAGCCCCCACCTCCTGATGGTCCCTCCACTCTGGAGTTTGTGCTTTACTTCTGGGTTTTCACCTTAGTCTGTGAGGAGATTCGACAGGTTGGTTGACAGAGCTGTAGTTCACACACACACACAAACACACACACACACACAGACACACACACACACACACACACACAGACACACACACACACACACACACACAGACACACACACACACACACACACACAGACACATGTTGGTTCTTATGAAGTGGTCCAGTCTACAGACCTGTGTAACATAAAGAGAAGCTCTCTGATGAACACAGTACCTGAGCCTGGTCACTACATCAAACTACATCACTACTACAACCATCCTCTCACTGTCATTGACTCACACACTGCACACATACTCACACCCATCCACAGACAGCACCCTGACTCCTCTCTCTCTGGCTGACAGACCTTCTTCGTGGGCAGCACCTTTGTGCTCCAGAGGATGAGGAACTACATCCAGGATGTATGGAACAAGTGTGACCTGACAGCCATCATTCTCTTCACTCTGGCTATGTGCTGCAGGTGAGTGAGTCACTGACTGGAGGACGGACACTGTGCACTGCAGCACTGTGTGACATTAACCCCTTACTGTCTGTTCCAGGATGTTTCCCTGGTCCTATGAGTTTGGCCGAGCTGTCATGGCCATAGACTTCATGGTCTTCACTCTACGTCTGATTCACATCTTTGCCATACACAAACAGCTTGGACCCAAGATCATCATTGTTGGCAAAATGGTGAGTGTGCACAAAACTCACACAACAGAGAGTTTAACAGAGAGTTAGGCTATCAGACTCCCTTTGTAGAAAGACAAAGGTCTGTCCCAGCGTCACTGCATCAACATTTAGGATCTGAGGATCAGTATCTGTGAATATTCTCAAGCTGCTCAAAATCCTTTCTTTACTGAAGCTTACTGATACAGTGCAACCATCAGATTCAGTTATGAAAACAGGGTCAAAGCTCAAACTTATAGCTTCAGTGTCACAGTTTTCTGCTCTGATCTGTTCACATATGTTCACAACAACACTTTCTCTGTCACAGTCTCTGTGTGACCTCATCACTGACATCATCATTTCTGATTTTATTCTCAGTCTCTTTTCTACACATGTACAGAACAATTTATTTTACAGGTTTAGAGGTTGATTGACAACTACACACTGAAATTATCTGTGAACTTCACTTTACAAGCTCAGAACATTTTTGACCTTAACCCCAGCCTGTACACGTCATCCTTATTGCATCTACAGTAATCATCAGAATGGTCTGTGTGACATGGGAATGAAATAGTTAAATGGTGAGACTGTACAGACACAACAAAACATTAACCAATATACTTAAATGATGTTTCATTACAGTTCCATGTCATTAAACAGCAGCCACGATCACTGATGTAACATCTGGATTAGAAACAGACCAGATCCTGTCACATAACCCTCTAATCTTTGTGTCTCTTCCCCTCAGATGAAGGACGTCTTCTTCTTCCTCTTCTTTCTGGCTGTGTGGCTAGTGGCTTACGGAGTGGCCAATCAGGCTCTGCTCTACTCATACGATCCACGTCCCAACTGGATCTTCCGCCGAGTCTTCTACAGACCATACCTACACATTTTTGGACAAATACCTATTCATGAGATGGACGGTGAGCTGCTCAGTCTGATTCTACCAGCACCTGGTTCTCTCGGTGGTCTCTCAGTGTTCCCTCAGTGTTTCCTCAGTGTTCTTTCAGTGTTCCCTCAGTATTTCCTCAGTATTCCCTCAGTGTTCCGTCAGTGTTTCCTCATTGTTCCCTTTGTGTTCTCTCAGTGTTCCCTCAGTGTTCCATTAGTGTTCCCTCAGTGCTCCCTCAGTATTTCCTCAGTGTTTCCTCAGTGTTCCCTCAATGTTCTCACAGTGTTTCATCAGTGGTCCCTAATTATTTCCACAGTGTTCCCTCAGTTTTTCCTCATTGTTCCCTGAGTGTTCCCTCAGTGTTGCGTCAGTGCTTCCTCAGTGTTTCCTCAGTGTTCCCTCAGTGTTCTCTAAGTGTTCTGTCAGTGTTTCCTCATTGTTCCCTCAGTGTTTTCTCAGTGTTCCCTCAGTGTTTTTTCAGCGTTCCCTCAGCTATCTCTTGGTGTTCCCTCAGTGGTCCCTCATTATTTCCACAGTGCTCCCTCAGTGTTACCTTATTATTCCCTCAGTGTTGTCTCTGTGCTTCCTCTGTGTTTACTCAATGTTCCCTCAGTGTTGTCTAAGTGTCAGTGTTTCCTCATTGTTTCCTAATTGTTCTCTCAGTGTTCCCTAAGTGTTCCCTCAGTGTTTCCTCTGTGTTTCCCCAGTGTTCTCTCAGTGTTCCCTCATTGTTCCCACAGTGTTCCCTCAGTGTTTCCTCATTATTCCCTGAGTATTACCTCAGTGTTGCCTGTGCTTCCTCAGTGTTTACTCAATGTTCCCTCAGTGTTTCCCCAGTGTTCTCTCAGTGTTGCCTCAGTGCTTCCTCAATGTTTACTCAATGTTCCCTCAGTGTTCTCTAAGTGTTCTGTCAGTGTTTCCTCCTTGTTTCGTAATTGTTCCCTTAGTGTTCCCTTAGTGTTCCCCCAGTGGTTCCTCAGTGTTCTCTCAGTGTTCCCCCATTGTTCCCACAGTGTTCCTTCAGTGTTTCCTCATTGTTCCCTTAGTGTTGCGTCAGTGCTTCTTCAGTGTTCCCTCAGTGTTTCCATAGTGTTCCCTTAGTGTTCCCCCAGTGTTTCCTCAGTGTTCCCTCAGTGTTTCCTTAGTGTTCCCTTAGTGTTCCCCCAGTGGTTCCTCAGTGTTCCCTCGGTGTTTCCCCAGTGTTCTCTCAGTGTTCCCCCATTGTTCCCACAGTGTTCCTTCAGTGTTTCCTCATTGTTCCCTTAGTGTTGCGTCAGTGCTTCTTCAGTGTTCCCTCAGTGTTTCCTTAGTGTTCCCTTAGTGTTCCCCCAGTGTTTCCTCAGTGGTCCCTCAGTGTTTCCTCATTGTTCCCTGAGTGTTCCCTCAGTGTTGCCTCAGTGCTTCCTCAGTGTTTACTCAATGTTACCTCATTGTTCTCTAAGTTTTCTGTCAGTGTTTCCTCATTGTTTTCTCATAGTTCTCTCAGTGTTCCCTTGTTGTTCCCCAAGTGTTCCCTCAGTGTTTCATCAGTGCTCCCTCAGTGTTCCCTCAGCTATCTCTTAGTGTTCTCTCAGTGTCCGTCAGTGTTTCCTCAGTATTCCCTCAGTGTTTCCTCAGTGTTTCCTCAGTATTTTCTCAGTGTTTCCTCATTGTTCATTCAGGGTTTCCTCAGTATTCCCTCAGTGTTTCCTCATTGTTCCCTCAGTATTTCATCAGTGTTTCCTCAGTATTTCCTCAGTGTTCCCTCTGTCTTCTGTCAGTGTTTCCTCAGTGTTCCTTCAGTGTTCTCTCAATGTTCTCTCAGTGCTCTACTTAAACAGGATATTACAGACACATCAGATTTAATGGGGTCTGTCAACAGCTGCTTTCGCTGCCATTCATGGTTAAAATGGATGTTATTGTGATACGTGGTTGTAAAGGAGCAGTGTGGATCCTCATGTTGTCTTGTTATCGTCACTGGTTTTACATGAAGCCGACAAACTTGGGGAAGTAAACTGTACAAACGACGCCTCACGAATCGAGGCTGGAGAGGAGCCATGTGTCAGTACCTACGCCAACTGGCTGGTGGTCATCCTCCTCGTCATCTACCTGTTGTTCACTAACATTGTGCTGGTCAACCTGCTCATTGCCATGTTCAGGTACGCTGGTATTTAAGACTGATTTCTACTACTATACTACTACTGATAAAACAGATTACTGATTTAGCAGAACCTGAAGGATTATCTGTATACACATCATGATTTCAATTTTCTGTTTGCAGCTACACCTTCTCCAAAGTTCAGGAGCGCAGTGACACCTACTGGAAGTTTCAACGCTACAATCTGATCGTGGAGTACCACTCAAGGCCCTGCCTGGCGCCACCATTCATCATCATCTCACACCTCCACCTTTTCATCAAGAGACACATCCGCCGCATCTCCTCAGTCAAGAGCAAACATTTTGGTGAGCAGTGGAACCTGAACCTGTGGTAGCTCCACAAGTCAGGATCTATGCTCCTGGTCTGGGTCCTAGCTTGGCCTCCACAGATATCCTGCAGTCCTTTTACTGGTCTCCTCTGTCCTCAGTTCTGGAGTTACGGGGCAGGAAGGCCAGCCGCCTCAACACATGGGAGGCCATCCAGAAAGAAAACCACCTTTCAGCTCAGAATAAACGTCAGAGGGAGACTGACACAGCTCGACTGAAACGTACATCTATCAAGTGAGTAAAGTCCTGACACTTTATATAATGTTAGAATATATGTGTGTGTGTGTGTGAGAGAGTTAGAAATGAGTTCAGCATTAAATTATTACCTACTGTACTGGTACTGGTGTATATGTCAACCAATAACTAACAAGAGAACACAATATAGAAACACAACATGTTTGAGAAACAGTCTCTTCGTGTGTGTGTGTGTGTGTGTGTGTGTGTGTGTTTGTTTGTGCATGCGAGTGTAGGGTGGACAATGTGCTGAAGCAGATGTCAGAGATCCGTGACCACGACCGACGGTTGCGGCTGTTGGAGACGGAGGTCAGTAGTACTTTAGTGAGCCTGCTCTGTAGGCATCATCAGCGCTTCTCTCACAGTCCAGATCTACGATTCAGGCTCTTCTTCAAGGCCTTTGTATCTAATTGAGAGGTGTTTCTTACAAGGGAACATGTATCCCAGCAGGCTTTGGGTGCTACTTCAGCCCAGTGACTGACCTGAAGGAAGTCCATCAGCAGCTCCATGTCATTGCAGCTGGTCTTGGCCAGAATATTATTCTAAACAGTTTTTCTACAAATGACACTTCCTGCTTTTGTTCAGATCAAATAAAAAAGTCTAACACACGCAGCAGGCGTACCTTGGTGGTGTGGTTGTGTGTCTGTGTGTCTGTGTGTGTGTCTGTGTGTGTGGTTGTGTGTGTGCAGTGTGTCTGGTTACTCTGCAGCTGTCCTCTCTGCCTGCTCAGCACTCATCCATCTCTGTCTGTATCACCCAGCTGGAGTACTGCTGCAGCGCCCTCAGCTGGATGACAGACGCTCTGTCTCAGAGTCCTCTGGTAAAGGCAGAGCACCCCCCTCCACTGCTCAGAGGTAAACTCTGTGTTACGAGATGATGAAGCAGAATTTAAGATGTGATGGATAAAGATGATAAAAATATGACATTATATTATAATTAATCATCACATGATGAAGTTGATCATGAGGTGGAAACACCTATTTTATAACCTTTCATGATTATTGTTTCTCTTCTGTTGTAGATGTGACTCCACTGTCTCCAAGCTGAACTCAACTCCAGTATCACACACACACAGTTTACTCAGGGCCATTGTGTCAGACATTGTTTGCTGTTCATTTCATTTTGAGGTGTATTTTATTTAGGACTAATAATATGTTGTTTTAAATGTTTTTACAGTAGTGTCAGAAGACACTGCTGCTGTGTTACAGTTCCTCCACCTGAAGTTTTTAGTTAGAGTTTAAGTTGTAACCAGAGAGTGCCTTGTTAAAATCTCTGTTAATGTGATTAAATTAGACAATTATTGTCATTAATGAAATAAGATGCTGCTACATGATCAGAGAGCTCAACCTACAGTCAGTAAAGCTGTACTGATCAATACTTTTATATCAGCAATGGATCAAATGCCTATAATGAGCATGACTTACTTACCCTTAGCTCTACTCACACCAGGAACACACTGTCTGTGTTGTGTGTCTGCTGTATCACTGCTGCTGCTCTATCTCTCTACATAGAGTTTGCCTTGGATAATGGCGCTTAGCAGGTTACTGGAATGATGGATTTGTCTTAATTTTTAATTCATTTCTGATTTATTTTTGACAGAGAATGCCTCTAAAATACCACTGTCTCCACATGCAGCTACCAAAATGGTTAAAAAAACATATTTTTTCATGTCTGTATCATATTCGGATTCAGCCTAGGCATAGAAACTAGTGGAAGGTGTCAATTTCATGCCATGTTGCTAGTATGATGTCAGTATGACATCAACAGGTCTTTTCTCTGTGGCTTTTTGCTGGGAGATGCGTTTCACATTAAAATAAGTGAGCTGCCGAATCTCTACATCATGTGACACAGTCACAGGGCCGCGTGTCACGCAGGCAGTATGTCCACCCTACACTGTTAACATGCCAAAATGAAAACACACATGCCACACAGCCAGTGTACAGTGGACTATTAGGGCCACATTGAGGGAGGAAAAAATCTAAAATTTCAAGCAGCCTTAGCTTTTTAGCCTCTCATAGCTCACTGTTGTGGTCTTGGTTTCTGCTCCACAACCTTTTTCATCAGCCTCATTTCCAGTGCCAGCTGTTTCAGAGACACATCTGTAAACAGCCTCTGTCCTCTACCTGCTGAGCATCAAAACAGCAGACAGACTCAGTCAAAGAGCAGCTGGTGAACATAGTGAAGCATTTAGTAGCTAAAGAGGAGCTGGTGACCAAACACAGAGAGGGAACACTGGACTGAGATTCACCAGGTGAGACAGACTCCACTGCACTTGGATCATCATGTTGATTTATGACTGTGGATGTGGAGATAAACAGCTGTTTACTGACACATTCACCATAACAACTTTACAGGGTGATAATATTTTACATGCTGTTTTCATCTTTTTCTGCTGCCTCCATGTGGCCAAACGGTCAATGACTGCAGCTTTAATTTTGATGAGGCTGGACTGACGACATTATAGTCAGAGTTGAATCCACATTTTAAATAAAGGTGCAAAATAAATCAAAGCAATACAATCAACAGTGGACTACAACAGTATGTTAGTAGGTAGAAAGGTATAACCGTAGGAGAGACTAAATAAGACGCTGATATCATTTGATGTCCTGTACAGTACCTTTACCTATTCATTGTTTAGATGTGATGTTTTTATGTTGGGGTCATGGTTTGTACATTTTTGCATTTTCTATGTAAACCAACATGTACCATTGTTTTTATTAGACTATGACTGATACTGTTCTTTGTCAGGATTCATTCAAACTGCCACAGTCTTAATAAACAGTTTGTCTACACTGTGACAATGAGGAGACAACTTGTTTTGTTCTTCAACTCTCATCTTCAGCTCAACAGATGCACAGGCTCTCTCTCTCTCTCTCTCTCTCTCTCTCTCTCTCTCTCTCTCTCTCTCTCTTCCTGAAGATGAGAGGTAAATCATAAAGTGCTTTGGGTGAAAGTGTTAAGCTCTATAAATTCAGATATGTAGCACTGACTCACAGCATGTCAGCAGAGCAGCAGCAGCTTAATAAAGATGGACGTAGCCTCTGTGACATCACCCATGGGTTTCTGAAGAGCAGTTTTGAAGCTCAGAGTGAGCTAATCTACTGTTGTCATTTTTGCAGGGTCTGACTCCGCCCCTAACTCCCAGCTAATCCAAAAATGGACAAAGAGGAGGGGCATGTGTTGTTCATGCTGGTTTGTGGCAAGCATACACTCACCCACCTGTCACTCAAAGAGGTCATGCCTACAATTCTAGATAACTTTAACAGGTGAGTTATATAAACAGGTGTCATGAAGGAAGAAATTAGCTCTAGAGACCAAAACTGTTTTTGTACCAGGCTGTAAACATGTTTATTTCTGCTGTAAAGTTGGACATTTTAACATAAGAGTCTATTTGGACTGACTCACTGTTGGAGCCAGACTCTAGTGGTCATTAGAGGAACTGCAGCTTTTGGTTCTTCATTGTTGGCTTCATTTTTAAACCTCACACAGGTGTTGTAATGTGATGTGTTCAGGTACAGAACTGATTGTAGGATCAGCACACACTGTGATTCCGTGTGTAAAAAGAAGTAAATAGATTTTGAAGTGTAAAAAAACTCTGAGTTGTTTAACATACATACAGTGTATACAGTAAAAGCACAGCTGGAGTGATTGAAACAGGAGTGTATTTGTTCCATCAGATATGTGTAGACACACTGTGAGGTGCACACTAACTGACAAAGCTAACAGGCTTAAGCATGTATAATGTTTACCATGTTATATTTGCTAATTACCACTAATCACAGCGTAGAGCTGAGGCTGATGGGAATGTCATTAATTCTGCAGTTATTTGATCATAAACCAAAGTACTGGACATGTTAACATGTTGACCTGATGGTGGCGCTAGAAGAAAACTCAGAGGATCATCAGAGTTATTACAACCAGCACGTAAGATGTCTCATACTCAGCTCAACTATGGTGGACACCCATTGTGGGATATTGTCAAGTAGAAATTATTTAACATGTAGTTTACATTTATTGCCCCAAGCAGCACTTGCAGATAAAAACAACACAGTCAACCCAGTTTTTGAATCCTTTACATATTCATATTCCAAAATGTAGAGTCGACTGTTTCCACAAACACCTTCACCTTCAAAAACATGAGAGCAGCTTGTTTTTTCTTGTTTTTGTTGTCTTCCAATGATTTATCTTGACGTGTTTTCCCATCTCTGACATCACCACTGTGGTTACAGGTGCAGCCCTTTACCTTCATCCTTATTGTGTTCGCTGTCTAAGCTAATACAGGAATCAGGAACTTGCTAGCCTGAGAGTCAACCACAGATGATAGCACCTTTAGGCCTGTATCAACTGACAGCATAGAGCTCCTGCCTCTGACTTAGACCTTCTCCAACTGGTTAGAGAGGTGACACTAAGATTTCTTTTGGAGCATATTTCAAATAAGAGATCTCAGAATCATACTGTAGCCTAAAGTTCTTAAATAAACTGCACCTTTACAAATGGAGGATATTCTTACCACTCACATTTTGATCTTTTTTCTTTTTGTTAATAACCGTCCATTACCTCCCTGTAACTGTTTTAACTGACCTCACTGTATTTGTATTGTTGTATCTCCCATGGTAAATGTTTCAGTTGATTTTTATTGTTGATTATCTATATTTATTTATTTGTTTTTTTTATTTTTCATATTTTGTAATCTCAGCATTGTTTTAAATGCAGGTCACCCTTGCTGATTTCTCTTAAATAGAGTCTTAAATAAAGGTTCTAATGTAAGTGTGTGTGTGTGTGTGTGTGGGGGGGGGGACGGGACGGGACACAGCAGGATACCTCCAGGAGAACCACAGAAAAAAGATTTATTAGTTCATTACAGCAGCACCACCATCAGAGCTTTAAATTAATGTGCTAACTCCCTTTCACACACACACACACACACACACACACACACACACACACACACACACACACACACACACACACACACACACACACACACAGCTATCCCCTGTGGTAACTGTATCGTGGAAAGTGATGTCCCTCTTTAGACGGTCCTTACATGGACAGAGCCTGGGCTGGATGTGCCTCTGGATCAGATTCAGGGAGGCGAATGAATCCTGCTGAGGAATGTCAGATCTGATGATGAATGGGTCGATGCAGTGCACTCGCTGTCATCTCTTCACCTCACAACACCCTCTCCGACACCTTCAATAACACCCATTCTTTGACTTTTTTCTCTTTATCCACACATGTTGGAGTTAAATGGAGTCAGGGTCTTTAAGCAGGGGTCAACATCTGCTCCCAGCTACAACAGTGTCAGATATGCTCCAGGTATTTTTGCAAGCTGATGATAACTGACATGTTTTCTTTAAGACTGCACAGGGAGCAGGAATTAAACAGTAGTGACAGTTAACTAAATGGGTCAAGTGGGTCAGTGCAGGCAGAGTCAGTGGTCCAAACTAAGAGAGAAGAAATGTCTCTGGCATGTCAGAGCTCATCTCCACTTTCAGCCACTTTGCAGTCTTCATCTCGATCTGATCTCCTCTCTCATTCTGTCCTTTGCTCTTTCCAACTCAGCTGTTCCTCACTGCCACTAGTCTGTCACCGTTAAAAACTTCACCACCAACCTGCTCTCCAACCTGTGCTGTTGCACCCAGCGTCTAAAGCTTTAAATAGGCACTGATACTGGTGATGATGTAAAATCTAATCAGTTAATACAAGGATGAGCCTCCTCTAAGTGAAATGCACTGGGATAAGATTTGTTGGTTATGCAGTCATCTAGGGCACCTGTTTTGTTAGACCGAAGGTCTACGTGAATCTAGACCAGGTCTAGACCAGGTCACAGGTGGTTTCTCTTCACGTTCTCCCTGGTCCGGTCAGAGCTGTGACATCTTCCAGTACTTATGATGTCATTGACTTGGCTACTCAGTTTAAAGTGAATTGCTGCAGGTTGCTGCTCATGGTGTCACACATTTATCCCTAACAATGTTTGTTCAACACACTGTGCTCGTAAACTTTAACACTGACATGCTGTAGCTCTCAGAACTACAGGAAGAGACTGTCTTCTTCTACTTCTTCTACTTATTAAAACTAAAAGTACAAAGATTATGGATCATTCAACCAGGACTGTTTTTACAATAATGTCAGTGAAACCCTCAACAAAACCTACTGACAAAAAAATCTAATGTCAAACCCATGAAGAACTGGGCCAAATCTCTGGAGTGAACAAGGTAAATGTTTGAAGTATCATTATGTGTTATCAAGTATATAATGAGGTTAATGGAGTGAGAACACTATGGCTGCCTTCACAGCAGTGTGCAAGACCAAGTGGAGTGCATGTATTTATTGAGTTTAGTTTGGTTTAGCAGGTGTTTCAGAGGTTCCTGTCATTAACCTCTTTCTTCATGCATGTATAGGTGAGAATTGATGGGGGTGTGGGATACTGTGCTGGTCCCACACAGACAGAGCCAGGGGGGCTCGCATTACACTGACTCTGACAGTGTTCAGTTTTAAATAGAGCAGTTGTCAACCCCACCCCAACCCCCCACCCCCCACACAAATCCATCTATTTTGGGGGCAGCGTGTAGGGGGAGGGACAGACAAGAGATCAGTATCTGAGCTTGGCCTATATGCTGGGTAGTGCATATACTCTGGCTGCATCAGCATTGACGGTGATACTGTAGGTATAAGACAGAATTTGTTAAACATGTTTTGAAAATGCCTCAGTTCCTGAGAGCAATAGTCTAAGGCCTCACTGTGCCCACTACACACTGCAGTGTCCACTGCACTCAACAAAGCAAGCTCTTAGTTATTCTTAGAGCTGAAGATGTTTGTCCTGAGGGCAGCGAAAGGTCCTGGAGTCATTAAAATCTAAGGGATTTATCCTACCATGACTGTGCTCAGCAGATTTCATGGCTATCTGCCCACTAGAGGGGATGTTAGACGGGTTATCTCAGGTCAGTGTATCTAGGAATACGTTCCATTGGACAATAGTGCAGAGCATCACTAATGTTCAAAGCCAATGTTAAGTGCCAATGCAGGAAGTAGTAACCTTTATGTAGCAAGGTGGATGGTAATGGGGTCAGTTCACTGTAAACATATATATCTTAGACCGGACCACGACAGAAGAGGGGTCAGGCCTGGGTCTGACAATTTGTATCCCAAAACTGACAATCTGACATTCACTCTCACCGTGTTTGGCCAGGTGTGTGGAGGTGGGAAACAAGGAATTTAAACCTCTTTTTTCATTCTGTCACTTTCCATTCGTACACACTAACACAACGCCATGCATATCTTTGAGGAGGAAACGGTCTGACAAAATAGATGTTATTTTCCTTTAAACAATGACTATGTTTTGCCCCTTGTCAATCAATGTCCTGTTTGACAGCGTCAGATATCTTGTGCGTAAAGTCATCGCTTTGACTGGGGGATGGTAGAACAAGAATGCTTCCAGAATGCAAAGGGTTCATCCCTACCATCACATTGGACCAGACTTCATGGTGTTACTGAGTTATTAGGATTCTCCCTGAATTCACCATGAATATCTTAGAAAAAATCCTAGAAATACATTTATTTTTCAAGATACATGAACCTTGATTGGATGGTTGGTCTATGGAAATGCTGGACCTGTGGTACTCTAGTGGAAAGGTCAGGGAGTCACTTAACTCCTTACTAATCATTTTCTGAAAGCATAAATATCTATACCACAGGTCATAGTTTAGATACCTAACTTTGCACCACTGCATTGGATGGACGGACAAACTAATTCCTGGGCCCTGTTGCTAGAGGGGTAAACTGTTCAGCCACCTGCTGCAAAAGGAAGATGATGTGAAAAAAAATCATCAGTCTGTAATGGGAACAACTTCACTTCCAGTGTCCTTCTAGCTCCATGACAAACCATCCTTCTCCTTTCTCTCACAATATATGGTAATTGCTGCCAGGGCCTACTTCTGCTGGGATCCTCTCTAGTGTTAAGCTTAAACATCTGTTCTAAAGTTAAACTTGAACATTTGATGATGATGGAAATCACTCCCCTCTCTGAGTAACTTAACTTATGGATAGTGCAGGCCTGCCCACCAGCATTTGCCCCTGTCAGTCAACCTGACTACCCCCCTTCTTCTCAGCTTACCCCATAGGTTGGTCTCACTCTTTTTCTGTCACTCTCACATTAGTCCTGTCTGTGTCCCCAGCATTGACTAGTTACTGACGGTGCTCCTCCCAGCTTCTTATTGCAGTCTTAACTGATCACCCGAGTGCTTCTCTGGACTAAGAGACACCCTGTCTTGTTGCTGTCCTACATTGAAAGGGAGAACTCCTGTTTTCTAAGGATCATTTTTTCCAAGACTTGGGAACAAGTGTCTGGATCTCAGCTTGGAGTATCGTCTCTACACTGGACCTTGTCTGTTGGATGCCATTATAACTGGTGTCCATTCCCTACTGTAGCGGTCTATCTGAGTGTTTGCACCTGTGAGTGGGTTTGAATTTGCGAGGTTGTGTGTGTGCGACAAATAGGCATAGAGCAACGCTGCTGGACTCCTGCAGTGATTCCAGGGTATTTTCTCTCTTGTCGGCCCGGTCTTGGCTGTGAACATGGCTTCATTGAGAAGTTTGATTCTTGCAGTGCTTCTTGCGCTGCTCTGCTCCTTCCACACCCCGCTGGCTCCCACCGCCAAGGCACAAGATCTGCCTCTCCGCTCTGAACAAGGTCTGGTGGCTGATGATGATGATGATGACGATGATGATGACCACGACGATGATGACGACGACGACGACGATGATGACGATGACGACGACGACGACGATGATGATGATGACGATGATGATGATGACGATGACGACGACGACGACGACGACGATGATGACGATGATGACGACGACGATGATGATGACGATGATGACGACGACGACGATGATGATGATGACGATGATGATGATGACGATGACGACGACGACGATGATGATGATGACGATGATGATGATGACGAGGACGACGACGACGACGACGACGATGATGACGATGACGACGACGACGACGATGATGATGATGATGATGATGACGACGACGACGATGATGACGACGACGATGACGATGATGACGATGATGATGATGATCATGAAGGTCAGTCACATTAAACATGCAGCAGTTTTTCATATACCTTTGTCTCTTTCTGTGTTAGCATAAATGTTAGCATATAACATCTGCACCTGAAGCACATTGTAAACAGTTAAAGCATCAGCTGTCACTGAACGTTGATGACATCATGATATTAGTTCCAGATCAGGCTGTGATTGGCAGCTCAGAAACAAGGCTACACCCGCATTATTTTAAAGTCCTAGTGTCAGTGCTGGCTGATGCTTTGACGTGCAGTTGGCGATGCGTTTCAGGTACAGACGTGTGCACGTACACTACAGGACGGTGTGTGAAAGGGGAGGTGCTAAGACAAAGTTAGCCACTCCCCTCTCATTAACATTCTTACAACCTCATCATCTCTTTGTCGGTTGTTATGTTGATGTCTCAGAGCTCATAGGTAATCAAAGTCCCTCCTCCACCCCTTTCCAGCTGTCCATTTCCCTTGCTGTCTCTGACACTCTGTTCTTTTCCCTGCTTAACTAGAGTTATGAGCACTCTGGGGAAATTGAACTGGCCCATCTGAAGTCCGACTGTCCGAAGTCCTTCGTACAGTACGCTAGATATGAACTTGGGGACTACAGAAGCATTGATTTGAGAGAGAGAAAGAATGAAAAACCAATTTCACACAAACCAAGCCTGACTTGGGAATCAGTCATTGGGGTCACTAGTCTGAGATCTTTTGATTTGTGTTTCGTTTGAAAGAATGGTTCCTCCAGAATGGTTCCTCCACTACCATCTTCCTTTCTCATTTGTTTTGGATCAGACTGACCTGCATTTGTGTCTTTATGTGAATCTACAGAGAAAGAAAGAGAGACAGTGATACTGGGGGGTGGGTTGGGGGGTTTTGGGGTGCTAGAGAAACAGACAGAGGGAGAATGAAGCGCGAAGGGAGGTGCAGGAGGGCCACTATCTAAATTAATTAATTTAAAAGCACCAAGAGATGCAAAGTTTCTCTCTTTCTCCATATCTCTCAATCTCTTTCTTTCTCTGTGGAGCATTCATGCTGCTGTCTGTTGAAGAGGCGTGTCATACAGAGAATTTAGTTTTCAGGTCTGGTGTGTGCACTTGTAAAATTGCTAAACAGAGATAAGATAATAGACTAACTTTCAGTGTATCTATAAACATTGTAATAATCATACTTCTTTTTATTTTCTAAAAGCTGATGTTCTGAACCATTAGATAAAACACTTCAGTAGCTTACATTAATGATGAATATTTGTTTAGCGTTTGATGCAGTTTCCCCTCAATTTGCTGCTTATTTGGCTCTGATATAATTGATACAAATATCTGAGTCATTTGTGAAACTAAGCTAAACATATTTGTCCAACTGTTCATTTGTTGTGAAACGTAACAACAGTGTATTTTTCTTCAGGGAGAGAGTGTCTGGGAAAAGAGAGAAATGTCTCTATGTGTAGAGGAAGTAAGAGAGCTACTACTGTCAGATATCATATGGTCAAGAGATGAAATGGTTGTATCTGCGTTTCTCTTCTTCTTTAGTTAAACTGTGAACTTTCATGATGTGACAATCACCACTGTCCATGTGTCTTTAACCTACTTTCATTCATTAAATAAATCAAATGATCAAAAACTGTTCAAATGTAAATCTGTTCAACCAAACACAGATGATTTGTAGAAGTGCATGGGCATGTATGAATGTTTGGTCATGTGACCTGTACAAATGTCATGTAACCTGTATGAATGATTGGTCATGTGCCCTGTACGAATGTTCGGTCATAAGACCTGTACAAATGTTTCGTCATGTGACCTGTGTGAAGGTTTGGCCATATAACCTGTACAAATGATTCGTCACGTAACTTGTACGAATGTTTGGTCATGTGATTTGTACAAATGTTTGGTCATGTCACCTGAATGAATGTTTGGTCATGTGACTTGTACGAAGGTTTGGTCATGTAACTTGTACAAATGATTGGTATTGTAAGTATGAATGTTAGGTCATTTGACCTGTACGAATGATTGGTCACGTGACCTGTATGAAGGTTTCATCATGTAACCTGTATAAATGATTGGTCTTGTGACCTGTATGAATGACTGGTCATGTGTCCTGTATGGAGGTTTGGTCATGTGGCCTGTACGAATTATTGATCATTTGACTTGTATGAATGTTTGGTCATGTAACCTGTACGAATGCTTGTGACCTGTATGAAGGATTGATCATGTAACCTGTATGAATGATTGGTCTTGTGACCTGTTCGAAGGTTTGGTCATATGACATGTATGAATCTTTAGTCATGTGACCTGTATAAATGATTGGTCATTTGACTTGTACGAATCTTTAGTCATGTGACCTGTACGAATGATTGGGAATGTGACCTGTATGAAGGTTTGGTGATGTGTCCTGTATGAAGATTTGGTCATGTGACATGTATGAATGTTTAGTCATGTGACCTGTACGAATGATTGGTCATTTGACCTGTATGAAGGTTTGGTCATGTGGCCTGTACGAATGATTGATCTTTTGACTTGTATGAATGTTTAGTCATGTGACCTGTACGAATGATTGGTCATGTGTCCTGTATGAAGATTTGGTCATGTGACATGTACGAATGTTTAGTCATGTTACCTGTACGAATGATTGGTCATGTGACCCGTATGAAGGTTTGGTCATGTGATTTGTACGAATGTCTGTGACCTGTACGAAGGTTTGGTCATGTGCCCTGTACGAAGGTTTGGTCATGTGACATTTATGAATCTTTAGTCATGTGACCTGTATAAATGATTGGTCATTTGACCTGTACGAATGTTTGGTCATGTGACCTGTATGAATATTTGGTCATTTGACATGTACAAATGTTTGGTCATGTGACCTGTACAAATGTTTGGTCATGTGACCTGTATGAAAGATTGGTCATTTGACCTGTATGATTGTTTGGTCATGTGACCTTTACAAAGATTTGGTCATGTGACCTGTACAAGGACCAGAGCTACAAACAGCTGTGAGTATCTGCTGACCTAAGCATGTTGTATGAATGAATGATGTTCTATGAATGTGTGTGTGTGTGTGTGTGTGTGTGTGTGTGTGTGTGTGTGTGTGTGTGTGTGAACTGCATGATAAAACATTACTTGTAGTTGTTACTGTTGATAACTCATGTATTTGCTTTCTTATTGTGTCATATTTGTGTTAAATCTTTACATTCAAACCGCATCATCAGATTAAAACTGATTAAAACTAATTAAAACTGATTAAAACTAAACTAAAAAACTGATATTTAACCATCAAATAATATGTAAAATACACCACCCATTACACTAACATACTGCTTAAAGGTTAATGCATAAACAATTATTTTCCACTAGCTAACGTTATCATGTCTACTGTAGCAGTCACTAATGAAAACAGACATGTAACATTATGTAGCACCAAGATACTTACACATCGATATCACCTATATATTTTATATTTTGACATTATATGGACTTCTGCGTCACTACGCTACACTATATTATCAATGGTGTATTGTGATGTAGCATTGTTGAGTACTAGAGCTCAAAGTTGTATATTTACTATCAATATTATGATATTATGATTATGCAGACAATGATGATGACGATGATGATGATGACGATGACGACGATGACGACGACGACGATGATGATGACGATGATGATGATGACGATGACGATAATGGTGCTTATCACAAGGGTTCTTTGTGCTCATATTGTGAATTCTGTGAGGTATGTCTGAGATTACATTAGTGAAATGAAATCATAAACTTGTACCTTCACAATAACACATCACATTGTGCAGCAATGGGAACCAACTGTGTTAAAGATTAACCAGCTGGGACTTGTTTGATTACGTGTTGAAATAGAAGGGCTGTCCTCTACATGTGTCCTCTCAGTTATAAACCTCTGTTGTGATCTGCTCTCCTGTTAACTGACTGTGTCTTCTTCCAGCACTGTGACAGCTGTGATAAATGTCCCTGTGAAGAGGGAGACAAGTCTGAACACTGTGATGAGTGCAAGGTGAGAAAATACACAATAATCAACTATCAGGTCCAAAATTCAGTTTGTCCAGTACTTAGGTATATGACCAAACACCTGCTGTGTTTACTGTGTTGACTGGCAAATGTTAACACACACAACTGAAGTGGTAGACATTGTAAACATTATACCTGTGTAACATCAGCATGTTAACAGAGGTACAAACTCCCAGGACCATGAGTGTGGCTGAAAACTTGAAGCCTCAGGATTCTGACCCAAACAACCTGATCCAGAACTCATACACAGACACATAATGCAGAATAAAACCAACATCACACAAACATACAAAGGCTTTTCCAACAGGACATCTGTCTAAATGTAAATGATCAAAGTTCCCCTCCATCTGTCTAAAATCGTCAAATGTCAGTGAAGCTGTTTCTCAGGATAGTGATGATGAGTGGCTCAGTCTGTCCAACACTTTCACCACTGTCAGGGGAAAGTTTCTCTTCAGCAGCACCTTGAGGCCTGACAGGGTATCTCCACATCTAATGACTGTTTTTACTTTGCTGTGAATATTCACGGCACCAAGACTAAGATCTTTCGTCAAAACTGGACACTGTTCACACTTTCCACCAAAATGTCAACTTGCACATCTCAAGCACCATAAAATTAGCATGTAGAGTCTGAGGAACCACCAGCCATTACTGCTTAGCTTGATGTGACACATTAAAGTTATTATGTATTAAAACCTGAACAAAATTTAAATCGAAGACAACCTACCAGCCCTGATCAGCACATGGTGGGTGCACATTATACTTCCTCAATCATTCACTTTAACATGTCGCCTCTCTTATGGAAGCACACAACTGCCAGAAAAAAGATGGATGAAATGTCATAGAAGATTAAAAATAGTAATGATGGCACCAAAGACTGTAAAGTCATAATTATATGACACAATATATCAACATTTTGAATTTGTATTTAAAATGTCAATTTATTTGAACATTTTATTTAGACTTTTACATTAAAATAAAATGATTTTACTTACAAAGTCAAAGTTTTGATATAGGTTTGATTTACCATATTTTTATATTTGTCATTCTGAACATTTTTTTGCTGACAGAAATGGGCTTCCATACATATGGACATATGATATACAGATTCTTTTGTAGCTGTATGACTATGGAACTGTTTACTCTTACATCAGTCACTCTGTTGGGTTCTCGTTTACAGATGTGCAGTTTCTGCCACGTGTGCCCTGCTTGCCAGACTCTGTGCCAGCCTGGTGAGTGAGAAACACATTTATACAGAAGAAAAGTTTCTTACTGCTCATTGAACTCGTCACTTCTGTTATATAACAACATGCTGGGACCTGAGACTTGACTCGTAGTTGTAAAGAGAACAGGACCTCCTGAACCACAGTGATAACTGAGGGCTAGGTAGAGGGGCCAACAGTAAGGTCAACAGATTTTTTTAAATGAAAACCGGGGACATTCCCAGTTTTAGTTCATCAATATATTATTAAAATATTCAATGTTTTTATCTATGAAGTAAAAATGGGGGGTGGTTCTGGTTTCATGTATTTTGACCATGGTAATTCTTGCACTTTAATAAACTATGGTGAAGGCTGACTGATACAATTAGTAGGGTTGCAAACTGTCTTGCAAAATAGACCTATGGAAGCATCCTGTAATTGGAAACTAAAAGTACTGAACTGATACTGGACTTGCCATATTTTTGAAACTCAATTCATTGAAAATCTATGCAAGATAAATATATTACAGGCTAGACTATTAAAAGAAAAGAAAAAATTGTTTGGATAATTCTGTGTTGATGGTATTAGCCTCATTTCTACAGCTGCTATAGCTTGGAGCCAGGCCTCTCTGTTGGCTAAAACAAGCTGTCCCTGGAAAACAGGGATGTCACCTCAGCCAACAGGACCTCCCACAAGGGAGGTTAGGGTTAGGGAGGTTTGATGTCAACAGTAGAGTGTGATATGATGTCAGTGATGAGAAATGTCAGATTGTGGTGTGATGGCTGACCGACTCTGTGTTCTTTCTCCAGGAGGTTTTCTTGATGAAGTGACTGGATCAATCTACAAGTAAGTCTCATTCACACTGAACTGAAACCTGTTCAGACCCGTTCTGTGACCTCTGTTTTCTCTCCACCCGCAGGACTGTAGCTGACGTGTTTGATGATCACGATGATGACAACTGAACCATATCTCGCCACCATGTGGCCAACTGATGTTTCACCTTCCCCTCTGATTATTATACTGTTATTTTTGTCTTTTCCTTGAGAACATTACACGTTTGCTCACCAATAGAAATAACTGAATATATTTGTGTACTGTTGTTAACTGACAAGTCAAAGTTATACTTTGAAGGAAAATGATATATTTGAAGTCATATGTGGATATGTTCAATAAAAAGATGGGACATTTTTACTGATTGATTTATTGATGTTAGATTGGCTATTGAACTGAATGTTTGAAGCGCTGGATTCTTCTTTAAGACAACACACTGTCTGAAGAAAACAGGACTTTATGAACAGCACAGAAATACAGGGGATGACTCTGAGGACTTTGACTTTAACAACAGTTATGCATGATCTAAATGTGATGTTATAAAGACAACAGATGATCATATTCTTCACATGTGATGAAACATTAAGACCTGAGGATCTAAAATGGCAGGGACCAAAATCCTGCTGTTTGTTCACTAAAGCTCAAACAGGGTTCTGGAAAGGGTTCAAATATTCGAGTATCTATGGTTTGAGGAAATATACAGCTGGAGAACTCCATCATGTAAACCTACTTGTTCTGTCCTGAGGCTCTGGGGCCGGTTGCACAAAACACCTTAAGTTAAAGTGTGAGTCACGGTTCTTTAAAGTGTGAGTTACGGTTTCCTTAAAATAAAAGCAGTTGCAAAAAAGACCCTTAAGTTTCATCTTTAAGGTTTCCTTAAAAATGTTCACTGAAGTATTTAAAGTTTTCTCCTTATCATAGTCTTATACTTAAGAAATCATTTAAAGTCAGCTAAACCATTGCACAAAAGAGCAACCAAAGTAAGGGAAAAAAAACTAAAGGAAGAAAATGAACACATCCCAGGAAGAAGATGATGATGTTCTGTGACCAGGAGACACCCTTAACTATTCAGAAGAATTTTACCACTGTAAATCTCTTACACTGTTGCAAATGCCTTAAATTTTTCTTTAACTAAGGAAACCTTTGAACAGATTCTGTGCAACACCCTTCAGTAACACCCTCAGCTAAGGGGAAATTGAATCTTAAATGCCATACATACTCAGTAGAAAACTTAAGGTGTTTTGTGCAACCAGCCCCAGGAATCACTTAAATTGTTGCACAAAAGACCTTAGCGACTAAAGTTCACCATGGTGAAGTTCCCATCAAAACAACAGGAGGATCAGATAGCGACACACTTCTTAAATGTTCCCAAAAGTGATAACAGGTAGGTCAATCACAAGTACTAATGGAAGCAAATCAACTGTCTCCATGGAAACATTAGAATTTTACTGCTGTAAAATCTAAATGCTTTGACTTTTTTCCTTAACTCTCGTAACTCCTTCAGCTAAGGAGAAATTAAACCTTAAATGTCATACTTAAGTAGAAAACTTGAGGTGTTTTGTGCAACCAACCCTTGGATCCTGATCCCAGCTACTACTGGGAGAGAAGAGAGGTATCAGGAAGAAAACTGGTAACATTGGTCATTGAGTACAAGGAGACATTAAAATGTCTATTCAACATTTATACGGTCTACAGACTGATCTGAAAGTCCAGTTCATGGTACTTTAGTGCTGTTGACATTTCCTGGTGGTCTGTGTCGTTCAGGCCTACATCATGAACAGTCAACTGGACCAGAGATAATATAAGAACCTGGAATGAGCTGGCGTAGGGGCAATCCAGGAACTCCACCAGACCACTAATAATGTAGGCTAATCCTGTTTGTTGAAGTAACAGGAACCAGACTAGTTACATGTGTCCACTTTGTTCATCTTGGAGGAAAATGATGCAAATGAATGACCCAAAAACAAACACTTGTGGCCAATCAACAATTATGAAACATATGTTCAATTATACATATTCTTTTACAACCGTTTTAGCAACTGTATGTTATTACAGGAGGAAGCTGAGGCTACATGTGAACCATACACACAGCAGAAACATTAATATGTATATTAATATGTCAATAAGTTAATAAAACATAAAGTGAAGGGCAAGAGGTGTGGTCCAGGTTTGAGAATTATAGTTGCAGTCTGTCCCTGGTCCCGCAGTGAGACAGCTGACCTGTCAGGTACACTGGAAATCCTAGTTCAGTGATGTTGGACCTGAAATCAAATGGTTTTTTCCATCATGAAATAAAACTGGATTAACAAAGGTAGTGAATATTATAACATTGATGGGTTTACCTGGTTTCTACAGACTCAGGACAGAACTGACAGGTTTGTTAAGGTTAAAGGAAGGTGGATGAACCTGTATGTAACTGAGCGGGTTGAACATTAAACCATGCATCTCTCTCTCTGGTACAGCAGGTGGCAGTATACACTCTGTTCACGTGGACTGGTAAAATGCCATAGAAGAAGAGGAGGGCGACACCTTCCGCTCCACAGTCAGGTTATAAAACCAAAGCCGAGCACAAACACCTCCAACGGTCAGGACCGCGACTTCCACTGCGTCGCGGCGAATGGGGTTTGACAAGTTCTGCAGTCTGGACCGTTCCGATCCGTTCTGGGTGAGTTTGTTTTCACCACCTTCAGTCTTTTCCCTTATCTCAGAAGTCTGCCCTGTTGTTGTTTTTAGCTGCCGGCACATGCTAACAGACCCGACTTCCGGCCAGAGTCAGATACGTAACGTTAGTATGGCTTCTCTGTAGAACCGGCTTCACTAGAGTCATTTCACAGCGGAGTGTCCCACGTCTTCAAGCTGGGAACCGTAATGCTGTAACGGCTGGGAACATAACACAACCCGTGACCCCCCGTCAGCAGCAGGAGAGACCACATAGTCCCGGTCCACTGCGCTCGCTGACACTGATGCGGGACAGTGTAGTTACAGCGACTTTTACTGTGTCATAACAACATAACAGCACATGTCCCCAGGACAGGACAAACCTGGAACCACGTGATCTCAGTAACAATAAAGATTAGACGTACTCTCTGTCATTGTGTTGATGGGTCTTTACACCCACACTTCAGTTTGTGTTGGTCGTTTGACACTCAACATACTGATCAAGAGACCTGCTGAGAACCTCCACTGGTCTCTGCTCAGCTGTGATCATGACCCAAACATGATCCAGCTGTGATCCTGACCCACCAAACATTATCTAGCTGTGATCTAGACCCAAACATGATCCAGCTGTGATCCATACCCTAACATGATCCAGCTGTGACCCAGACCCAGACATGATCCAGGTGTGATCCAGACCCAAACATGATCCAGGTGTGATCCAGACCTAAGCAAGATCCAGGTGTGATCCAGACCTTAGCAAGATCCAGGTGTGATCCCGACCCACCAAACATTATCTGCTGTGATCTAGACCCAAACATGATCCAGCTGTGATCCATATCCTAACATGATCCAGCTGTGATCCAGACCCAGACATGTTCCAGCTCTGATTCAGTCCCAGACATGTTCCAGCTCTGATTCAGACCCTAACATGATCCAGACCCAAACATGATCCAGCTGTGATCCAGACCCTAACATGAGCCAACTGTGATCCAGATCCAGACATGTTCCAGCTCTGATTCAGACCCAAACATGATCCAGCTGTGATCCCGACCTAGACATGATCCAGCTGTGATCCAGACCCAGACATGATCCAGGTGTGATCCAGACCCAAACATGATCCAGGTGTGTTCCAGACCTAAGCAAGATCCAGGTGTGATCCCGACCCACCAAACATTATCTAGCTGTGATCTAGACACAAACATGATCCAGCTGTGATCCAGACCCAGACATGTTCCAGCTCTGATTCAGACCCAAACATGATCAAGCTTTGATCCAGACCCATACATGATCCAGACCCAAACATGATCCAGCTGTGATCCAGACCCTAACATGAGCCAACTGTGATCCAGACCCTAACATGATCCAGCTGTGATCCAGACCTGAACATGATCCAGTTGTGATCCAGACCCAGACATGATCCAGCTGTGATCCAGACCCAGACATGATCCACCTGTGATCCAGACCCAAACATGATCCAGCTGTGATCCAGACCCAGACATGATCCAGACCCAGACATGATCCAGCTGTGTTTCACACCTAAGCAAGATCTAGCTCTGATTCAGACCCAGACATGATCCAGCTGTGATCCAGACCCAGCTATGATCCAGCTGTGATCCAGACCCAAACATGATCCAGCTGTGATCCAGACCCAGACATGATCCAGCTGTGATCCAGACCCAGACATGATCCAGCTGTGATCCAGACTCAGCTATGATCCAGCTGTGATCCAGACCCAGCTATGATCCAGCTGTGACCCAGACCCAAACATGATCCAGCTGTGATCCAAACCCAGACATGATTCAGCTGTGATCCAGACCCAAACATGATCCAGTTGTGATCCAGGCTCTGATGTTCATGTGATTCTGATGTCAGGGTGTACTAAGACCTGATCCAGCTGGTGTTCAGTTACTTCCTTTGAATAACATCTCAGTAATTTTTGACTTTACCGTTGTCTTTCTGTTTCTCTCCTCTACCAGGATTGGAACCGTACATGGTACACTGCAAACCCAGACCTCACCCAGTGTTTCCAGAACACTGTCCTGGTGTGGCTGCCATGCCTCTACCTCTGGGTTTGTGCCCCTATCTACCTCATCTACCTCCGCAGCCACGACCGGGGCTACATATGTATGAGTCACCTCAACAAAGCTAAAACTGTGAGTAATAATGACCTCAGGTGCTCACTTGAAAAGTGACAGAGATAGTAACAAAAGAAAAGGAGACCAGTAACTGATTGGGACTGATGGTGTCAGAAAGGTACCGACATTGTTGGACACGGTCCCCATGGTCTGATAGGGGACTGATGGGGGGAGGGGGTCTGGTTTCAGAGTCTTACTTTGCCAAGTGGAAGAAATCACTCTCTCTGATGTTGTTGTACAGTGTCAGTGATGTTCCAGGTTTACCACAAACAGAGTCTACAAGTCAGAAGCTGTTTGCTGTCTCTTCTCTCCAGGCTGTTGGTCTTCTACTGTGGATCATCTGCTGGTCAGATGTTTTCTATTCTTTCTGGGAAAGAAGTCATGGCAACAGCATCCCCGCCGCTGTCCACCTGGTCAGTCCAACCTTACTGGGCCTCACCATGGTGAGTGTTTTATATTCTGAAAATGTTCAGTTGACTTTTGACTTTATTTAGTTTCAGTTTAGTTTTATAACTGTTGTCGTGACGATTTAAGATGACTGCATGTTTCCTGTGGGGGTGTAGTTTATTTGCAGACAGTTAAGGTCAGTGAGGCTGTCATGTATGATGTGTAAATGTGTGTGTGCTCCAGCTGCTGGCCGCCATGGTAATCCAGTATGAGCGGATGAAGGGCGTTCAGTCATCTGGAGTGATGCTGATCTTCTGGCTGCTTGCACTGCTGTGTGCCACAGTCACCTTTAGGTCTAAAATCCTCCAGGTCCTGGACCAGGTGAGTCCTGAATGAACAGAACTGGATATGGTTTATAATAAAGGTCATTGCTGCTGTGATGTGGTCAGTTAAACATATTACCTTCAGAGGAGACATCATAGTAGATCACAAACAGAAAAACCATACATGCAGGTTCCGTGTGTTATAATCTGTGTTTGTTTGTGTTGTAGCCTCTCACGGTCAGTGCGTGGCGATACACCACCTTTTACAGCTACTACGCTCTGCTGCTGGTCGCTCTGTTCCTGTCCTCCCTGACGGACCAGCCCCCACTCTTCTCCCAGGCTGTCAAAGACACGGTGAGACCACCTGTCTCTCTACGCCTGTCTCTTTTCCTCCCTCATTACACCTGTCTCTTCCTCTGTCACTGGGTGGTGGAACCTTCATCAGTTTTAGATCAATATTTACTTGTTAATTATTGTTTACAGTAATGTTGATGAACAGGACAGTCACAAAGCGTCCTCACATCTGAATTCCAAATTTCCACTGAGCTGAGTCTGAGTCTTATTCAGGTTCAGTGACAGGTGGAGGCCTCTACTGGGCTCTGAGAGTTTAGCTTCTCATTCTAGATAATATCTTTTTAAAATCTGATACCATGACCCCCCCTCAGACAAAGTTATGGGAACACTTTAAAAGTATCACTGATGTTATGTAAGTTCATTACCTGCTGTTGTCAGTGTTTACCTCCAGAGATGTGAGCTGCTCCTGTAGTTTAGATTTTACTTTTCTGTCAGCTCAGAGTGTAAGTCGAACATGTTTGTGCTGATCTGATGGTGCTAACATCATGCTAACATCATGCTAACACTCATCCAGAATGGTCAGTTAAATTACAGTGATCCAGGCTTCATCCTCCTGCTCTGCTGTTCATCCTGTTTGAATGTTGCTTCAGTGAAAGTCGTGCAACACTGCGTCTGGTTGACAGAGTGAAGTGTCACAGCGATCACTTCTGTGCTTCTCGTTCCCGATGAGTTGACCTTAAATGGATTCACAGCTGATATGTGTGTGGACTGTCTAGATCCTGATAGAACCTGTTGGGTCTAATTGTCCTGTCTTTGTCCTCAGAACCCCTGTCCTGAGCCCGGAGCCTCCTTCCTCTCCAGAATCACCTTCTGGTGGATCACCAGGTGAGCAGACATGTGATGTCTCAGTGGTGTGGATGTGTGTGTGTGTGTGTGTGTGTGTGTGTGTGTGTGTGTGTGTATGTGTGTTACTCAATCAATCAAGTAAGCACGTTTTCAAAGGTTGACTGAAAGAGAAAGGAATTCACTGATGGAGGCCTGTGTGTGGTACCTACGTCATGTGACATCTGCTCTTCTGGTTTTCTTTTCCCTCTGTCCCTTGTGTTGTTTTCTTGTTTCTCAGTTTGTGTCACTGGATCCCTTGTGTTGTCTCATTGGTCTAAATGTCTCTGTCCTCCATCTGGTCTCTACAGGATGATGGTGACAGGCTACAAGCGCCCCCTGGAGGAAAAGGACCTGTGGTCTCTGAACCCTGAGGACCGTTCCCAGAGAGTGGTCCCACAGCTGGTGCGTCGCTGGAACACAGAGTGCCAGAAGGTCAAAAGGTCGGTAGCTCGGTGCAACAGGGAATAATGGTAAAAGTGCACCTGCACGTAGATACCCACAGGTGTACGTGATGTATCTGTGGGAATAGAAGGATTCAGCTTTGCTTTGTTATCAATGATAAAGAGAAGAAGAAGAAGCCACAAGGGATTATTTATTCTCTCTCTGTGAGAGAATCTCATCTTGGAGTTCAACGCAAAGCAAAGCAAGTTTATTTGTATAGCACATTTCAACAACAAGGCAATTCACAGTGCTTTACATAGAGCATAAAAGGCATCAAGACAGAATATAAATGCAACACAAGTAAAAAGATATTTAAATACAATTAAAAAGAAAATGTTGGATTTGGAAATAAATGAAGCTAAAAAGGAATAAGACAGATAAAACAGGAGAATAAAAGTTACAGTGCAGTGTAAAATATTAACTCTCAAATTAGGTTTAATAAAAGGCAGTGGCAAACAGAAAAGTCTTCAGCTGTGATTTAAAAGACCTGAGAGTTGCAGCAGACCTGCAGTTTTCTGGGAGTTTGCTCCAGATATGTGGAGCATAAAAACTGAACACTGCTTCTCCATGTTTAGTGTTTACTCTGGGCACAGAAAGCAGACCTGTCCCAGATGACCTGAGAGGTCTAGATGCTTCATAATGTAGCAGCAGATCAGAAATGTATTTTGGCCCTAAACCATTCAGTGCTTTATAAACCAACAGCAGTATTTTAAAATCAGTTCTTAGTGAGGACTCGAGCAGCAGCGTTCTGAATCAGCTGCAGCTGTCTGATCGATTTTTTTAGGGAGACCTGTGAAGACAACGTTACAGTAGTCAAGTCTACTGAAGATAAATGCATGGACCAGTTTTTCCAAATCCTGCTGAGACATAAGTCCTTTAATTCTTGGTATATTCTTAAGGTTAGTAGGCTGACTTTGTAATTGTCTTAATGTAGCTGTTGAAATTGAGTCCATGACTACACCAAGATTTCTGGTTTGGTTTGTAGTTTTTAACATTATCAATAGAAGCTGAGTTCTGACTTTTAATCGTTCTTCCTTGGCTCTCAAAACAATTAGTTCAGTTTTGTCTTTCTGGTACATCCAATCGTTGATTTGTTCAATGCACTTACTCAGTGCTTGTATTGGACCATAGGCCCCTGGTGGTATGGTTATGTAAATTTTTGTGTCATCCGCATAACTGTGGTAATATATTTTGTTGTTTTCCATAATCTGAGCTAGTGGGAGCATGTAGATGTTGAACAGGAGAGGTGTGTAATTACCTACACATCTGTTCAGGTTTTACAAAAGATTTCACCTGTTGTTTCTGACTCTCCTCTCAACATACTGTTTAATTCAGAACATGCACCTGAAACAGTCTACCTGTCCCCTCCCTTTCTCTCTCTTTTCCAGCACGGAGCAGAAAACTTTGTACTCCCCCAGGCAGGTCCCAAACAGTGAGAGCAAAGAGGGCCGAGCAGTGGAAGAGTCTGAAATCCTGATTGTAAAAAACCCCCAGAAAACAAAGGAGCCCTCCCTGTTCTGGGCCCTGTGCCTGACCTTCGGGCCCTACTTCCTCATCTCCTGCCTCTATAAGATCATCCAGGACATCCTGATGTTCGTGGGGCCTGAGATCCTCCGGTGAGAAGCCTCAGTTCCTCATACATCGCAACCCTCTAACAGGGCCACTGATTTATATGTCACTGATGTATCTGAGCTTCATACTGTATGTGCACATGTTGTAGAGACATAGGTAACTTGGGTCACAAGCTGGGCCCAAATTCAGGGGCCAATTCCTACAAAGTCTCATTTAAAAGCCTCCACCTAATTTGGAGTCTGCTGCCTTGTTTGCAGACCTCAGTGTCCCACAGTCCTGTGCACCAGTCAGTTGTTAATGTTGAACAGTCATTGTTCGGGTGCTCTCTGTTGACCTGTAACGTTGGGTCATGTCACATGACCATGTTGTGCTGACCAGGTGCCAAGGACTGGACAAATAAAAAGGCCTCTGCTCAACTAGAGTTTAAACTCCCATCGTTGACTCTTGTCAGCTCGGATGTTTCAGTTCTTTAAAACATGATCAACCTGCTCCACCTGTCGGTGGAGGAACGAGTGTAACTATGTGAGGTGGAATGGAGAGCTGATGAAATTTTGGTGTCTAAAAGGTCAAAGGTCAAGGTCAGCGTTACCTCACAAAACATGTTTTTGGCTAAAACTCAAGAATTCATATGCTAATTATGACACAATGGAATTATGCTTTTGAGGTAATTAAACTCATGATGGTGAGCACAGAGGAGACAGTCTCATCATCATCAGCGTTTCCCTTTAGCTGCTACAGACTCAGAGCATCTGGTGCCGAGGTTTAGTTCTGGTTCTGTTTAAACAAAATGTTGACTTCCTCCGCTCGATCCGGTCCAGGCTGCTGATCCGCTTCGTGAACAACTCCAGTGCCCCCTACTGGCAGGGCTACTTCTACACCGCTCTGCTCTTCATCTGTACCTGTGTGCAGTCGCTCATCCTCCAGAAGTACTTCCACGTCTGCTTCGTCTCAGGCATGCGTCTGCGCACCGCCATCATCGGAGCCGTCTACAGGAAGGTACATGTTTAAAGTGACAGTGGAACGTCTCTGGTTCTGCTTCAGACTGCGGAAACACTTTTCTTCATGTTTTGACTGATTCTGCTCCTCTGCTCTTTCAGGCCCTGGTTATCAGCAGCGCAGCACGTCGCACCTCCACAGTGGGGGAGATGGTCAACCTGATGTCAGTGGATGCTCAGCGCTTCATGGACCTCATCACGTACATCAACATGATATGGTCGGCCCCCTTGCAGGTGGTGCTGGCCCTCTACTTTCTCTGGCAGGTAGGATTACAGAGCCACAGCAGCTCCTTCAACCGAACCCTGACAGGAGAACATGAGATTAAATTGGTCTGTACTGCTTCAACAGTGAGAGTTCAGACGTAAATCTCTGACCAGAAAAAATGTGAACTGACCTGACAGAACATTCCTTATGCAACAGAAACACTTTAATGTTAAAAAAACATCCATGAACAGCTGAAGACAGAGGAGTGTTTGAAGCTGCTGAGTCTTGATGTGAATGTGGTTTTATTATTGTCACCTGTTGCTCTCCAGAACCTGGGTCCGTCTGTGCTGGCTGGAGTCGCTGTGATGGTTCTAATGGTTCCTGTTAACGCTGTCATTGCTATGAAGACCAAAACCTACCAGGTGAGACAACTCCTCAGACTCACACTGTCACACCACATCCCTCAGTCCTCCGTCCACTTCCTGGTCTGTCAGAGTCCTGCTGGCTCAAAGACCCGCTCTCTGTGTCAGGTCACATCCAACAAAGCACCTGTTATTTACCTGTCACCTGTTTTATATACAGCACACACAGGTCCTTGCAGTGACCGTGTATACAGATGGACAAAACAGCCTGGTGTGGCTGGTTGCATGTAGGTTATAAACTCCGCCCCCTTCATGTTAGAGGATGGATCAAACTAACGAGATGGTTCCTGTCATTTCAGTTCGTTCTCATCACACTGATGTTTGTTCAGATTTTGGTTTTAATTACTTATTTGATGCTATAAAGCGACAGTGTGACGTCATGATTGACAGCTGTGACTGACTCATGATCAGGTCGAGCAGGTGTATGGGCGGGAACTTGATACTGTGGCTCCACCCCCTGATCACTGTTGCACAGACTCTGATGTCAGAGCTCGTATCCAGGATGCTGTGGCTTCAGTTTTGTGCAGAGGGAGGAAGTGGAGACGTGTCATCCATTTTTATCTACAAGCACTGGGTCTGAACCAAGCCTGTGGGTCAGAGGGTCCACAGGTAGCCTTGTGTCAGGGTGTCGCTCTGTGCGTCTGATGTTAGTTTACATGTGTTCCTGTGTGTGTGAGCAGGTGGCTCAGATGAAAAGTAAGGACAATCGCATCAAGCTGATGAATGAGATGTTGAATGGCATCAAAGTGCTGAAGCTGTACGCCTGGGAACTGGCCTTCAAGGACAAGGTGTCAGAGATCCGTGAGAGTGAGCTGAGGGTCCTAAAGAAGGCCGCCTACCTGGGTGCCATGTCCACCTTCACCTGGGTCTGTGCACCTTTCCTGGTGAGTTAAGTGGAGAAAGACAGACATCAACCACAATGAACACATGAACAGTTTCTGTCACAATGACACCGACCTCATCATCATACATACCTCATACATGATACACTACATTCATTCACTTGTTAAGTTAGAATAAAGTGACCTGGACTATAACCACACTCAAACAGTTTCCTCTCTCTCATGTAGGTTGCCCTCTCCACCTTCACTGTGTACGTCCTGATCGATGAACACAACGTGCTCGACGCTCAAAAAGCCTTTGTGTCGCTGGCGCTCTTCAACATACTGCGATTTCCTCTCAACATGCTGCCTATGGTCATCAGTAGTATGGTGCAGGTGAGTCCTCAGTCACATGACCAGCTCTCAGTCACATGGTTGTCTCCATCATTCCTCTGGATGATGATTTTCATGTAGCCACAGTAAGAGGAGAGCCAAAGATGATGATGATATCTGATCTCCACAGTCACATCCCAGCATGATAAAAACACTCCCTTGTTCTTCAGGTGAAGTAACAGAGGCTGAGTGCCTTTAAGGACTAGTTCACCTAAACTACACAACAGAAAACAGATGAAATTCATCATTGTAATTCGCTACCTCATCATTGTAATTCATTGTAATTCACAGTGTAATTTATTGTACCCTACATATGCACATCTCCACTTTACTTATGCACACCCTCACTTTACATACCTGTACAGCACACACTTGCACTTTAACTGCTCTTTTGCACTTCTGGTTAGATACTAACTGCATTTCGTTGTCTTAGTACGTTTACTCTGTGCAATGACAATAAAGTTGAATCTAATCTAATCTAATCTAATGAGTCTCCTCCAGCGGTGTTTAACTGCACAGTTTAGTTTTGGTTGATCTGTCTGAGATTCCTGCCTCCACCCTGATACAGTGGAGGTGAATGGGATTAAGTTTGTGCTCTTCAAAACACTGATATGTGAATCGATGGTGTGTTGAAGCACCTGTAGCTGGTGAGTCATCACATGACTTAATTTTGGAACCATGACAGTATCAAACAAACTTTCACATGGTTTTAGATTTATTTGTTCATGTGTTAAGATGTGCGTCTCTGGGATTTCTGCTTCCACCTTAAATATGAATTAGGTGTATGGGATTTTCCTTCTTTTATTGTCACATATAGAATCTTAAATTAAAAGTAGTCAGAATAACAAACCAACCATGTAAACCACATAATCCTCAACGCCATATAAAAGACCCAAATCTGGCTCCTCTGAGCTCCACCAACAACAGGCCACTCTCATCTGATTGGCTTCTAAGTGACGCATGGCCAGGCCAACTACAGGTAACAGATTATAGCCCACTACTGTAGCTTGTTAACTCACCTGTACGGGTGATGGTCAGTCAGACAGTCGACTCCTGTCCATGTGACCTTTCCAATACCGCTAATACCCGGACTCCTCATTATTCAGAGACAGTTTGGGGACAGACACTGCTCAGTGTCTCGGTGTACCACTACAGACTTAAATCCATTAACCTCATTATACTGGTCTGGAGGCAGAAGTCAGCCACATGTTAAAACGCCTGGCTGAATGAGACCAGAACTGTGTGCGTGGAGACACCTCACCAGAGGACAGTGAAAAGATAAGTCAGTGATTTGGGTGGACAGGTCCTTTAAGACTTTATAATACTGAAGTTAGGGCAGATCTAAACTATGTCAACATCAGAGACTACTTCAGTTTGTCAGTCCAGTATCATCCTCTCTCTCCTGGTGTCTGTGGGTCTTCAGGCCAGTGTGTCCCTGAAGAGGCTCAGAGTGTTTCTGTCCCACGAGGAGCTGCAGGAAGACAGTGTGGAGCACCGAGCAGCAGCCGGCTGTGAGTCTGTCCTCATCTATCCTCTCTGTGACCATGCACCTGTCTGCTCCCACATGCTGGGCTGTGTGTGTGTGTGTGTGTGTGTGTGTGTGTGTGTGTGTGTGTGTGTGTGTGTATATATATATATATATATATATATATGTATGTGTGTTTATATATATGTATATTAATTCGCACACTGAGATGAATACATTGTGACTTTTGTTGAGAGCGAACAATGTGTTTGACCTGTGGCTTCTTCAGGTTCACTCAAAATTACAAGAACGTTCACAGGTGAGGTGTGATTAATACACACATAGATCACATGACCAATCACCATCATCCTCATTTTGTCATTTTTCTGTATTTTAACATTTTTTTCAAAAGGTAAATATTTTCCAAAAAACATAACAATATTAAACATTAGCTAAACTAAACACTATTAATATTACTAGAGTTACAAAAGTTACACTGAATTAACAAAAATAAGAGAACTCATTTCTATATACACAACTGACTGCATGAAAAAAGTCAAATTTATTAACAGAGATAGACTATAGGTCTTACAGCTGTCCCTCTACATCACTAAGTGAGGAGGATGAATATCAGGGGACTTATAGCTCATCTCTCCTTAAGGGAGATATAAGTGAGAATACTCACCTCACAGAAAAGAACTCAAATCTTGTGTTCCATAGGGTTCAACTGTGTTGAATTCATGAATCCAAAATACTTCCCTCTGATTATTAGATTACCCCCTCTGGGACTGGGGCGCTCTCCTCCAATGCCAATAAACTTTAGGGAAGCAGTCGACCCGTGGTTTTTGTCTTTGTAGTGTAGCAGAGGCATAATCCGTGTTTCCATGGCAGCCTTATGCTTTGTTTGGCCTACATACATTAAGTCATATTGGCATTTCAAAATGTAGATGACGTGTAGAAAAACAGTTTGTGAATTCTTTTCTATTATATTTCTTTCCTGAGCGAGGGTGATTAAATGTCTTGGTATCAAATGTATTTGAACAGTGTGCACATTTGCCACACCTATAGTTTCCAAACACTTGTTGAGAAAGCCAGTTAGTTTGTGCAGGTTCCTGACAAATATTGCTGAGAACTATATCTCTGACATTTCTGCCTCTCCTGAAGCAAAAACCAGGTCTAGAGGACGACAATTTTGTCGTCCTCTAGATTGAAACCTGGGTCACATTCTAGGATGTTCCATTGTTTGTTTATCAATAGTTTAATCAATAAGTGTTTGGTCATATCCCCTCTGACATTTCTTTAGCTTTAGTTTGGTTGTTCACCCTCAATCAAAGTGAGTGAAGTTATCTCAGTGTGCGGTGGTTAAGTTTGATTTTCGCTTTAGTTGTTCCGGTGACCAACCAGCACCTGAACACTTAAACTGGCTGTGCGTGGGGAGTTCTGCTCACTCTTATTCCATTGCATATGTATGTATGATAACATGTCTTCTATCGTCCTCCCAGCCCCACACAGTGTCTCCATAGTGGATGGAGTTTTCAGCTGGTCCAGAACTGAGTCACCGACACTGAAGCAGTGAGTGTCATCTGTCCTCTGTAGTGTGTTCACATATAATTCACTTCAGAGTCTGAGCTGGTCAAATCAAGAGAACATTGGTTCTTTTTTTAGTCCAGAATGTCAGCAGCAAGAGAGAAGAAAACATGTCAACGCCATGTGTTTCTACCATAACATTACCGTTTTCTTCTTATTAACAAACTTAGAAACAACACATATTGATCCATAAGAGCCAATAGGTGTTTATTAAGAGGAGCAGGATCACTGGAGTAAAGCTATCTGAATGTGTGTGTATGTGTGTACAGGATGAATATGTGTATCCCAGAAGGCTCTCTGGTGGCTGTGGTGGGACACGTGGGTTCAGGAAAGTCCTCTCTGCTCTCCGCCCTGCTCGGGGAGATGGACAAACTGGAGGGAACCGTGGCTGTCAAGGTGACTGCACTCACTCACTCACTCACTCACTCACAACCACCACACAACCACACACACACACACACACACACACACACACACACACACACACACTGACATTCAGCATTCAGTCACATCATGAGATTTCCAGGTTTCCAAGCAGAACTAAAGACTTCATCCATTACAGTTCTTCGTAGAGAACACACACAGTTATGGAGGGCCAGGGATGTCAAAGGAAAATAAATAAAGCATTCCCTTAATTTCATATTTCGATAGGCTTTCAAAATAAGAATTGTTAAGAATTTAAAAATTACCAAATTNACTAAAGACTTCATCCATTACAGTTCTTCGTAGAGAACACACACAGTTATGGAGGGCCAGGGATGTCAAAGGAAAATAAATAAAGCATTCCCTTAATTTCATATTTCGATAGGCTTTCAAAATAAGAATTGTTAAGAATTTATAAATGACCAATCTATCAATACATACGTAAGATTTAAAAATGAATTTACAAAAACAACATAAAACTCTCATTAAATAAATCATCTATAAATACATTTATTAATTCATGAATAAGTAATAGAATTTGAAAAACTATTTGAAAAGGCATTTTAGAAATGGGAGTATATACCTGGATTCCCTCTTCAATTTCCATTTCCTTTTTCCTATTAGCTATTAGCTAATTGATTAGCTTAGTCATTTAGCTTCTCCATTTAGGTTTTCTGTGACACTCTGGGTCTTCAGTGCTAGTAAAACCCTTTTTTATATACAGTCTGTGAATATGATATGACTGGTTAGCTCTCCAACCAATCAGAGAGCTTGTTACATCCCATGGCCAACTGGGATTGTTTAGTCTGGTTTTACCAGCACTGAAGGCCCAGAGTGTCAGGAAAGGCTAAAAGGAGAAGCTAATTCATCAGAGTGAATGGACCAAATGGTTTTTTTTTATCATTTTCCTGTGATATTCTGAGGCTTCAGCTGTCACCGTATTTGATGAGTACAGTTACCATGGTTACAACTGAGCCACTGTTAACCTGCTCCTATCAGACAGTAATACAACAGACTGACTCTGTGCTCTGAATCATGTTGTTGTTCAGACTCCGTTTGAACAGAGCCTCTGTCCCCGTCTATCCTTCCTGCTCACCTAGCATTAGCATTAGCATTACAGCAGCAGCTGGTCATTCAGAAGCTGGGTCCCTTCAACACAGTGTGTGTGTTCAGTGTGTGTTTATCTTGAAGCGTCAGACAATGTAGTGATGCTTCTGTAGTGAAAATGTAACTGTCGACTGTCCACATGAATCCTGGAGCTGAACCTCACTGTTCCTTCAGACAGCAGCACTAAAGATGGTTCTGGTTCTTTAGAGAACGTCAGAAAACACCATTAACTTTACAGTGTGACTCTCCCTGCAGGGGTCAGTGGCCTACGTTCCCCAGCAGGCCTGGATCCAGAACTCTACCCTGAGAGACAACATAATGTTTGGTCAGGAGAGGAGAGAGGCCTGGTATCATCGTGTGGTGGATGCTTGCGCCCTCCAGCCTGACCTCGAGATCCTTCCTGCTGGAGACGAGACCGAGATCGGAGAGAAGGTAGGATTGGATGGTCTCAGTCCATAGAGAACCAGCTGAAGTGGTCTGCTTTTAAAACCCTGATATCACTTGGAGGGTTTTCATTGTTTCATTAGCACTGAGCTTTTTCAAAGATAACTTCAAGTTCAAGATGTTTGTTTGTAAAATGAGAAGTTTCAGTTGTCACAATACAAAAAAAAATAAAAACAAAACTGAGCCACTGTGAGGTTCATAACAGCACACAAAGGCAAAGGTCTCCTTGTCTCCCGCGGGTGGTCTGTCTGCTCGTCTCTGAGGCCTCTGGTTAGGGAGAAGAGGTCCGTCCTTTCACCAGCGTTCTTCAACCTGGTGTGTCCTCTGTTTATAACCCAGAGCAGCAGGACTCACAGTGACTGACTTTAAACCACTGAGGGAGAGACAGGTTTATGCAACACTGACTGACCACAAGTTAAACACAGTCAGACATGAGACTGGGCTCCTCAGTGTCTCTCTCTCTGTCCTCACCTCAGTGTCTCTCTCTCTGTCCTCACCTCAGTGTTTCTGTCTCTGTCCTCACCTCAGTGTTTTTTCCTTGTCTCTGTCCTCACCTCTGTGTCTCCCCCTACAGGGAGTGAATCTGTCTGGAGGTCAGAAACAGAGGGTGAGCCTGGCCAGGGCTGTGTACTGTGACCGAGCTGTCTACCTGCTGGACGACCCACTGTCTGCGGTGGACGCCCACGTAGGAAAACACATCTTTGATCAGGTCATTGGTCCTCAGGGACTGCTAAAGGACAAGGTGAGTCTGATCTCATGGAGATTCACTGTGCGGTGACATCATGTTTTCAGGTTCAGTCACACTGATGCTGTTGTTATAGGCCGGTACTGTAGGAAGGTCTGCTGAATGAAAACCAACATGAAAACTACAGGAAGATCAGAGGGACCAAAGCACCTGGAGAAAAAACATGACACCAAAGTGTCTCATCATGTGACTGCTACAACATTGTCTGTATGGTTTCACCACGGTGTTAGAAGCAGTTCTTCAGAGTGGTTCTAACATTGATACCAGGTGTCCTGACTCTGCCATCAATATAACCACATGACACCTCTCATTTGTAATTATCTGATCCTGAGCTTCATAAGGGAACAACATGGTGCCACAGTGTAGATCAGACTGTCATCGCTACAGGTGATCACAGAGGACATGTTTGTGATCACTGATTATCTGACCTGCTGTTTTCAGGACTTGTTCAGTAGGTTAATAACATTTTACAGTTCTGGTCCTTTTAAACCAGAAAATAACTGAAAAGGTTAAAACATATTTGATGCAGTGTAAGAGTTTTGTGGTGCGATGGCTCTTACTTAACTGGGAATGGCAGCAGCCACTAAGACATACAACCAACAGGAAGAAACAGCATCCAAACTTTGGCAGAGCTGTTTTTTTTTTTTTTTTAATTGAGTTTGTATTATACACAGCCATATTTACAGCATTTACATCCACCCAGTATATAAAGGCTCCAACATTAACCACTACCAGTACAAAAAAGGGGTGGTGTCTTTAACAAGGATTGTAGCATTGGTATATGCATTCTGTATAGTAGCTGTTATTTACCCTTACACAGTTATTAAAGATATTTACATCTTACTCAGATGACCTTGACTAACCTAACCCCTTTTCTCTGCAGTTTAGAACTGATTTTGATCATTTATATAATAGATCCCATAACATCCTCTGAGTCTGAACATGGTCTCTGATCATCTGATCAGTCACTTCTTGCTGTTCCCGGGTCCAGAACAAGTCCAGCTCTTTTTCTGTCAGGACCCCCAAAACTCTGGAATAGACCACTTTCCCATTCACTTGAATGGAAGTGTATGCTCCTGTGTGCAATCTATGTTTATACATATTTATGTTGCCAGACGACTGGATATTCAGCAGATATTCCGTATGAGAAAGAGGGTCTAGGTTTTTGATGTGTGTCAATGGTAAGTTTTTTGAATGACTATAGTAGTCCTGACTTGAAATGATTTACAGGAAACCTTTCTCACATAAACATGTTAATGTGTGTGGCTGTGTGCAGACTCGTGTGCTGGTGACCCATGGGCTGAGCTACCTGCCCCAGGTGGACCTCATCCTGGTCATGGTGGGGGGAGAGGTGACGGAGATGGGCTCGTATCAGCAGCTCATGGCCACAGAGGGCGCCTTCTCTGAGTTCCTGCGGACATACGCATCTGTGGACTACACTGACAACAACGGTGAGGCACACTATTCTTCACACAGCCACGGTGACTGTGTGCGTTGTCTGTTGGCTGGAAGCTTATTTATTCATATGATATTAATAATAATTTAAATGTGCAGCATTATGATGTATTCTTTAATGTTGCTGCTCCATGCACATGAGCTGTGGTTTAGACTCAGCTGTTTGCTGCAGTAGTTAATAATAATATTGGCTTTAAGCAGCAACGGTTGAAGTGATGGCTATGTCGCCCGTATACATTCCAACGTGTAGTAATGGGAAAAAAAATTTTTTTAACCCCCCCCCCCCCTCCCCTTGTTCCCTCCTGTTTTTAGAAATTCCGCCAAAGAGTGGAACCAAAGGAACAGAGAACGGCAGCGCAACTGCTCTGGCTGGGTGAGTGACACCGGACCACACAGGAGCTCTATGGAGTCCTGCGGAGATGACGTTTATGACCATGGACTCTGATAAACCTGTTCTGTTTGTGTCTTCTGAGTCCTGACAGCAGTACCTGAAGCTCTGCTCTGTTCAAGTCTTTTATTTAGAGACAGAAACTTTCCCACAAAGAGAGGAACAGGTAGTTTAATATATAACAGACAGAACTGGACAGAGAATCCACCAGCTACTGAACTGTAGAAGTGACTGTGTTATGTCAATACAAGTGATACATTTAAAAATAAAACTCTCACAGTATTTTATACGTACATACAGTGGTTTCAGAAACTATTCAGACCCCATCACTGTGCTGTGTTGTACATTTAATTTTAAATGGATAAAATTTCCATCCTGTGTTTGTTTTTATTCTTCATGTGTGAGCAGCAGTCCAGTTGTCAGCAGTGTGTCCAAGCTGTCCCAGACCAACAAGGAGGGCCAGGACCTGAACAAGAAGGCAAAGAACCCTGAGGTGGGCAAGCTGACTGAGGCTGACAAGGCCAGCATTGGACGGGTAGGTAGCAGTGAACCATTGCACATCCATGTGTCGTATGTGCCGGTCCCAACCAGAACCTGGTCCCAGCTGGTCTCCTTCCCTCCCCAGGTCCAACTGTCTGTGTTCTGGGCATACCTGAAGGCCATTGGGGTTCTCCTGTCCTGCATCAGTCTGCTGCTGTTCCTCGCCCATCACCTGGTCTCCCTCTTCTCCAACTACTGGCTGAGTCTGTGGACGGACGACCCGGTGGTTAACGGCACGCAGCCGAACAGACTGATGAGACTGGGGGTGTACGGTGGTCTCGGCCTGTCCCAGGGTGAGGATGGGTGAGGGGGTTCTGACGCAGCAGAACATCCTGAATGCTGTTTTCATGTTTCTTTGTCTTCACACTGAACAAAAATCAAACCTCCTCTCTAACCAGATACTGAGTAAGGAAAAGGGGGGTGGGGCTGTACTGTAGATCAGCCAGTCACACTGCACAAGAGGTACAGGTGTGACTTGACTGAAGGTGCAGCTCACCTGTGTCTGTCAGGAACTCAGTTTCAGTGAAACCTAGGGATGGGTTATATTAACAGGCCCCAGGGCAAAATTTTAAAGGGGGGGGGGGTTTGTTAATGTTAAACTTAGTTTGTTTTGTTTTTTTCTTACAAAAAGACAAAAAGAACCAATAAGAGTACCGTTAAGGTATTGTATCGATAAAAGTAGTAGTACTGTTAAAATCTTAACGATACCCATCCCTAGTGAAACCTGTGACTCTTCAGGTACAGCGGTGTGTGTTTCAGAGTGTGTGTTTCAGTGTACCAGCCTGGTCCATAACCATAACACTCAGTTATGTTTCTACGCTGATGACACACAGATCTATCTTCCAATTAAACCTGATGACAAAACCAGTCTACAAACCCTGCACACTTGCTGAAGAGACATTAATCTCGTACCCGAGGAGATCAGGCCCCAGTTCAAAACTCTACTCAAAACATACTTGTATAATGCAGCTTTTAATGCTTGATTTCAATGCTTTTATCTTTGGTTTTTACTTTTGCTTTTATTTTCTTTTGTATGTTTAATTGATTTCATTGTTTTAACATATGTATTTGTAATTTCTCCCTGTTATACTTGCCTTGCTTATCAACATGTTCTCTCTCTTCTCTTACTTTTATTGCTTTGTTTTGTTTTTATGTTTGTACAGCACTTTGTAACTCTGTTTTGAAAAGTGCTTCATAAATAAAGTTGTTATTATTATTATTATTATTATTATTATTATTATTATTATTTAGACCGCTCACCCTGTGAACCCCTCTCTCTGCAGGCGTGGCAGTCTTTGGTTACTCCCTCTCCATGTCCATCGGGGGGATCCTGGCGTCCCGCGTCCTCCACCAGTCCATGCTGTACGATGTCCTCCGCTCACCTATGTCCTTCTTCGAGCGAACCCCCAGCGGAAACCTGGTCAACCGCTTCGCCAAGGAGATGGACACCATCGACTCAATGATCCCCGTCATCATCAAGATGTTTATGGGCTCCATGTTCAACGTGCTGGGGGCCTGCGTCATCATCCTCGTCGCCACGCCACTGGTCGCCATCATCATCCCTTTCCTCGGTCTGCTCTACTTTTTTGTGCAGGTGAGATGTTTTCAGAAGGTGTTGGTTGTCTGAACGTGGACTGAGTGTGAAAACGCTGAGTTTGTTTCTGAATGGTCTCACACACTTGTCCTTCCTCCGCCCAGAGGTTTTATGTTGCATCATCTCGTCAGCTGAAGCGTCTGGAGTCCGTCAGCCGTTCACCCATCTACACTCACTTTAATGAGACTCTGCTGGGCACCTCCGTCATTAGAGCCTTTGGAGAACAGGCACGCTTCATCTGTGAGAGCGACCAGAGGGTAGACCACAACCAGAAGGCCTACTACCCTGGCATAGTGGCCAACAGGTGAGGGAGAGTCACTGTATCAGTGAGGATCAGACTGAAGAGCAGGTTGTTCTCAGGTTAACTTCCCTCTGTAGTTTCTCTTCTTCTCAGTGTTGGTGACTCTGTGTGTGTGTGTATGTATATGTGTGTGTGTGTGTGCAGGTGGCTCGCAGTCCGTCTGGAGTTTGTGGGAAACTGCATCGTGTCATTTGCTGCTTTGTTTGCTGTCATAGCTAGAGACAGCCTCAGTCCGGGCATCATGGGCCTGTCCATCTCCTACGCCCTCCAGGTAAACACCTACTCTCACCTGTGTCACCTGTTCATGGGTTAGACACCACTCTGTCCTATAGGAGGACTTGTACAGGTGAGAATTATAATTATAATTAGTCTTTATAGATCTTATGCATCTTTATGGGAGTGAGCTAGAATTTATGAATAAACTGAAAATGAGCTTCCTTGATTTTATTACTTGTACATGAAAAGGAGGAGAGGAGGTATTTTTGACCTGACCCTGTTAGTAAGACATCTCTGTCCTGTGCAGCTGACTGCCTCTCTGACCTGGCTGGTGAGGATGTCCTCTGACGTGGAGACCAACATCGTGGCTGTTGAGAGAGTGAAAGAGTATGGCGACACAGAGAAAGAGGTAAACAAACAAGTATACAGTTATCAAAGAGCCAGTATCAGCTGTTTGTGTTTGGAGGAAGGAGTTACTTCTTCATGGTGCTGGACCTGGACTGGGACTACAGGTGCAGGATAGAATTCTTCCACATCTCTATGTAGAAGCACACATGAAGTTACACAACAAACACGTCCACCTGCTGTCGGATGTCATGGGAACCTGAAACCTGATGTAGTGTCTATATGTAGGATCAGAGTTGATGCTCTGTGTGAAGCACCAGTGTGGTAACAACCTAGAAGATTAAATACAATCAGCAGAAGTTAAACGCTAATGTTAGGCTATAAACCACCTACACTACTGTCACATGACTTCAACGTCACCACTAAACCTCAACTTGTAGTTCGATTCAGCTCTGACCTCTTCTACAAAAGCCATTCCTCTTACAAAGTTAATAACAGTTTGCATAAACACAACGAGCATGTAAAGGTAAAGGTGGACTGGAGAGTACATTGGTTTTCATGTTCACTGTGATGACGTTTAACGTCCCCGACAACCTCTGTAGTCTCATTTAGACACTTGCTGGGGGGGGGGGGATCAATCCCAAAATATTGACACTACAGATACTACGTCTCTTCTTTGAAGATCGATTCTAGCGTCATTAGGATGGTTACCAGTTTCAGTTTCTCTCTGTGTTGGACTCATTTCAGGGCAGAACTGTCTTTGAAAACCATGTTCTATTGTTGTGAACACAAGTTCATCCCACTCTTTGCCACTGCTGCTGTCATGTTGTGTGCACTCAAACATGAACATGGTGCCAACAGCACACCACACAGCGCACTGGATGGAAAAGAAATTCTGTGGTATCACCCTAACACTTGTTAGAAACCGGCTTTTTTTAACGTAAAAGTAAAGAAATCAGGACTGGGGTATTTACTGGTGTATTTTGGATAAATACACCAGTAAAGTGTAATCTGACCTCTCAGAAATTCTGAACTCTGAGCTGATTTTCTGGTTGAACTGTTGCTTACAGGTTGTGTTGTTGTAGCTGTTACCTAGTAACAAGTCAGTCATTGAGAACAGTCACACGTGTAACTCAGATTCATGATGTCAGTGTTTTCACTTTAGTGATAACTCTGATTTGACTCCACTACGTTACACTGGGAAATATTTCTTCTTCTTACTCCACTACATTTATTTTTCACCTGTTACTTCTCAGTGAAGATTTTTAAGGAAAACAACAATTTTCTTCTAAAAGTTTCAGATAAATACTGTGTTCCAGGTCAAACCAGTGAGACAGGATGAGTTCCACCTTCATCAGATGCTCCTCAGTCTTTGTTGATGTGTTTATTTAAATGTCCACTGACCACCAGGCCGAGTGGAAACACGAGTCCTCCCCCCTCCCACCGGGGTGGCCCACTGACGGCTGCATCGACATCAGAAGCTTTGGCCTGCGCTACCGCCACGACCTGGACCTCGCCATCCGCAACATCAGCATCAAGATCAACGGAGGAGAGAAGGTGTGGACATGACTGCACTGAGGGGGTGGCCGAGCTGAATCTGTGTGTGACTGTGTGTGTGTACTGTGTGTGTCTGTGTGACTGTATGTGACTATGTGTTAGTGTGTTAGTATGTGATTGTGTGTGTGTGCGTGTGCGTGTGTGTGCGCATGTTACATCTGTGTTGGTATGTGTGTGTACAGTCTGTGGTCTGTAACATGAACTGCTGCACCTGTCAATCAGGTGGGGATCGTGGGGCGCACTGGAGCGGGGAAGTCCTCCCTGACTCTGGGACTGTTCCGGATCATCGAGGGAGCTGAGGGCCACATCTTCATTGACGGGGTGGACATTGCTCAGCTGGGCCTCCATGACCTCCGCTCCAGAATCACCATCATCCCACAGGTGAGTGCACAGAGGACACAGAGGAACTGGACTAACAGGTAGACCGTGATCACATGATGACTCTCTCCCCCCTCCTCAGGACCCGGTGCTGTTTTCTGGCTCTCTGAGGATGAACCTGGATCCTTTCGACAGCTACTCTGATGAGGACGTGTGGCGGGCTCTTGAGCTCTCCCACCTCAAGGCCTTTGTCTCCGGTCTGCCCAACAAACTCACCCATGAGTGCAGTGAAGGAGGGGAGAACCTCAGGTATCATTGCTCCACACACCTCCATACACACCACCAAAAACTTCAATAACCTCAGAGTCACACTCGTCCTCTGCTGACATCACTTCCTCTCTGTGTCTTTGCTCTTAGTCACTACTTCACTCCACCTCTTTGTTTTTTAGTCAGTGTTAATCAGTGACAGCCCAGGCTTCCTGCACAGATGTTTCAAAGTAAAAGCCTTCATAATCTTCCTCGTAGCTGGTTAACAGGAGGTGTTGAGTTTCACTGACTAGTGGTTAACATCAGACAGAACACAGAGGGAGCAGCAGCAGGAGGAGACTACAGTAGAGGGAATGTGTCTGGTATTTATTAGGAACTGCATTTTATTTGTTAATGTTAAACATGGAAGAACAGGTTCACAAACTCCATATAACTGTGAACAAGGCCTTCTTCCACAACACATGACATGAATCAGTCATCCACATCTTTACGTACTAGAAAGCGGAACACAACTACATATCATAACTCCATCACCCAAGCTGAGGACAGCTTAACTCACACTCTGACATTGGGCCGGTTCAGATTCAAAAGTAGATAATTATGTCTAACAGTTGTGTAGCAAGACTGTGGCTGTATATGTATTTGTACATCCATATATATTGTAATTTATAAAATGTTACAGTTGCTCCCTTAAGAATGGAAATGTAACAACAAAGAATAAAGAATAAGAAGTAAGATTATAAAGATAAAGATAAAATCTAAACATAAAAAGTAACAATATGTCCCTATACTTTGATATATAAATTAAAAAAATAAGAATATGTAAGGATATGTGCCACTACTATTGAAAGGTGATAGTTAGAAAAAATACAATATAAATATAAATTTAGACATTTAGAAGTTTTATATATAAATGAAAGTATTCATAATCATTGCCATATGAAACAGAGGGTGGAGTGTGTTCTCAGTTTCATGTTCAATCCTGCACAGTTTCATACCTGAGTCTTCACATAGCTCTCCAGCTTCATGTGTTCTGTGTGTCAGTGTGAGGTTTGAGGATCCCGGACCTCAGTTCAGACACTGTAGGACTAGAGTGTAGTTCTAGTTTGCTTAAACCCTAATCTGTGTCTTCCCTCCAGTGTAGGTCAGAGGCAGCTGGTGTGCCTGGCCAGAGCTCTGCTCAGGAAGACCAAGATCCTGGTTCTGGACGAGGCCACAGCAGCTGTGGATCTGGAGACAGACAACCTGATCCAGTCCACCATCCGGTCTCAGTTTGAGGACTGCACCGTACTTACTATAGCTCATCGCCTCAACACCATCATGGACTACAACAGGTACTGTACACAGACACACACACACACACACACACACACACATGCTCTGACACACCAGCGGACCAGTATAAACAGCCATCAGTGGTCGTCTTAGTCTCAAGTCATCATCTCGTCATGTTTGTTTTATCTAAAGATGACAGGTTGACTCTGATGATGAATGAAACGGTGGACAGAACTGGTGGGACTGGTCATACTGGTGGTACAGGCATAACTTGGTGCTACTTGAACAGAAGGGTCTTGATTGCTCTCTGTCCCATGCAGGGTCCTGGTGTTGGACAAAGGTGAGATGGCAGAGTTTGACTCCCCCTCTCACCTCATCGCTCAAAGAGGAGCCTTTTACAAGATGGCCAAGGACGCTGGACTGGTCTGAAGCAGGAGGTCTGGTCTGAAGTAGGAGGTGCCTCACTTGGTCCAGCTGCTCCTCTGGCCCCCCCAGCTCTGCTGGCTCCCGGAGGTCCTGAGTTAAAGAGAGGGAGATGAAGCAGGAGCCTGTTTGAAAGTGGTGGTGAGAACAAGGGCTTTGGCCTGACCTGCTCCACCCGACACCTCCGTCCTCATTGAACTACAGATTCTCCCTGTTAGTCCAGATCATGTCTATGTCCCCTGGTCTCTTCCCACCCCCCTTCACAGTCTCTCTCTTCTGTTTCTGCCATGAAGGTGGTAACAAGAGTGTCAAATGTGGCTTTTATTTTGACAGAGCAATGTATCAGTGCTGGAGCAGTGTCTCAGGTCAGAGGAGGACAAAGAGACAAGTGTCCTCTAAGTTTGACATCATCAGTGCCAAATACGTCCCTCACATGTCCCATTTTAGGATTTGAGAAGATGAAGGGACACTTCTCCCACAGACAGTCCAGAAGTGTCTCCTCACACTGTCCTGCTCTGTCCCAGGTCCATACCACACACCAGAGACAGTCCAGGATATAGTCTCTGTGCTATTGTGTCTGTCTTTTACTGTCAGAGTAAGATATGAACACAGTTTTGTGATTCAGTGTGATTCAGTCTCAGTTTAAAGGAAAACACTGGTGTTAGTGGGGAACCTAAAAGATCCTAGGACTTAAAGCCAAGTGGACTCTGACTGAGACTGAGGCTGAGACTCTGTCTCTGACCGAGACTGAGACTCTGACCAAGACTGAGACTCTGAGATTGTGACTCTGACTGAGGCTGAGATTCTGATTCTGACTGAGACCCCGACTCTGACTAAGAATGAGACTCTGAGATTGTGACTCTGCCTGAGGCTGAGACTGAGACTGAGATTCTGACTCTGACTGAGGCTGAGATGCTGAGATTTTGTCTCTGGCTGAGGCTGAGACTGAGACTGGCTCTAACCGAGACTGAGACTCTGACCAAGACTGAGACCTTGACTGACTAAGACTCTGAGATTGTGACTCTGACTGAGGCTGAGACTCTGACTGAGAATCTGACTCTGACTGAGGCTGAGATTCTGACTCAAACTGAGACTCTGACTGAGATTCTGACTCTGACTCTGACTGAGACCTAGTCTCTGACTGAGGCTGAGACTTTTACTCAGACTGATATTTGAGACTCTGACTGAGAATCTGACTGAGGCTGACTCTGACTGAGACTGAGACTCTGACTCTGGCTCTGACTGAGACTCTGACTGAGACTGAGACTCTGACTCTGACTGAGACTCTGACTCTGACTCTGACTGACTCTGACTGAGAATCTGACTCTGACTGAGACTGAGACTCTGACTCTGACTAAGACTCTGACCGAGAATCTGACTCTGACTGAGATTCTGACTGAGAATCTGACTCTGACTGAGGCTGAGACTCTGACTGAGACTGAGACTCTGACTCTGACTAAGACTCTGACCGAGAATCTGACTCTGACTGAGATTCTGACTGAGAATCTGACTCTGACTGAGGCTGAGACTCTGACTGAGACTCTGACTGAGACTGAGACTCTGACTCTGACTCTGACTGAGACTCTGACTGAGACTGAGACTCTGACTCTGACTAAGACTCTGACCGAGAATCTGACTCTGACTGAGATTCTGACTGAGAATCTGACTCTGACTGAGGCTGAGACTCTGACTGAGACTGAGACTCTGACTCTGACTAAGACTCTGACCGAGAATCTGACTCTGACTGAGATTCTGACTGAGAATCTGACTCTGACTGAGGCTGAGACTCTGACTGAGACTGAGACTCTGACTCTGACTAAGACTCTGACCGAGAATCTGACTCTGACTGAGATTCTGACTGAGAATCTGACTCTGACTGAGGCTGAGACTCTGACTGAGACTGAGACTCTGACTCTGACTAAGACTCTGACCGAGAATCTGACTCTGACTGAGATTCTGACTGAGAATCTGACTCTGACTGAGGCTGAGACTCTGACTCTGACTCTGACTGAGACTGAGACTCTGACTCTGACTCTGACTGAGACTCTGACTCTGACTGAGGCTGAGACTCTGACTCTGACTGAGAATCTACAAACGCACAAACTGTGGGAATCTGTGGGACAGATTCCTCCCAACTGTTACTTTACATACAGCAATGATTGTTTATTTATTGTTGTTCTTTGTGTTCTTCCAGCAGCAGCTTTAACCTGCTGTGTTCACACAAGCTGCTGGTGTGGTCAGAGGCTCTGCTGCGGAGCTCGAGTGTTTTTATCATTCATTTCAACAACACCTTTGTGTTCCTCGAGGCTGCAGTGAGTTAGTGTGTTACAGTTAGCTGTTGTGTGTTCTGTGTGTAGCTTGATGGAGACAGAAGAACAAATCAGAGTTTAATTTGAATTCTAACGTGGTCACAGAATGGAGCTTGTGTTTTTTTTAATCTAGACATATATGTTAACTGTTTACAGACGATAAGTCTTGGTTCACACCAACAGGTCAACAGGTAAACATACAGCTCTGACTTTGATTTGAATCTGTTCTGTTTCTCTGCTTGGTTGAATCTGTGTTAGTGAGTTGTGTTTATTTTACAGAATAAAGATCTGATCAGGACATTGAATTGAGGTTAGTTAAGTGCACATCAGACACAGCAGAGATGAATGTGTGGTAATAACCTGGTTACCAGTGACTATCTGCTGTTCAGACAAACATTCATCACACACAACTCAGAGTGATTTCTGGTCTGCTTTTCTTTGCTGTCACCATAATGTTACCTGGAGAAGCCTGTGGATATACCACACTTCACAGGTGTCAGTTGTTTGTCTTGTGACATAGATAATCTGTAGTTTAAAGAGAGCAACACAGAGTTTTTAGTGCCTGTTGCTTGAACAACGGGCACTCGAAACTTTCAGGATATTTTTTGCATGTAACTTCAGCGACTCCAAAAGTTTTTATTTAGTTTACTTATAGTGAGAAACAATTTTCTAAGCAATACCTTTTCCTGACACCTGCCATGCAAGGTGTCGGTGGTATGTAATGGTGTATGATACATGCTGGTGGGTTCATTCACCATCAGTGAGCTGTCAAAACTGTCCACACTGATGCTGATACGTTTTCAGATATTTTATTAATAAAATGAAAAAAGTTTGAGATCAGAGAAAAGTCAGAACTTTGACATTAAAGTCTAAGATCTATGGAGGACAACATTAGAGTTCGGATTCAGATCTCTGCTGGTCCTGGTCCTCCTACAGGAAGTTTGAGGTTTCAGTGTGCACAGGTTCATCATAAACAGTCTTTTCCTCCGGGGACAGAACAACACGGCTCCTGTCAGCTTCCCTGTGCCACTGCTGTTCAGTCTGGTCAGTTAGTGTGATGGAGCTGGATGACAGCACCTCTGTCTCCACATCGTTAACGTCTGTCTGCACAGCTGTGGGACCTCGAGGGCCAAACAGAGGGTCTGTTGAGAAGTTGATCACAGCTCAGACAGTTTTCTGTGGCAGCATCATATCTTTGCTGCTTTAGTTAGAAATTAGAGAGAAAAGTTTTGGTTGTGTTTCATGATGTTAAAACATCTGGAGATGGAATAAAACTGAACTGTGTCATATTTATGATTTACAAAGTTAATATTTTATGTTTTATATGTGGACTTGGTTTGTGTAATCAGTTTTGAAATAAAACCAATTTATGCCAAAAAACAATAATCATGTTTTTATTTGCTGCAAATGTTTTCACTTTTCTATTACATCAAATTTGTAAAAAAAAAAAAAAAAAAATTAAAAAAGTGTTGACACAGCAGGTCAGATGACAGCAAGCACATATTCAGCCTAACTAAAACTAAATTCTACTGAGTTATATTTAATCATTTCATTTTTAGTTGAAACATTTCTTAAGAACACAAGTAGAAAACAAATCAGTCCTGAAGTGAAATAAGACAAATGGCCCAACAATGTCACATTTAAAAGTCTTTTTAATGGATTTTTAAAACGGATTAGCAATTCAGTTTTAAAAATCAAATAGAGCATAATCAAAATATAGAAGAGAGAAAATGATCAAATTCAATAATCATTTATTATGTTTGTTTATGCATCATAAACTGATTTTAAACATCATGGATTAAACGTAGTTTCTTCACTTGGCTCCGTGGATCCAGGTGAAGGAGGATCTGACGTCACCAGCCTGTCACAGTCACTGGGTTAAATCCAGTGATAAGAAACAACACCTATGGGTGAAGCATCTACCTGTAAGGCGCTAATGTTGAAATCCTATGGTTGAAATACTTCATGTTGTCATGGAGCGAAAGGAACAGCGACGACTACGTTTCCCATCATCCTTCGTCGTCCGGTCTGAGAGGAAGGAAGATGGCGGCAGTTGATGGACTGGAGCTGCTGTTGCGCTTTTAAAACGAGAGAAAAGGCTGTTGATGTGGTGTTAAGCGGTCGGTTTAATGTCTCAAGAAGAGACGGCAGCAAATCCCACACGGAGGCTTTGACCTGAGACTGCAGACTGCCGGACCGGACTGAAGGTAACCCGTTAGCATACGGCTCCGCCTGCTGCATTTAGCTGCCTAGCCACTGTAAGCTACATCAGCTAGCTAGCTAGCTGAATGCCTCCTGCCGACGCACCCCCACACACACTGCAAACGTCTTTTCAGAGGCAAAAGATCATTTATATGTTTGTGTCAAATCCGGTTTATTATTAACGTAACGCACACGGCGCTAGCTACGATGGTGTTCTGCTAGAGAGCAGCGGCGTCAGCGTTAATACTAACACCGGCACCGGAGAGTGAGCTCAGGTAACAGCTACAGCAAAGTTTCCCTTTATCAACAAGAGACGGAGGAGACATAAAACACAGGACACAGAACAATGTGTTAATGATCTGTACAACAATCATGGACCAGAGACCGAGACTAGAGACAGAGGAGACACGGCACAGTGGACCCCAGAACAGTGTGTTAATGTTCTGTTTAGCAGCCAATCATGGACTAGAGACAGAAAAACCGTGTTAGCTAATATGAGCTAAGGGCTCCTCTTCCCCTCACCCTAGACTCTTTGTTTGTAACTTCACTTAAATGTTGGCTAAAGCCAGAATGAATCAGCAGAATCGATGAGACTGCATCAGTGACTGGACCCTCTGAAGACCGCCTGAAGACCTGTTAGAGTTTTACTGGGTGTGAGGGACGCTCATAATTAAGCTCCTAAAGGAGTCCCGCTCCTCTAAGGTTCTGTTTCTGTAAGGTCCCATTCCTCTGTATGCAAAACTGAGTCAGACACACATTCTCTGGTTTTGGTTGTTGATTTGGGGGTGTTGTGTTGTGTTGTATTCCCTTTTCTTTTTAGAACATTTCCATATCCGTATTTGACAGTTTTAGATTCCTGTAGAAATAAATCAGGTTATATGAATTTCTTTTGACTATAAACAAACAACTAATTTTTGATAAGAGACCCTTAAATTTATGCAATGGAGACACGGTTTCTAACTAATCTCAAACACATGTTGTCATTTCTCTACTGACATTTCTTTTTACCTGTTTGCTGACCTATACAGCTTTACTGATATGTCTGTGATAAGCAAGTATCGGCCGATTGCATTGGTTCTGCAGTGTATTGGTCTGTTATATGGACGACTGGATGTTGTTTGTTAGCCAAACAAACCCTAGCAGCAGAGTAGTGTGTCAGACTGACAGGGTCCTGTCATGGACATGAGATGTGCTGAATGTGTAGCTGTGTGCAGTCAGAGCAGAATTTGTTGCTTTTATTTTTCAACATCTCCAGTCAGATTTTCATTGGAAGGTAAATGTGTCCTGTTCTTTCTACTAGGTTTATTTGTGGATTCTGTTCCTCCGCTGTGGTCCCACTGTCTGACTTCTGCACCACCACTTTTCCTGGCCCATGGACTTGACACCATCAACAGGCTTCAAAAGGAGGCCTGCTGCCTCCTCTTCCCCAAGTGGAGTTAGAGAGATTGCCAGGAGCCCTCCTCTCTGCTCGCCCTCCTTGTCTCTGTCTTCTCCTTCATCTGATCCGTCATCACCCTTGTCTACATCCTCCTCTGTCTGTGCCAACGTGTATCAGAATCATGTAAAAGGTCAGACCCAGGGGACAGAGGTGGCCAGGGTGTCCTCCACTTCTGCCTCTCAGGCAACACAGTCTCTCTCCACATCTACACCCAGCACCACCTCCCTGGACTTCTGCCTTCACACCTCAGTGCAGCCCAGCCACGTTTCTGAAGAGGAGGACAGGAAGAGGGAGATGTACGATCCTTTCCATCCCACTGAGGGAGACAAGGAGGGAAGGGAGAGGGGGGAGGAGGGGGAAGGGGAGAAATATGACCCCTTTGACCCCACTGGTTCCCCAGCATCAGACACTGATGACGGCAGTGGCAAACTGAGGGGGGTGAAGAGAAAGGCTGAGAGAGGACATGAGGAGGAGAAAGAGGAAGAACCACCAGACTCCACTGACACTTTGACTGATCTGCCAAGCCCCTGTCTGGTCACCCAGCTCCCTCTGAGGAGGAGAGTGGACTGTAGCACCACCAAGGCTGGAGAGCAGAGGGAGAGTGCAGACTCTGATCACTCTGAAATAGAGGAGGGGGAGATCGTTGGGGCTGCTGACAGAGATGGAAGCAATAAGAGAGCACCTGTAGAAATCCTCCCACTGAACTCTCCCAACGTCTCCTTCTTTAGTTCAAAGCCAGAACGCATCCTCCGGGTGCTGGACGGGGACGGCTTCGTGTCTGTGCGCGCAGAGGGTAGCTGGGAGGTGGACAGGGAGTCTGAGGACGAGCCTGTGGTGGGAGTTGAGGATCTGAGAAGGAAGCTGGTCAGCAGGCGGAAGGAAAGATATCTCTCCTTTCCTGCTTCTTCCCCCCTCTCTCCTCAGCCACCGCCTCCTCCCTCCCATCCTCCAGTTTCTACACCCTCTTCCCCTCTCACACCTCCTGTAGAGCAAGGCAGCAAGAACCGCAAGTCCTCCAAAAGCTCCAAGGAGCGAGACCAACAGAAAAGCAAGGAGAGGAAGGCCGGGGAGAAGGAGGAGAGAAGGAAGAAGAGGAGGAAAGACAAAGAGGGAGGTTGGGAGAAGAGCAAAGAAAAGGAGGAAGCACACAAGCCCGGGAAGGAGGTGATGAAAGGACGGAGGAGCAGCAGGAGCAGCAGCCGGAAGAGGAAGAAAAGACGGCACAGCAGCCCAGAGGCCTCACGATCCTGCAACTCCTCAGGCAGAGGGGGCCACACAAGACGCTCCTTTTCAAGCCTCTCTGAAGAAAGACATCGAGATAGGGAACGAGACAAAGACAGAGACAGAAGTAGAGATAGAGAGAGGGACAGAGAGAGGGGAAGAGAGAGAGACAGGGACAGAGAGAGAGAACAAAATCGCACCAGTAGCAATCGAAGAGATGAAAGAGATCGAGATTCAGACTCGAGAAAGAAGGAGAGGGAAAAGAAGGGAAGACAGCATTCAAGCAGCAGAGAGAGGGGCATCTCAAAGAGTTCCAAAAGGAGCAGGGAGAAGAGGGAGGGAGACAGAGACCGGCAGCGTGAGAGGGATCGGAGACGGGACGGTCGTCCTGTTGTCCCCCCATCCATCCAAGACCTCAATGGGTCGGACCTCTTTGCCATCAAGCGAACCATCACAGTCACCACCACCACTACCACCACCACCGTACCCGGCTCCCCGAGACTCGCCCCAACCTCCCCCTGTCGGCCCGTGCAAGACTCTGACAAGCCCCACAAAAGGAAGAAGAAGAGGAAATGGCACTCAGCCGGAGAGGCGCAGGACCGGGGCAGCTGTCGAAGCCGGTCGCAGTCACTCTCACCTCCGAGGTATCACAGCTACGAGTCAGACCGCTACTCAGACAAACTGGAGATCGACGTGCTGTCTCTGGATGGTGAGGCTTTGGACTCAGACTACCCATCCCTGGAGGATACACCTCCTGCTGCCCTGCCTCCAGAGCCACCTGCCCCCAGCCCCAAAACTAAGACAGTCCCCAAGACTGGACGACATCACCCGAAAAAGAAATCTCGCACGTTAAAGAAAGTCGGACAGTCTGAATCCTCCTCCTCGTCTTCCATCAGAACCAAAAGCAAATGCCTCTCCTCGCTGACGGTCACCTCAGGCTCTGCCTCTGTCTCATCTGGCCTCCCTTCAGCGAAGCGAGCCAAGAAAGTGGGAAAGGACAAAGAGCGGGACAAAAGCAGTAGGAAGGATGTGGGTCGGTCTGGTAAGTCCAAGAAAGAGAGTGGCAGCAGCCGGAAAGGCAAGCTCCAGTCCAAAGTGTCTGTGCTAGTTCGTGAGGGCGTGAGCAGCACCACGGGGGCTTCAGTAGGCTCTGGAAAGCTGGGCATGGACCTCCTTGGTCCAGGAAGTACAGGGGGCAGTTCTGGGGGTTCTGTGGTGGGCGGCTCTATTGCGGTAGTCTTCTGCAGAGACAATGAGAGCAGGTCTCCATTCCTCAAACCGTGCTCAGAACCGCTGTCGCTGAACAGCCGCAATAAAGATCTGGCCAGTCTGGGAAAGCGAAGCAGCCTGGCCGCACCACCATCCTCCTTAACCAACCCTGCAGGACTGAAATCCAAGAAAACTAAACCCAGCTCCATCACATCCACCTCCTCCTCTGCCTCCTCCCCCTCTTCGTCTCTGGCAACCAAGCGCCGCCGTCGGCTGGCCAAGAAGACGAGAGAGAAGGGTGGAGCTGCAGGGTTAACGGCTGGAGACGGCAGCCAGGCGAAGGCCACATCCGAGAGCTGGGGTGGAGCCTCTTTAGATGTTCAGTCAGCTGGTGGAGATGGGAGCAAGTCAGTCAGTCCACATACTGGCCCCGCCGGACCTGCACCCTGCTCTTCCTCCTCTTCCTCCTCCTCCTCCACCAGTGTGCTCCCACCCTCCTCCTCTCCACCACACACGCCTCCACCCTCTATGGCTCCATTGCGGGACACCAGGGATTCTTCACCAGACTCTCAGACTGTGGACAGCAGCTGTAAGACTCCAGACCCTTCTTTTCTAGCTGAGGACTGTCCAACTCAGACCAGCCCCACAATCCCGACCTCCAGTCCGTCCAGCCTGTCCACCCCCCAGGGAGCTGGCCTCAGCATCGCCTTGTCTACACCCACAGCCAAGCCTCCACCTCCAGATGATGCACCCAAGTCTCTGTCCTCTCCTCCCTGCTCGTCCTCTTCGGCAGGCTGTGGTCTCACTTCCCTGTCTCTGCCTCTCTCTTCATCAGACCCCTCCTCCTCCTCTGTATCTTCCTCATCTACCAGCAAGCCTCCCCCTCCTCCTCCCCCTCCAGCAGCGCCTGCCCTCCCCTGGAGTCTGCAGACTGGGGTGGACTGCACAACTGGTGGAGTCCTAGCATGTGAGTTCTCTCAGTAGGTGTGCAGAAGTCTGCCATGTGTTCATGGAGCATGACAAAGTCCTGCACCATAAAATCCAGGTTTTCACTAGTTTCAGTTGCTGACTTCATTTTATTGAAAACACTTGCGATGTAAGAGTGACAGGACACCATCAACATGTTTTTTATTATTGTTGTGTTGTAATACTGCAGACTTTTCAGATTGATAAGCACTGAACTGCAGATGGTCACAGGTTTACTGCAGTCAGAGGAGACATGTTTACCTCATTCAGGTGTCTGCAGCTTGTTACTTCATCATGTGCAGTGAAACAAATTGAAACCAGTGGCTTGTTGAAGTCCTTGTCTTGGGTCATTTAGGACCCTCAGCTCAGTAACATTAGATCTTAGTTGATAACTCTGGTGTCAGTGAGCGAACCTGCATGAACACAATATACCTCCATCAGGCTCGGGTCTGTCCTCATGTTGTTATGTTATTTTAAGCTTTCCAAGCCTCTTTAGAAACTATTTAACACTAAATTAGTGTTAATCCTAAATTAGTGAATTGTACAGTCACTTTACTGTGGTCAGTTTTGGACACACCCCTCTTAAGACAGCACCCAGTCCTCAGAATGACCACTGTGATGGTGGAAACCAGTCACTCTGCATAACTGTGTTGTAGTTTGAGTTGTACATTAAAGAAAGACGAAGGGATCAAGCAGCCACATGTTGTTCAGGTTAAACATTAAACAAACTCGTTGTCACCTCATTTAAAAGTAGACTGTGAGAACATGTTTTTGTGTTTTTCCTGAAGTAACGCGTCTGTCCTTCTTCCACTCAGTGACTGCTCTGCTCTTCAAAATGGAGGAGGCCAACATCGCCAGCAGAGCCAAAGCACAAGAGTTCATCCAAGCAACCAGCCAGGTGAGAGTCTCTGTGCACAGTCAGGTGAAATTCACAGGAACCTTCTGGATAGGCTCAGGTTTCTGAATGTGGGAACTTTCATTTGTCTGACAAATGATTTGTTTGAGGGAGTTACTGATTATTTTAATTGTGACATAAACCTGTTTTTACATATTCAGAATAAATAAATTCAGGAGTTTGAATGAATGAGCCAGAGCAGAAATAATGAGCCTCCTTTACCTTTTATTAAATAAACGCAACAGAACCTGTGAAACATCAAACATATCAAACACACTTAGCCTGAAAAGCTTGTCACTGTGAAGCATTCAGGATGTTGTGTTTGTGGAGCTCCCTGCTGTAGGTGAAGCTACCCGTTTGTTGACGGGTCAAACATCTGCTCTGTTGAAAAAGATGAGTTCAGTCAGGTTGAAGGAGTCTCTCTCTATCTTGCAAAGAAATGAATGAGACCTAAACCTGGTTTGACTGTGTCATCTCTCTCTCATGTCTCTCCTGCAGATTCTCTCACAAGCCAATCAGAGCCAGTCTCAGCAGCACGCTCCCCCTTCCTCTGCCTCCTCCTCCTCCTCCTCACAGATCCCTCCCCCTCCTTCTATCCCTCCGCCTCCTTGTCTGAGCCCAGCCCAGTTCATCCTCCACAGCTCCCTCCCATTGGTTGGATGCACCAAAACCCCACCCTCTCACCTGCACCCCTCCATGAGTGGCGGTTGTGCACAGACCCCACCCCCCATCATGCCAGTGGGACTGTCTGGAGTGACTGGGAGCTCTGGTGACACTGGATGGGACAGTGAGAACAAAGACCCTGACAAGGTACAGTTGAAGTTCATCAACGTGTCAGGGTTGTTTATGAGGCACATCCCAGTGCTGCTGCTGCCTGGTGTTCATCAGTGTTTAACAGAGGCCTGTACTATGAAGCAAGTTCAACATGTGCAGGAGAACTTTTTGTTATCTGGTTTAACTGAACCTACACTCTCCTTCCTGATAACTTGTACAACAAAGCTGGTTATCAACTGGTTGAGTTAATCCTGGGTTTACCTGTCCAGGTACGAGCTCGTTCATGTGAAAGAGGAAGAGTTTTTAATTATAAGCAACATCATCAGAATCATGAATTGATACTGATACTGATACTGTTACTGATACTTGCGGGTGAATTCAGTTATAGTGATGTCATAAAGAGAAATTCAACAAGGTGAAATGTAACAACATGATCACATGACTAGAATAAAAGAGAAACACTAGAAATCATTTCTAATTATTAAAGTCAGACTAAGGATATATGGTAAATAAGTGCATGAATTATCATGAAGTTTCTTACTCGGTTTTTTCTCTTCAGTCAGTGAACAAACTGTTATGATAAAACAGTTAGAGTTCATGTCAGACTGTTTCTGCTGCAGAGAGGAGAGAGAGAAAAGAGAAGTAGTTGATGTCTGATGAGTCAGTCTGACTGAAATGTTCATTCATAATGATGGAAATATTGAACAGTGTGTGGATCATTGTTGGTTTAGTTTTTATTTCTCTTCATGTTGTTCTGAGCTGCAGTGATGAAGAGGAGAGTAAAAGCTTCATCACTGTCAGGAATCCTGTCCATTAAAGAATCTGTGTTCAGGTCAAATGAAGCTAGAATAGTTATTATGTAGTTATTTAGTGATAAACTCTCCTCTGTTTGTTAGAGGCTCTGTTTTAAAACCAGAGTGGACACATGGAAAGATATCTACATATCTTTATTGATCACTGGTTATTGATCAGTAAACTGTTTTGTCCCTGTAATGATCCTGTAGGAATGATGACTCAATTTTTCCAGGTATCTGATTGGTCAGTAGTTTGGCTGTTGACAGATTTTGATCTGATCCCCCGGAGCAGGTTAGGAGTTCAGCATCAGTTACCATGGTGGTTTACCCCGGTAAACGGTAGTGAACCACCATCGTAGGACTGAAAACCAAGAGTTAAACCTGAAGTGACCTCGATAACCTCAGATCCGGCTTCGTAGTACAGGACTCTGAGGGGTCAGTGTTGTTGTTGAAACCTGACCTAAAATCTTCTTAGTCTAAATTATCATCTTGTTAATTAGTTGAACAAGTTGACGATACTCAGTCTTACAGCATATGTTCATTATAGGAGCTTTAACTATGTAACATATTCATATTTTTAAGTATATGAGTGATTGATTTTATATTTGGGTAAGAAGTGAAAACATGGGACAGATAAAGAAGATGAGTAACACGGCATCAGCTGGTCTGGCCTCCACCTGTTAAAGCTGGTGGTCGACTGAACTGTAGAGGAAGTAGAGTTATTCACCCACTCTATACTCATATACCTCTCTGGACACTAACCACGCCCACACTAGACTGCTGACCTCTGATTATCAAACACACTAGAAGTGTTTGCATTAACAAAGGCCTGACTATATGAGCCTGTCTGCCCCTGCAGATTCACAGCGTTGTATGATGTGTTTTCTTCTTTTTAATCTTGTGTAGCACTTTAACTATTTGTAACAGCACTGTACAGATAAAACGGATGTGTTTTATAATGTGTTGTTAGTTTAACTTGTCTGTTCCCTGACTTAGTACCTGAAGAAGCTGCACACCCAGGAGCGAGCAGTGGAGGAGGTGAAGCTTGCCATCAAACCTTACTATCAACGCAAAGACATCAACAAGGATGAATACAAAGACATCCTCAGGAAAGCTGTGCACAAGGTCAGTACACATCCAACAACAGAAAAACACTGATGAGTTAAGTATGTGTGTGTGTACCTTTGTGTCCATCCAATTGAATGTACTTTGCAGTAATTTAGTGTCGCTACATGGATTTTGAGAGATGCTTTTAAAAACATGTCATTGGACTGGACCCTTCCAGAGGCAATGACACAACAATACAATGACACTATTAGGGCTGCCGTGATTAGTTGCCATAATCGGCGATGTTGACTATGAAAATGCGAATATGAATCGTTTCCCATACATTGATTTATTTGTTTTTGCCAGTCACTATTAACCACCATAAATTTATTTTTTATTTATCATCTATGCTCACACTGCTTCTTTGGTCTCTGCTGTCATTTGTCAAGGGGTTTACACACGGTTTCCAGCTGCACTCTGAATGTTTGAATGATGTTTTCAATATGGACGAGGACAACACTATGATTTGTGTTATTAGTTAAAATAGATTGTGTTTGTTCATATTTTAGGACAAATTTATACATAAATTCAGTTCATTTTAAAAGGTTCACTTTTTCCCTTTTTAACCAGTTCTTATTATTTATTTATTTATTTATATATTCCCTCTTTCTTTGATGTAAATGTGTCTATTTATTTATTTACACACACATTCCTGTGGTCACACTGAAACATACAAAGGAATACATGACAGTTCAAGATTTGACTCAAATTAAAGTCATAACCTGTTTGTTGTGTCTTATTGTTTTGTGTTTCTCCCTGTATATGTTGCAGCAGTAGTAAATATTTGCTCCTACACTGACACCATGTGAACAAAGTATAAACTCTTCACATTGAACTAAGCTGTGTGATCTCACTGTGTCACTGTCTCAGATCTGCCACAGCCGCACTGGAGAGATCAACCCGGTCAAAGTCAGCAACCTTGTGAAGCTCTACGTGCAGCGCTACAAATACTTCCGGAAACATGGACGTAAAATGGATGAGGAGGAGAGGGATGACAGGGAGCCAGGAGTGCTACACTCCTCTGCCTGAGAGGAGACCACTCCGCCTTGTGCTCAGACCTGAGCCACCCTCTGATTGTTTGTCTGATATTTTTATTGCTTTCATAGCCACCTGTCTGTTTTTATGTGATCTCCCTTCTCTCTGTGATCTCACTGTAAATATGTCTCATTTAGAAAATGTATCACATATACCATGTTGAAGAGGTGGATGCTGTCATGCTCACCTGTGTGATCTGATACAGTCCAGTACTCCAACCCTGCAACACATACCACCTGTGTGAAGCGTTTAGTTTTTGTTGACTGTCTCCTTAGAAGCTTCACAGCGGTGGTACTGATCACAGGATGTTTCTCGGCAGCAGTGGATTAGGTCTCCATGCTGGTTTGTCCTCCCCATCCCCATGTATATGCGAATCCCAGCTGAGGAGAGGAGTAATACCCAGTTGAACACATTAAAATATATTGTACAACCCTGAAGGACACTACACCCCATCTGTCTCAGACAGTATGGAAACAAAGCTGTCATGGTCCAGACACACTGACCTCTCAGCTCTGTCATTCTGCCGTCTCTGTTGAGTGCATGTGTTACTGAGGTTGAGAAAGTTGCTAAATCTCTTTATAAAATGACTTGACCAACAAAATATAAATGTTGCTTGAAAACCAGTAAAGTTGAGTGGTCTTATTCGTTTAGTTTGGTTGCTGTTAGGGCTACACAATTAATCGAAATATAATCACAATACGGCCAAGTGCAATATCCAAATTGTAGGAGCTCAATTTCTTTTTGATAAAGGTCAAATGTGTCACATTGTTGAGCATTGTTAGCACCATAAGTGTTGTGGTGCTACGGAGACACCCTGGCCTACAAATCATATTCTCCAGATGTAAAGGAACATGTTTGTTTGGTACAAAACTGACAAAAATCACATCATTTTTTTTTTCAGTGAAAATGAAATGAAACCACCAAATTGCATATCACAACATCAGCCAAATTAATTGCAATATGTTTTTTTTTTCATATTGTGCAGCCCTAATGTTTCTGTGTTTGCATCAGTACTTCACAAAGCTCTGGAGCTGGGAGGCTGCTGACACTGGTCTGGAGACAGAATACATCATATGAGGAATTTGTTTTAGTGTTATGGTTCATAACAATAAACATAGTAATAAGAAAAAAATATTAAAAAGATGAAGCCAAGCAAGTACTGCAGGTCAGATATCTTAAATATACATTGAAAGTTTTCCAACAAAATATTTACAATAAAAATGTGAAAATAATATTTTTAAAATATAATAAATAATACAAAATGTACAATGCGTAGTAGGAATGGGGAAAAGTGCAATAGTTCCCAGTAAAACCAAGAAGAGCTTGGTTGCTTTAACAGGATTTGTTGGTCATTAAACAGCCTGTCAGACCTTCCTGTCAGACCTGAAGTACCCGTCACCCTGACCAACGATCACCGTCTGGAGCGGAATATTTAAGACTGAAATACACTTCTCTGCGATCAACTGCGATACAGAAGGTAAATCCCGACGATCGCCGATGTAATGATGCGGCGCTGTGCTTCGTCCGCTGAGGTTAACGTCAGCGTCGTCTCTTTACGGCAGCCCGCCATTTTACTTGAGAACAGAGGATACTCGCACGCATCGAGCTAGCTGCGGCAACACGGTGTGTGCCCCCCCAGCGGATCGCTTCTAGTGGTTGTTTATCCTCCTTTTAATCGTGAGTTGGTCCGGGAGACCTGCATATATCTGACGCTTCTTCCCCTGGTCCATGGTGTGACATTTATCAGACATCGGAGGAGAGACGGTAAGAGTCGGACTCGTGGCTCCTTGTTAGCATAGTAAGCTGGGTGGCTAATGCTAAGCGATTAACTACGGGGCGACTAAGAGACTAAATCCTGAGTGAAAACGTTTGTTACCAGGCGTCTGTTCATAAATTTGATGGTGTGTGCGTTTATAAAGTGCTGCCTGGTCGATTTAAAGGTGCCCACAGCGCCCACATGGCGGAACCGTCACGGAGGACGAACTTTAGCACACGAAGCTAATTGTCCTTCCGCCGCTGGCTTTGGCCCGCTGTGTACCGGCAGCATCCTGCAGTGTCGGACGTGTTACTCACACATGTTACTGCTTATCCAGGTGAAAGATGACACAGTTTCTCCCCCCGAATCTGCTGGCCCTCTTTGCTCCGCGGGACCCCATACCGTTCCTGCCTCAGCTGGAAAAGCTGCCCCATGAGAAGCATCATAACCAGCCTTACAGTGGCATCGCTCCGTTCATCAGGCACTTCGAGGTGAACATTAACCTGTGTAATGGTCTGAATGCTCTGGTTAATTCCCTCCTCTTCCTCAGTGCTATATCTACTCTGTGTTTGTCATCAGGATCCCAGAGATGCCCCCCCACCAACAAGGGCAGAGACCCGTGAGGAGCGGCTGGAGAGGAAGGTGTGTTATTCATGAGGGGCCTCCATGTGTACCCAGCAAAGGGGACATTTAACTGTGGTTCTAACCCCAGGTGCTACAGAAATTTGTGTGTGTAATACAGCTTTGAATGGCTGTCTGTGAGACTGTCCATCCTGTGCTTTAGCATCAGTTACTAAACACTGGATAATAGTTTTTTCTGTGTTGATCTTCGTTGTGATGCAACCATCACACCCAGCTGTAAAGCAATGTCTGAACTCAGGCACAGCTGTGCCAGGGGCACCTTAACATCACTGTAGGCCCTGGCGCTATTGATGTTTAGGAGGCATTTTTACACCACTTGACCTCCTGGATTAAGTTGAGAAACAGCCCCCTGCTCTGGTCTACCTTAGACTGAGTTGCAGTGAAAATTAAGAATACATCAAGAATCAGGACAGGAAACAATTATAAGAAAAACGGCTGTTTCATATTTGAAATTTTATTTATAAAAACATAATGTATCTAAAATAACAGTAGGTTGCAGGTTACTGAGGCATCTTCAAGCTTAAGGCTTAATGTTATGGACAATGTTTCATATCTTGATCTTTTGCCAAATCACATGATAGTGATATAATATCACTGTAGGTTCACGCTGATTTAAAATTTTAAGTTTAGCAACAGTAAAAATTAAGCGCAGGAAATTTGATATTGTCCTCATTGTTGTCTTTTGTGATATCAATATTGGGCATGTCCAAATCTAGATAAAGACATAACAATATATCAGCTGCTTCGCAGTGATTCAGGCAGCAGGACTGCAGCATGTTCTCATGTGATGTGAAGGTGACTGTTGGTGACAGTAGTGCTCCTTTAAAGTGGTTTACCAACCACCACAGAAGAAGAGAGTGACAAAAATGGAGGAGAATAAAACTAAAAACAGAGCAGGAGAAGTCTCAGCCACCCTGGAGAAGAGATGAGAAATTTCTGACTGAGTTACTGAAACTGAGTTGATTACTTTCCTACTCTGATTCCTGTCTCAGAATCACGTTCTGAGACCGATGGGATTCTTGGCTCCTTCAGAAACTCCTGCAGCTCAAACTGGGAGTTGGTCAGATTGTGACTGTGGTTGTAGCAGATATTTAAATCTCTGTGTGTGAGAGGGTCTGGTCTGAGCAGAATCTCCTCAGCAGCTTCAAACAGCTCCTTCACTGTTTAAAGTTAGTTTAGTTTCAGACAGATGATTACAGATGAGTTATAGTGATCTTAGAAGGCGTCACAGAGCCTTTCTCTCTCTGTGTTGAATGCTGTGTTGCTGCCGTCTTTCATCTGACCACATTCAGAAACATGACAGGACCTGGTCAGACAGCTGTTGTGACCTCTACAGAACAGGGTGCTGGTGTTCACACAGCTCTGAGAGAGAGGGGCCACAGAATGTCTGTAAAATGTGAAATCATGAATTTGGGGCACATCCCCTGGTTTTCTCGTAGAAGGGGGCTGTAGTTTTCATTGGGGATTCAGGTTGTGACAGTTATCCTAAATCAGCATCTTTGTTATAACCTTTGCTTTTCAGAGGCGAGAGAAGATAGAGAGGAGACAAGCAGTGGTGGAAACAGAACTCAAGCTATGTAAGTTTCCATGGTGACTTCCATGACATCCTGTTTTCACTGAGTATAGTGTCTCGGTTTAAACTAATCCTGTTGTTCTGTCTGCATTTTGCCAGGGGACCCCCATAATGACCCCAATGCACAGGGGGATGCCTTCAAGACTTTGTTTGTTGCCCGAGTGGTGAGTGTTAAGAATCACACAGTTTAATTATTATTATTGTTATTATTGTAATCATGGCTGATGTCTAACAGTGTTCTGTCTCTGCTGTAGAACTATGATACCACAGAGTCCAAGCTCCGCCGTGAGTTTGAGGTCTATGGCCCCATCAAACGGGTATGTTGACCGGCTGTTTCAAACACCTGCAGTAAATGTACAAACTACGATACACACTCAAAACTTGACCTAAAACCTGAGGGACACCTGAGCACCAAAACACAAGAAGCACTCTGTTTATTATTTATTTATTTGAATTCACAATCTGAAGTAGAGTTTGGTTGTAAATGTTTGTGATGGACTAGGATACACTAGGAAGCTGGTGTGTGGTTGACTCTGTCAGAAAGTAACACAACACTGATACACACACACACACACACACACACACACACACACACACAGCTGGTGTTGTAGGTCTGTATGTGTAATGATGTTTCCATCTGTTCCAGATCTACATCGTCTACAACAAGAGGACAGGGAAGCCTCGGGGCTACGCCTTCATTGAGTATGAGCATGAACGGGACATGCACTGTGAGTACCACTGTAGAGCTCTGAGCCAACCTTTGTGTGTGTGATCACATGATGATCTGTGACCTGCAGGGTGGGTCTTCAGCTGACCCCCCCGTCCTTTACTCTGATGTTACTGTAATGATAGGGGGGTGGCAGCTCTGTCTAAGGTGACCACCACCTAATGAGCTGAGACGAATGTTTGCATGTTGAAATCTACGTCTGGTGGTTGTGTGATGTGTGTGTCTGTGATTATGCGTGTCGTCAGTTGACTAATAGTCTGGCTGAGGAGGGGAGTTGCATCATTCAGTGGGGCATCATGGGAAAAGAAGCAGGAGGTAGAAGTGTGTGTTTCCTCTGTGACCCTGACCATGTCTGCCTGTCAAAGGGCTCATTGTGTTTTAACTGTCAGGCTCTGGAAGAGCAGCTCTCCTGGTTGGACTGTAATGGTAAGCACAAGGTCAGACTGGTCACCGAGCAATGAACGGGGTTTACCCAGGACTGTATGAAACCCATCTTTTGTATGACTAGGAGCTTGTTTAGTTTTACTGGTGGTCTCCAACCCTGGTCATGGTGAGAGTAGTCCAGCTTCACCACAGTAGTGAGACATATAAAGCTGGTGGTGATGCCACAGTGAATTCTGCCTCAGTCTCATTAGATAATGATTGGTGACTCAGTGACACCATCATAGGTGATCAGTCCATCAGCTCTTCAAGACCAGAGTTGCTGAATCACAGTTATGTAGTGACAGCAGGGGTGAGGTGCGGGGGGATGTGGGGCTCAACGGTATATTAACTGTGTGTTGTTCTCATTGCCACTGCAGCCGCCAATCTGTGATGGCTATTGGCCAGAGCTGGCTGGCAGATGATGATGGTTATGATACATCTACACCCTACTACCACAGCTCAGTATATGGTTGGTATAATGGGTTTGTATGATGGGTAAGATTTCTTTCCACCCTCCATCTCCTACATAGGGAAGAGGAGCTACGTTCAATGGGTAAAGCGTCTTTCAAGCCCTCAACAGCTTCAGTGTAATTACTACCACTGGGATCTCAGGCTTTGACCATTGAACGCACCCCTGACCAGTAATGTTTTCAATGTTGCCCAGTGACTCTGCCCTTTATGTTAAAGCCACCTCAGGTTACGGAGGTTACTGCTTTGTTATAGCCATGACTCAGCTGTATGGAGGGACACGGGGTCAGAAATCCAGACGTGTTGTTACGCAGCTGTCAGTCCTCCAGCTTCTTCTGGATCCAGTTCTCAGTCTGTCTTGTTACAGAGCAGTTGAATATGTAAACACAGATCTGAAGGCTCTTTAAAAAGAACAGAACTGTCATGATACTTAATGATTGTGACCTAGAGTAAAATGATACTGATGAGTTTTAGTGCAGAGGTTCAGTAGTCTTCTGTCTGTCAGTTAACTTCACTCTGTCACTGTCAATGGGTGAAACTGTAAAGTGATCACGTGACTTTATTGTCTCTGTTCAACTCAAGTGTTCAGTTGAATGTCAGTGTCAATCAAAGCACAGCCAGGTGTAAATGCATGAAGCTGAACATTATCTGTTGAGCTTGTTGGCTCGCTCTACCAGTGGAACCATTAAAATCATCAGAGTTCACTCCCTGAGCAGCTACAGGAGGCTGGCAGGTTGTAAAGACAAATTATCTTAATTATCTTCATACAAGTCTCATGTAGATAAGAGTTCACAACTCACCTGACAGGTTGACTCTGTGCTGGCTTTAACAGAAAAGGCAGATGAGGGCAATTTTCTTGGTAAATGTTAACGGGTTAATTCATACATGATTTATTCACTATATAAGTAAAGGTAGAGTCTAGTGAACGTAGCTTCACAGATGAATTCATGATCAGACTGTTACAGAAACAGTTTCATGTCCTTTAAGTAGCTTCAGACACTGGACACATCTCAGGTCATTGTAGATCCAACACAGGTCAGAGTCAGGAACACGACTTCATTCAGTTTTAAGTTAAAAACAAACATGAGTTGGTTCCTATCAGGAATGTAGCCCCCTGTTTGTTTCTGTTTCTGTTTGTTTCAGTTGGTCAGTTTTGGTAGGACAGGTGGGGGTTTGGTAAGGCCCTGTCATTGGATGGGATGGTGTCATCCTCAGTGGAGGGGTTCTGGTAAGGCCCCTGATAGGTGTTGTGACAGTATGTGTATTCTGGTGCTGAGGGGTTTGGTAAAGCCCTCAGACAGGGACAGAGTCGTCAGTGAGGGGATATGGTAAGACCACCCACTGTACAGGAAGAGTGAGGGAGTGTGGTAAGGCCCTCAGAGGTTCTGCTGTAACTGATGGGTTCTGGTAAGGCCCTCTTCTCAGAAAGGTTCCCCTCAGGGACCACCTCCACATCAGACCAGTGTAGCAGACAGGATGAACCACCTGGATCTCCCCTACGATCATACAGGATGGATTGACAGACTGTTGTGTGGTGTAACAGGGTGAGGGGTGGGACCAAGTCTGACACGTACACCAGGTTGGAAATGAGCCGGATGTTGATAAAAGCTCCTCATCGTCGTCTTCATCATGTTGTCTTCTCATAAAGATTAAAGCTACAACAGAGTGGACCACCATGTCATCAAATCCAATTGAAAATGTACTTTTAATGGTGCCAGACAGATACATTTAATTAGCATGACCAGTGACCTGCTGCTCTGTGTGCACAATCAATAATTAATGATCAATAATTTGAAAGATATAAAAAGTCAAAATCAAGAGTCAGGACTTTATATGGGTTAGGGTCAGGGATAACCCTAACTCAGGTGATTGTCACAAGTGGTGAATAAACTACATACACCTGTGATCATTGCAGTGCTCTTAGTTATAGTTGACCACAGAGTCCCAGCGGGTGGAGTTAAATATCAATACAGATCTGATGTGAGTCGACGTCTCATCACAGTCAAACCTGTGAGAGACTGAGGAATGTGTCGCTCTGCTTGTTCAGTAGTAATAAATATAAAGAATCCACACAGTCTCAGACCTGACCTGTTAGACACCACTGTTATTGACTGTAGACAGTGAAACTGAAGCTGGGTGTTTAAAGTAACATATCACTCATCGGGTGGAAGGAAGTCTACTCCCATTATCCTTCGGCTTTTACCCAGAGAGCAGCCATCTCGGCCCCGCCTGCTCCTGGTCAGTATCATAATGCACTGTTTGTTTCCTTGGCCACATTGATGTGGTCGTGCTCCATCTCACCTCTGTCTTCCCTCTCCCCACTCCTCTCCTCCAGCCGCCTACAAACACGCAGATGGGAAGAAGATCGACGGCAGACGGGTGCTGGTGGACGTGGAACGAGGACGCACGGTCAAAGGATGGCACCCTCGCAGGCTGGGTCAGCTGACACCTTTATACTGTTCCTGCTTTTTCTTGATATTTTCTTTAAATGCACACGAGTGTACACACCTTTTGTGCAGTTAATTATGTTGTAGATTCAATTTTAAATTGACAACATCAGCACTCTAACCCAGAATGACAAAGTGAAAATGTCAATTTCTGCTGATTTCAGGATACACATGCTCAGTGTGTAATTATGGAGTTAGTCTTTTCAGTATCGAGGAGATTTCTGTTCTACAAGTGATCCCTTCTCCTTTTGTGGAGTGTAGTAGTTAACGCCTCCTTCGGTTTCTGCAGGAATCTAAAGGAGTGCTGTTAAATATGTTGTTGTGGCTCACGTGTTAAAATTTGAGCCTATTTCAGCTTCTCCCTGTAGGTTCACAGGGTGAGTCTCTGTAGGTCTTAGATATGTTCCAGCAAAAATACCAGATGGAGTTACCTGCAAATTCCACACTTTCCCTAAGTGTTGATGGATGTGCAGAGTCTTTGCTGCCATGGAAACTTCCCCCTTTTTTAACTTGTATAGTTTTAGTATGAACTGGTGTCTAAGTTTCGTATCATTTTTACCTGTGGGTCAGTGTTTTATCTTCAGCCTGACTGCAGGTTACATAGTGCTGGGATGGATGTATCACATTCACATACCAGTGTCCACTCTTAAACTATTCACACAGTTGACTTGTGTTTTGCTTGTTTCCTGATCCAGGTGGTGGACTGGGTGGTACGAGGAGAGGTGGAGCCGATGTCAACATCAAGCACTCTGGGCGAGATGATGCGTCGCGTTACGACGATCGGCCTCTAGGCGGGTGAGTCCTATCAGGGAAGACCTTTCATTTGGTAAAAAATTGTATAATCTGAGTATAACGGTCTTCAATTTGTCTTGACTCCTCACAGTGATCGGGATCGTGGGGAACGGAGGGAGCGCAGCCGGGAGCGTGATCGGGACAAGGACAGAGAGCGTCGGAGGTCCCGATCCCGTGAACGCCGTCGACGCACCCGTTCCCGGGAGCGAGAGAGGGAGAGAGAGAGGCAGATTGGAGGAGGAGAGGATGGCGGCGGCGGCGGTGGCGTTGGTGGCGGCGGAGGCGGTGGCGGCGGCGGTAGTAGTCGGCGTCGAGAGCGAGAGAGGGAGCGTGGGGGGGCAGCAGGAGGAGACAGCAGGAGCAGGGAGAGGAGTCGAGACCGGAAGAGAAGGAGCAGGAGCCGGGATCGCAAGAGGGACAGGGAGAGAGGCAAGGGGTTGGATGGGGAGGACGTCAGCCAGGGAGACGGGGCCCCTGAGGGTGGGGAGCGGACGCTGGAGGAACATGAAGGAGAGGTGGGGGAGGGTATGGAGGAGCGTAGAGACAGGGACAGAGAGAGGGACAGGGACCGAAGGCGTAGCCACAGGGACAGAGACCGGCGCAGGGGAGACCGAGACAGAGACAGGGAGCACAAAAGGGAGCGGGGGGAGAGAGACAGAGGAGACCGCAGGGAAGAGCGCCATGGGTCCCTACGAGATGACATGGGCCCCCAGGATGACATGGGCAATGATGATGAGGGGGGAGCTCCGCCACACATGGAGGAGTACAGTCAGGATGGAATGATGATGGACCAGCAATCGGTGCCATCAGCTGACGGCTACGGCTCCAGTGAGAACGGCTACAAGATGGAGGCTCCAGGAGATGAGTACTGAGATGACCCCTCCCCTCAGCAGACCCTCACTCACACCGCCTTGACCTTCTACCAAGGCACAAGTTCTGAACGAGGTCAGGGACTCCTCAGACATCTAGCTAGATTTCCTCCTGTTGAAATATTCCACTTGATATTGTTGCACACAGTTGATGCATTTAATTGATCTGATCTCACTAAAAGTTGCAGCTTCCTGCGTTGCCCAACTAATCCGTGCCACTCAATGTTATCAGATTACCTTAGTGATTTTTTTTTTTTTTTTCTCTCCCTCGGCCTGGGATGATGTGAACTGTAAGGAGCTCGGTTAGTCTTTTATTTCCATATTCATGAAGCAGTGACACTGTCAGTTTGTCTGGACCCAGTTTCTGCTCGATGTCTGTGAAGTTGAAGGAAACGTGCTGTGACAGTGGAGGGCTGTTTATTCTGTTTATTCATTCTGGAAGATTTTTTTTTATGTCTGCTGTTTGTATGTTAGATTTGCAGGGTCATTTTAATAAAGATGTGTCTGAAAGTCTGAGCTACTCCATCACGTTTTACTGTGCCTCACATCCTGTGACTTCACTTTAATGTGGCTTTAATGTGTCCCTTCTTTACCACATAGTATGAAACAGTGCTGGACACATGAATTAGATTTTAATAAAAAAAAAAAAATTGTAATTTCACATTGACTAACTGCTTACTGCTGCTATATTACAGGTATTGAATGGTCCTTTAAAACAACATCAGATAAATGAAGTGTTCTTAGTCAGATCTTAGTCCTGATCAGGGAGCTGTATTCAAATCTGGTCTGTGTCTGGGTGTGAACAGCAGCGGCAGCAGTTTACTTTAAACCTACGTAGAAGATGCTGAAACGGCTCATTACAGAGTCACGCACTGGAGCTGGAGGGAGGCAGCTGCGTCAGGTTGTCCCGCCTGGTCCTCGGTCCAGCATCCCGACCTCGCTCAGTCCGACCGTCGCCTTCAGCCTGCGGACATGTTGTAGGAGATGGACCCCACATTGCTGTGAACCAGACTTCCTGCTCATATTCGCGGTTAATTAGCAGCGGAGCTCAACATGATGTCCTCTTACTACCACCCAGCCAAGGAGGCAGACATGGCGGCCATGACGGAGCCGCTCTGCCTGGAAAGAGGTAACGAGCCAGCCGAGCCTCGGCATAATTTGCTGCAAACAGAGCAGCTGGACGGTGAACCTGTTAGTGAAGGGGCCCAGCAGAGCCAGGTCCTCGTCCCGAATGAGCCGGTGCTGGTGGGAGTGACGGTGTTTGGTTGTAACTCACTGATGAAGTGACGTCAGTGTCGCAGTTATCACTGATGGATGCTACAGAGGGCTCGGCCTGTCGTACGACCATCGTTCGTGTCCGGCACGTTTCTCGTAGTAAACGTCATCAATCGCGGAGGCCGGTCAGAAACGGCGCTGTTGCCTTCCCGCCCCGCGTCGGACTGAGCTTTATGATGTGTCTACCTGTCTACCACAGTATGTCATCAATGAGCTGCTGGGCCGACACGTATGGCTACATCACTGTGACTTACCCATAGACTGTATATAAAAGGGCCTTACCAGCACGAGCTAATGTTATTACAGCCTTTAAAGCGGAAGCGGCAGGCGCGCGGTAAAGGCGGGGCGAAACGACTAGGTAACACCTGAGAGCTGTATAGAGCTCATAGAGCTTGACTTTTATGAACGAACTGATTGAATTTGTTTCATAAAGTAAACTCTCAGCTGATTTCATTGTCTTATGTGCTGAAAATTAAGGTACACGATTAACTGTAACGTGGCATTTGCATAAGTGCCCTATCAGACGCAGCCCAGCCTTATATCAAGGTAATGATATGAGGCATTTCTTTAAACGTGAATTTGCAGGTTTTCTGTCAACCTGCTTTTCTGAGCCACCACCCACAGCTTCCCTTGTGTTCGCTGCCGCTGCGATTACGCGACACAAGTATGGGAAGTCAACAGGGTCACATTTCGTCCCCATTTCCCAGGCATTTGACATATTAGTCGTAACTCAATACAGAGTACGCCAAATTCAGACTGGACGGAGTATTAGGGCCATATTGAGGAAAAAAGAAATCTGAAATTTCGAGAATAAAGTCATAAAGAATAAAATCATAATATTTCAAGAAAAATTGTCTTAATATAACAAGAATAAAGTTGTAATATTACGAGAATTAAAAATGTAAAACTTTGAGAGAAAAAAAACTAATTTTTAGGAATATTACATCAACCCATCAAACAGGAGAAAGGACAGTCGCTGGCAGCCTGAGCTGCTTCTGGCAGCTGCTGTTTGTCTGTCTTACAATGGAACAGACTCAGTTTCTTCAGTCTTTTTAATGTCCGGATGATGATAATGATGAGCCAAAAGGTGAAGTATCTCCTTATTTGTGACAGCTCTGCTAAAGTAGAACTTCACAGGATGGTCCACATTTTTTAATCCTCATTTTAAAGCTTCTGATATTTCCCATTTTTGTATTACAACAACATTTAACATAAACGTGCCACTTTACTTTTGTAATATTATGACTTTATACTTGTAATATTATGACTTTATTCTCGTAATCAGAATTAGAATACTTTATTGATCCCAGGGGGAAATTAGATTTGGTTACAGTTGGTCCCTCAGCAAAGAAAGAATAGATAAATAATAGATAAAGATAAAAAGATAAAGATAAAAAGAATCATAAAATACAAATAATATGTACTTTTTAAAAGAATAGAATATGTATGAGTATAAATTGCACTGTTCGAATAATTTACTAAGTATAAACAAATAAATTATGATGTATAAGTTATGATGTGACGTCAGACACCCTGAGGGACATGTTGTATAGCTTGATGGCCACAGGCAAGAATGACTTCCTGTGGTGCTCTGTGGTGCATCACAGCACACCATGGAGTGGTTGGGAGGTGTTGTCCAGCATGCTCTGTAGTTTAGACAGCATCCCCCTGTCTGAACCCACTGCCAGAGAGTCCAGCTCTAGCCCCACAATGTCACCAGCCTGCCAGATCAGTTTGTTGAGTCTGTTGACAGTATGCTAAAGTCCTATATTCTGACTTTATTCTCCGAATATTATGACTTTATTCTTGTAATATTACAACTTTATTCTAGAAAATTGGATTGTTTTTCCCTCAATGTGGCCCTAATACTCCCTTGTACAGACACTCGTTCTTGGGAGTTCGAACTTAACAAGTTCAACTCAGAAATCCAACAGCAGCATTCTTCCTAGCCAGTCAGATCTGCACAGGTTACACTTTAACACACCTGTACCTGACTGTGCTGTGACAAATGAATGTGCTTTTGTCAACTGTCCAACAAATCATGTTTTTATTTAGCTTCATCTTCTCAGACTAACTAGTAACAATAAATATTATATTTCCACTCAGAGACCAAATTTCCTCTTCCAAAAGGATTATTTTATCATATATGAACTGTACGGTGTCAATCAAAACTCAGGTTACAGACTAAAGTAGTTTGAGTGTTATTTCCTCTTGGTATGTACCAGGTTTGGACTCTGAACATATTGAGTATTTAGATTATTAGTATTGACTGTTTAGAGTATTGAGTATTGCAGACTTTGAGGCCACAGAGTGGAGGACACACTATAACACTATAATACATAACACTATAATACAGTGTTAGTCCACAGGCTAACAGGACCTGATTCTCTGGTCTGACCCCGGTACATGAACCAGTCTGCTGAGCCCCAAAACCTCCAGGCTGTCTCTTCACTGTTTTTCAGTATACGGGTGTTTTGTGTGTCAGATGTGTGCAGGGTGATCGAGCTGCTGGACCGTCTGCAGCGGAGCGGTGAGCTGCCTCCTCCCAAACTGCAGGCCCTGCAGAGAGTCCTCCAGAGCAAATTTTGTGCAGCCATCAGAGAGGTAATGTACAGCAGGGTGTAGTTCTGGGGAGAGGTGTGGGTGTACAGCAGGGTGTAGGTCTGGGGACAAGTATGGCTGTACAGCAGGGTGTAGGTCTGGGGTCAGGTACGGGTGTAAAGCAGGGTGTAGGTCTGGGGTCAGGTACGGGTGTAAAGCAGGGTGTAGGTCTGGGGTCAGGTACGGGTGTAAAGCAGGGTGTAGGTCTGGGGACAGGTACAGGTGTACAGAAGGGTGTAGGTCTTGGGACAGGTACAGGTGTACAGCAGAGGCTTCATTAAATCAGCTGGGAATTCTAAGTCCAAAACCACAGAGGGGACATAGACTGTGTCAGCTGATCAGAAACAAACACAAACTAAACTACAAATACAACAACACAGGTCAATTAGTCTGACAGTTTAAATACTTCAACCATTCACCAACACACGAATCTATTCTTCAGGGAAAACAGACAGTGGCTGCTAGACAGACTGAGGTGTCACTTCCTGTGTTTAACTGCTCCACCTTAACCTGACTTAAAATTCATTTATTGAAATAATGACTTCATTAATTATTAATGAACTGAACTTGACCTTTGACCTCTTTATTAACCTCATGTATCCTGATGATTCAGTCACATAAAGGCCTGTTGTATTGATGTTTATGAAGTCGGCCTGTGTGTGTCCATCTCTTTCCTCCACTGACATGTGGCCCGTTTTCCTCCAGGTGTACGAACAGCTGTATGACACTCTGGACATTGTTGGAGGACCAGAGGTACGAGCGCAGGCCACAGCCAAGGTATGAATAACTACAGTCCTGTACTCCAGACACTGTGAAGGAGGGAGATCTCAGACTGTGTGGGGGGTCTTCCACAGATCTGAGGGTGTGGTGATCAGTCAATACGCACTCAGCCAATCAGTGTGGCTCATTGTTGTCCGGTGCAGAGAGACAATGTGAACACAGTAAATCACAGGAGGTGTGACCTTCTCCAGTCAATGAGACTGAAACAGATAAAGGACATATTCATATTTTTACTGACATACTGTTTGTCTGCTGTGGTCCGTCCACCTGTAACTCCACCTGGTCTAACTCACACCACTTAATATACTTCTGCAAAAGACAAGGACTGTGGGTTTTCTCCTCCATCACCTCCACAGGGAGCACATTGTCTTTTAATAGTCAGGATGATTATTGTTCATGTGAACACCTCACTCTTCTTTAGACAGATTTTAAAAATGTGAACCAGCAGAGAGACACGTTGCACCACAAACAGACCTGGTCTCTTGTTCATGCTTTTTTCAAGACAAGATCAACCTTTTTGGGAAGACCTGGTCTCTTCTCAGTGAAACCTCTAAACACGACTTCCACCAAAATATCAACAACTGTCTTTGTGCTGCCTCATGGAGAACCTGGTTCTCTGCACCAGGCTCCAAAAAACAGACAGAGACCATGTGAACCTCAAGGTTTCAGTCCTGAACACATAAATACAGGAAACAATTGTGTTTGGGCTAGCGGTAGCTCTGAGGGTTTGGCATACCAACCTGCTGCTAGAGCTGTGCAGACATGATTCATTCTGTTCAAACCATTTTACAGTGCTCAGCTGAGCTTTATGTGATTAATTCATCACCAGTGATCTTCTGTTTCCCTCCTGACCAGGCCACGGTGGCAGC